CCTGGGTGAGTGAGGTACCCGTGCACACGATGGCCGCCCGCCTGCCCGGCGAGCCCTGCGCGCTGAGTGCAGGAACCGGCTGGGCCGGAGCGCAGGCCCAGACTCATCCTGTGCAAGGCTGCGGGCTGAGGCGTGGACTCCAGGTGTGGGCATGGTGGGGGGTGCAGGGAGCCGCGTGTGCGCGCGCTCCGGGGTCCCCACGGCTGGCAGGCCTGGTGTCAGGACCCTGGGGTCCCCGTGGGTGGTGTGTCTGATGTGTGTGGAGGAGCTGTGAGTATTATGGGGTCTCCATAAGTTGCAGGCCTGGTGTTGCGGAGCACCAGGCGTCCGTGGCAGGCCTGGTGTCAGGGGGCACAAGGCACTCCAGGGTCCCCACAAGTTAGTTGCATGCCTGGTGTTGGGAGGCACCAAGTGCTCCAGGGTCCCCACAAGTTGCATGCCTGGTGTCAGGGGGCACCAGGCACTCTGGGGTCCTGCGGGTGGCGTATCTGGTGTTGGGGGTACCAAGAGCCCTGGGGTCCCCGTGGGTGGCCTGGTGTCGGGTGTTACCGAGCACCCTGGGGTGCCCGTGGGTGGCAGGCCTGGTGTTGGGGGCACTGAGAGACCTGGGGTCTCTAAAGGTGGCCTAGTGTCGGGAGTCACCTGTGGCAGACCTGGTGTCAGGGGGCACCAAGCATACTGGGGTCCTGCAGCTGGCAGGTCTGATGTTGGGGCACATTGAGCATGATAGGGTCCCTACAAGTGGCTGGCCTGGTTTCAGGGAGCACCAGGCACCCTGGGGTCCCTGCAAATGTACAGGTGGCAGGCCTGGCGTTGGGGGAACAGCGAGCACCCTGTTGTCCGTGACTGGCAGGCCTGCTGTTGGGGGGCACCCAGTACCCTGGGGTCCCCACGCCTTGCAGGCCTGACGTCTGGGGGCACTGAGCAATATGTTGTCTCGTGACTGGCAGGCCTCGTGTTGGGGGGCACTGAGCACCCTGGGGTCCCTGCAAGTGGCAGGCGTGGTGTAGGGGACTCTGAGCACCGCAGGGACCCGTGGCAGGCATAGGCTTCTACCTTCTGCCTGTGTCCCCTTGGTGGTGTCTAGGATGGTGGCTCTGGGCACAGCAGTGCCTCCCCAGGGGATCTGGCCACTCTGATGCCACCTGTGTCCCCTAGCTGGCCTCGCCACTTGGGGTTGGCTCTCCATGGAGTGGGGTGATCAGTGGGCCCTGCATCTGCAGGACAGACAGTGTCCCCTGGTCCACAGGGACGGGGTGGAGGTGGACTTGGTGGGGCAGGACCTTCCTGGGCAGGACAGGGGTGGAGGTGGACATGCTGGCGGCTGATTCGCAGCTGAGGAGAGAGTGTGGTTCGGGGGGGGGGGGGCAGCGTGGTCCCCCAAGGCTGTGGCACTAGTCCCCCAGGCCTCCCTTGGGGGTCCCCACAGCCCACTGGCCAGTTGTCCCACAGTGCGCGTCTGGCTGCAGGCTGGCCGGCTGCCTCTGCCTCCTGCACCTGTGGCCACCGTCCCCTCAGCCAGGCGACAGGGCCAGGGTCGGGGTGGGCCTGGTGGGCAGGTTTTCTGCGCACGGACTTGTCAGGAGAAGCCCTGGAGACCTTGCAAGGGGAGCCTTCCCAGCTAGCTGTGAGGAAGTGAGAAGAAGGGGGCGTTCTCCCTTCTGGCCCACAACAGGCCTATATGCTGTCCCCAACCCTGGTGATGGAGCCTGATTCCCAGGGAGTCCTCCGCTGGCTTCCCCGGGTGGGCCAACAAGGAGCTGGTCGGGAAGTGGAGATGAACACGTTACTGTGGGCACCTGCCCTGGGACCCAGTGTCTGGGCTGATGGTCACCAGAGGAGGGACCTGGGGGTGCTGGACCTCTCTAGCCTGCAGGTGCCCGGGGAGCCTTGGGGAGTGCAGGGGTTGGGGGCTTCCCTGTGCAGGGTGCCTTGGGTTCCCCCAAGATCCCAGGAGGGCCGCTGTCTGCTCTCTTACTGGGTGCTTCTCTGTGCCTGTGGGGGGCCTGGAGGTGGGGTGGCTGTGTTTGCCGTATGCCTAGCAGGGGAGCCCTGAGGCAGGGAGAGGCTATGGTCACTCTATTGCCTGGCAGGGGGAGCCCCAAGGTAGGGAGGGGCTGTGGTCACCCTGCACCCCAGCAGGGGAGCCATGTGCCCTGTTCCCCGCAGGATTATACTTGTCCGAGGTGTGAGTCTGGCTTCATCGAGGAGCTTCCGGAAGACACCAGGTACCCGGGGGGGCGGGGGGTGGCCAAGGCCAGGATAGAGTGGGGGGTCAGGTGGCCGCTGTCCGGGCCCTCCCAGAGCCACAGGGGAGCGGCCGAGAGGCACTGCCCTAGGCCCTGCTGACCTTGCACACCAGGCGTGGTTGCCCCGGGCAGGCGGGGAGGCAGGTGTCAGCAGCCTTGGGCACAGGCCAGTTGTGACCCCTGCTCATGCTGACCCCTGTCCCCCAGGAGCGCAGAGAACGGATCTGCCCCCTCCACAGCCCCCACTGACCAGAGCCAGAGCCGGCAGCCCTTTGAGGTGAGTCATGACCCAGCTCCCCTGCCATTCCCCTGTGTGTCCAGCCAGCCCCTGGCTCTGCTCACTCCCCAGATGAGTGCAGGGGCTGGGACTGGGTCTTCCCCGTGGGTGTGCACCCTCTTTGGCCACCAGCGGGATGGAAGTGGAATGGCCCAGTGCTGGGCCGGCAGGTGCCCCTCACTCACCTGTGCCCTCCTCTCCCCCAGAACGTGGAGCAGCCACCACTGCTCGCACTGCCGCAGGGCTACGGGCACTTTGCTTTCGGCATCTTTGACGACAGCTTTGACATCCCCACGTTCCCTCCCGGGGCGCAGGCGGACGACGGCAGGGACCCCGAGAGCCGGCGGGAGCGAGAGCACCCGTCCCGGCACCGCTATGGCGCCCGCCAGCCCCGTGCCCGCCTCACTGCTCGGCGGGCCACCGGCCGGCACGAAGGCGTCCCCACGCTGGAAGGGTGAGGGGGCCCCGAGGGGTGGCGGGGCTCGAGCCCCTGGGGTGCACTCTGGAGGCCTGGCCGAGCCGCTGACCACGGGCCCCCCCTCTGCAGGATCATCCAGCAGCTGGTAAACGGCATTATCACCCCGGCCACCATCCCCAGCCTGGGCCTGGGCCCCTGGTGAGTAGCAGCGGGAGGGTGCCCTGCCCACCCCTGCCGCCCACTGAGCCCCCCTCTCCACCAGGGGCGTCCTGCACTCGAACCCAATGGACTACGCCTGGGGGGCCAATGGGCTGGATGCCATTATCACACAGGTAGGGGGGCTGCAGGCCGGCCTCGTGCCCACCACCCTCTGAGGGCTGGGTGGGGCGCCCCGACGGCCGGGCCGGGACCGATGCAGCCTCGGTGCTCTTGCAGGTGCCGCGGCCTGGCGGCTCGGAGCCCCCCAGGAGCGTGCCCCGCCCCCGAGGAGCTCCCGGCACTCTCGCCTCTTGTCTTTCAGCTCCTCAATCAGTTTGAGAGCACGGGCCCCCCACCGGCCGACAAGGAGAGGATCCAGGCCCTGCCCACCGTGCCCGTCACAGAGGAGCACGTAGGTACGTCTCAGGGTGGCCTCCCCGGGGTGGACAGGTGGCACCTCCTCCGCACACGGGGCCCTCACCCGGCCCTTACCCTGACCCCCTGCTTTGCACAGGCTCCGGCCTCGAGTGCCCCGTGTGCAAGGACGATTATGTGCTGGGGGAGCGCGTGCGACAGCTGCCCTGCAACCACCTCTTCCACGACGGCTGCATTGTGCCCTGGCTGGAGCAGGTGCGCCGCCCGCCCCCACCCCACCGCCGCCTGCCCAGCCCACACAGCCTCGCCGCCTCCCCTCCAAAAGCATCCCCTCTCGCCCACACAGCACGACAGCTGCCCCGTGTGCCGCAAAAGCCTCACAGGACAGAACACGGCCACAAACCCCCCGGGCCTGAGCGGGGTCGGCTTCTCCTCGTCCTCTTCCTCATCGTCATCCAGCTCGCCCAGCAATGAGCACGCCAGCGGCACCTCCTGAGGCCTGGCGGCGGCCGCAGCACAAGCCACTGGGAGGGCGGGCTGCCAACCGGACTGCAGGTGCCTGGGCCCCCCCCCCTCCGCGCTGGGCGGAGGCCCCCCCCCGTGCACCCTGGTTGCCAGGCAGAGCCAGAGCTGGCCCGGCAGCCCTCGGCGGGGCGAGGCTGGGGGCGCCCTTGGCTCCCAGACCTCACCCTCTTAAAGTGTTCAGCGGCGGGAAGTTTTTATAATTTTAAATTATTACTGCTTTGAAATAAATGGACGTTTTAGCTCACACGCAGCGTGCATGGTCTGTGGAGATGGGCGGTACTGACAGGAGCTGGCCGGATGCAGAGCCAGAGGGGTGGACAGCACAGCTGGGAGCCGGGTACCTGGCACACTCTGCCTGGTCCTCCGACAGGCAAGGCCAGGCCCCCCCCCCCCCAGCAGGCATGCCAGGATGCGGCAAGGGCCTGGAAACCAGCGCCCTGGGCGTGTGGAAAGCTGCCCTGGAGCCACGTGCATCCACCCTCCCGCAGGGGACCCAGTGAGTGAGTACCATGCCATCGGCTGGCCTGGCACTGTGGCCCCGGCTGACCCTGACCACGCTGCGCCCAGCGGGTGCCAATCTCAGCAAGTACAGGTATTTATTCATTAAAAGGAAGAGTGAGCGAGAGGCCACGACGGGGGGACTGCGTGCGGGTCTCCCAGGCGGGGCAGGCAGTGGCGTCCTGATGTGTGCCCCTGTCCCTGTCTTTGGTTTTAGGGCTGCACAGCCGCCGGCCTGCATGTAGGGTCCTGTTGGCGCAGGCTGTGTGCCAGGTGCCATGCCGGGAGCGGGCACCACGCGGCAGGGGCGCTCCAGGACCCCGAGCGGGGCAGGCGGCAGGGTCCCCTCCAGCGCAGGGTGTGTGTCCTTGGAGCTGGCCCTGTGCCTCTCGGGGTGCCCTCAGTGCCGCACTGGGCCCGGGATGGGCCTGGCTCGTGGCTGGTGGAGGCCGGAGGGGCCTCAGGAGACCAGCACGGGCAAGAAGTGGGTGGACAGGTGGCGTCTCCGCGTGCGGGGTCCTCGTCGAGGGGCACCGCGGCCGTCTAGAGCCAGGAACATGGGCCGGCCATGGTAGCGCCAGCGGAGCGAGGCGTACGTGTTGTAGCCGTTCTCCTCGATGCGTTCCCGGAACCTGCAGTCCACCGTGTAGAACCGCTGCAAAAAATGGGGAACAGGGCGCGCGTTAAGCCCCGCCCAGCTGCGCCAGGCCCTGCCCTGCTCCTGTAACCCCGCCCCCCATGGAGCCCAATCCCCCATCCCCCACTTGGGGCCCCGCCCTACCCATCTAACCCCATCCCATATGCCCCCTGCTGCGCGAGGCCCCGCCCCCCCCACATGGGGTCCTACCCCCTGCCGGGAGCCCCATCCCCCACCTGGGGCGCTGCCCCCTTTCCCAATCCCACATGTGTGGCCCCGCCCCCTTTCCCAATCCCCATGTGAGGTCCCACTCCATACCCGGAACCCCAATCTCCCACGTGGGACCCCCACCCCATACCCGGAACCCCAATCCCCCACGTGGGACCCCACTCCATACCCGGAACCCCAGTCTCCCACGTGGGACCCCACTCCATACCCGGAACCCCAGTCTCCCACGTGGGACCCCACTCCATGCTCGGAACCCCAGTCTCCCACGTGGGACCCCACTCCATACCCAGAACCCCAGTCTCCCACGTGGGACCCCACTCCATGCTCGGAACCCCAGTCTCCCACGTGGGACCCCACTCCATGCCCGGAGCCCCAATCCCCCACGTGGGACCCCACTCCATGCTCGGAACCCCAATCCCCCACGTGGGACCCCACTCCATGCTCGGAACCCCAATCTCCCACGTGGGACCCCACTCCATGCCCGGAGCCCCAATCCCCCACGTGGGACCCCACTCCATGCTCGGAGCTCCAATCTCCCACGTGGGACCCCACTCCATGCCTGGTCCTCTGGTCCCTCCTCACTCACCGACCCATAGAGCCGGCCCTGGGGGCTCATGGCCACGTAGAACCCTGAATGCACGGCCTTGATGACCACGACACCCACACGGACGGAGCGCATCTCCACCACACCTGGGAGGCAGGGTTCGGTTGTCAGTCACGTACCCCTTTTTCTCCTGCAGGTCTCGGCCGCTGCACCCCCCGGAGGGAGCACCCGAGGACACCCTCGCGGAGGGGCCAGCCCGGCAGGTCGGCGGCGCTGGGGTCACCTGGGCGGCAGCAGCCCACTGGCCCTGCGGGGGGTGGGCTGGCGCCAGGGCGGAGCTGGGGGGGCGGGGACCCTGGCGATGTCTGCGTGGAGCCTGCTTCCTGTCCAGCCTTGGCGGGGTTATCTTGGGGTCCACTGTCCGCGCACTCTTCCCTGGAACCCACGGGTGGTCTCCCTGGATCCTTCCTCTCCCTAGTGCTGTCCCCGAACTCACGCCGATTGCCGGCGCGGCAATCAGATGGGGAAACCGAGGCTGGCGAGAAGCCGCCACTATCCCAGGTCACCTGCTTGCACCAGGCCTCTCCCCCAGCCCCAGGCCACCGCGCCTGGCCATGCCCTCGCAGAGGGACCGGCCCGTCCAGTCCAGGTCGCTGCCTCCGTCGCGTGCAGCGTAATGAGGGCCTAGGGAGCCCAGATGAAAGCAGCTGGGGCGGCCGCTGATTATCGGCCCTGATGGCCGTGACTGATGGCCGTGACTTGGCCCAGCCTACCCCCACGGCCGCCAATGTCGCCCCGACCCCCCATGTCCCCCCGAGACGGGATACCTGCCCGGCGCGCAACGTGGATGCTGAGCGCGCCGGCAGTCGCGTCCCCCTCGACGTGCCTCGAGTTTCCCCATCTGGGACTGCCCAGGGACATCCAGGGCGGAGGCCAGGGTGCGAAGCCAGCGTGCAGAGGGGGACGCAGTTGGAGCCCCCTTCTGTCCTGTCTGAGAGACCCCCCACTCTTGGGGTCCCCTCCGCCTCCCTACCTTCAGCCAGGTTGCGAGCTGGGGAGCTGAGGAAGTTAGGTTCCATCCCTGCCCCCCACCGGTGCCCCACGCGCGCACTCACTTTCCTGTCCATGGTGCCAGCGGGTACCCTGCACGCGGCCTTGGTGGTCCACGCGCAAGAAAAAGTGTGTGGACGAGAAGAGGCGCCGCCAGCGCACGTCGCCTTCCAGGTGTGGGTAGCTGCGTGGCCGCCGGGATGCGCTCGGGGCTCCTGTGGCGCCGAGTACCTGCAGCCAGAGCAGCCAGACCACAGCCAGCCACAGGCTGCGGCGCATGGCCGCGCGCGCACCGCGCTCGCCGCGCGCTCTCTGCCGCCCCGCGCTGCGCCGCCCGAGCCTGGGCGCCCGGGGCGGGGCGGTGGCCAGGGCGGTCCGGGCGCCTCCAATCGGGGGCGGCGAGGCGGGGCCGGCCGGGGCGCGCCCCAGTCGCCTGGGCGCAAGTTTGTTTGCCTGGCGGGGCGGGGCCGTAGGGTCCAGCAGGGACCGTCCCGGGAGGTCTCAGAAAAGGGCGCAGGTGGGGACGCCCCCTGACCCAGACCCCAGAGCCGGGGGTGCACCTGCCACGCTGCTGAGGCTGATGCGCCGCCAGGTCCTCCACGCACACACGGCCAGCTGCGGAGTGCAGCGTGGACAGCGGCTTGCCAGTCACACAATTCAGTACCGCACAGGAGTCTCCACTCCGAGAAGGACCCTTCCCCGAGCAGCCAGCCCTGCTCCCCCGCTCTCCGAGGCGCCCCCCGCGTCCGTGTCTCTTTGGCTTCCTCACCTCCCCCGGGTACGGACCATGTAGCTTGTGTCCATCTGTGCTGGATGTTGGGAACACGGGTGTCCAGGGGGCTTTCCTTGGGTGTGCTCCGAGGAGTGGGGCTGCCCAGCTCCCTGGGAAACAACGCCCTGGGCTGAGAGAGGAGCAGCCCACGCATTCAGCCCCCAGGCCTGGCACTCACTGGGCCTGCTGGGGACCTTGGCGGACAGCATGGCATGATGTGCTATGGTGTGTGTTGAGGCATGGTGTTATATGTTATGCTGTGTGTTGTGTATGGCATAGTGTGGCTGGCTTACGTTGGGGTGCAGTGTGGTGTGGCACGGTGCCTGGCAGCACAAGGGCTCTGCCTCAGGTGTTCAGGTGGCATTCCTTGGGGGCAGCGGCGGCTGGGCGGTGGCTGATGTGTCTCTAGACTGGAATGGGAGGGAGTTAAGTCGTCGCCCATCCCTGCGGCTGTCCCGTAGGCAAGTCTGACTGCGGTGGGGAGAGCTGTCCGGGAGCCCTGAGTGCTTCAGGAGCCTTGATGTGGACAGAAGGAAGGGACCCTCCGTGGGGTGTTCCTGGAGCGCCACAGCACCTGTGCCATGACAGGCCGTGGGGAGGGGGTCATGGAGCGTTCACCCAGACTCGGGAGGCCATTGGACACTACAGGCTGGACACGGCCAGGGCTGCCCAACTGGGTGTCCCAGTGCCAGTCACAGGCGCGGACACGAGGGGCCGGTTTCATCCGGCAGATGTGTGGCTAGGTGGGATGGCTGGCAGCCCGAGGGGCCAGGGAGGTGACCCCAGAGTGATTCATGGTTGAGGTCACAGCACCCCAAGGCAGGTTCCTTGCCTGGGGGTGTGAGCTGGAAGCATTCCTGGCCACTGGCATCACTGGCCCTGGCCTGCGTGGGCAGCTGCGTCTGGAATGTGCCATCCATGCCTAGGAGCCCAGCCCTTCCGGAGTGCCCAGCTGGCCCTCACCCTGTGGGACCCCGTGGGCATCCAGAGAGACTGGCCCCAGGGCCTCTGCACCTGCTGAGGTCGGCCAGGCCTCCCCAGCTCCAGCTCGACTGCCCACGGGGCTGCCCGTGACTCCGGCGAGGACCCCTACGGGAGAGGCAGGACAGCACGTCCCACCAGGGCCGCTCGTGCCCATGCAGCCCCGGGCCAATGGCCTGGGAACGCAGCCGACGACAGCTTAGGGCCGCGGGTCCCTGGAGCCATGTGGGAGACCCCGACCGAGCTCCTGGCCCACCCTGGAGCCCACCAGCGGATCTCGAGTCCCTCCCTGCAACTTTGCTTTTCAAAGACAAACCATTTTTTTTTTTTTTTTTAGTAAAAGCGGGAGATTTGTACGATCTGAAGACAAACCTGAGTATACACATCAACCTTTCTCGAGTTTCCATGCCAGTGTTGTCCTTGGATCGGGAGGGCGGCACAGACGCTGCCCTCTTGGGGTCCGCCCGAGGGCGGGGGAGACGCAGCCTGGTTGCCAGGGAGCTGGGGGAGCAGCCAATCAGAGGGCTCCATCGGCGCATGCTCTGGCGTCCCAGGGCCACGCTGCTTCCTGGGCCTTGTAGTACCGGCGCCGCATTCATGGCCGGTGCGTCCCTTCGCAGCCGCCGTCCGCCGCGGAACTCGGCCTGAGGCGGGCGGTGCGCGTGCGCCGGGCGGCGGGCGGGCGGCATGTCGGCGCTGCGCTGGGGCCGCGGCGCGGCGGGGCTGAGGCGGGCGCTGCGGGCCGAGGAGGTGCGGGGCCGGCCCGGGCTGCGAGTGCAGGAAGGTACGGCGGGGCCGGGAGGTGGGGTCTGCGGGGCCGGGGGTCTGTGTGATCTGCGGGGCCAGGGGGTCTGTGTGATCTGCGGGGCCAGGGGGTCTGTGTGATCTGCGGGGACAGGGGGTCTGTGTGGTCTGCGGGGCCGGGGGTCTGTGTGATCTGCGGGGCCAGGGGGTCTGTGTGATCTGCGGGGCCAGGGGGTCTGTGTGATCTGCGGGGACAGGGGGTCTGTGTGGTCTGCGGGGCCGGGGGTCTGTGTGGTCTGCGGGGCCGGGAGGTGGGTCTGCGGGGCCGGGGGTCTGTGGAGTCTGCAGACTCAGGGGGTCTGTGTGGTCTGCGGGGTCAGGGGGTCTGCAGACTCAGGGGGTGGGGTCTGCGGGGTCAGGGGGTCTGCGGGGCCAGCAGGTGGGGGTCTGCGGACTCAGGAGGTGGGTGGTATGTGGGATGAGGTGTGTAGGCTGAGGAGGGTCACGATGAGGCCAGTTACACCGACCCGCAGACTTGCCTTGTCCTGTAACCCTATGTGTTTGGGGGACCTGGGCCCCCCAACCTCACCCATGTCCTCTGCAGGGACCCCAGGCACCTGGGGCTCCAAGAGGCGCAGCTCTTCGGCCAGTCCTCAGGAGCAGGATGGGCGGAAGGACTGGGGCCACGCACAGCTGCTGGAAGGTGAGCTAGCCAGAAGTCCCCCGGGGTGCTGAGGGGGTCAGGCCTGGCCCGGAGTCCCCAGGGGTGCAGTGGGATGGCTAGCTGAGGGGGTGGACCTGGTCCAGGGGTGCTGAGAGGCAGGCCTGGGCTGAGGGGGCGGCCAGAGCTGATGACGACCCCTGCCCGCAGTGCTGGAGGCTCGAGTGCGACAGCTCCAAGCAGAGACTGTGTCGGAGGTGATGGTGAAGCCGGTGGAGGTGGCCCGGCTCCCGTTGTCCGGGGAGGCCCAGGCGCGGCCGGGCTCCTGCAGCCGCTGGGCCAGCAAGCTGGACCAGGAGAAGCAGACACTGCAGAAGCGCCGGCAGCGGCTGGAGGTGAAGCTGCAGGTGCAGGCCCAGCAGCGGGCCCAGGAGCTGCAACCCCGACAGCTGCGCGTGGAGCCGCGGCTGCTGAGCCCGCAGCTGGCCAGCCGCCTGCCGCGAGGGCCGCGGGGACCCCCTGAGAGCCCCTGGGAGGAGCCACTAGCCCAGGCACTGCGGGCGGCGCCCCAGAAGCTGGACCGCGAGCCGACGCGGACGCCCTACGTGTCGGGCCATCAGCAGAGGCTACTGTCATTCCTCCAGTGCTGTGTGGTCGCCGAGCAGCTGCCCCTGGCCCACCACGTGCTGGTCAGCTACCACAGCAAGCCCCGCAGGCAGCAGCTGCTCACGCTGCCCATGTACAACACCGTCCTGCTGGGCTGGGCCCGCAAGGTGGGCACCGAGTGGGAGTGGGGGTCCAGGGCCTGTAGTCCCTGGGGACGGCCTTGCTGTGTGCCCAGAAATGGGCTCATTATGTCCCTGGGGATGGCCCGGGGACACAGGACAGCCTCAGTGTACCCCCAGCGACGGCCTCGCTGTGTCCACGGGCACGGTCCCTCCGCCCTCGTGGATGTCATTCTGCCCCAAGGACCAGCGTAGTTCTTTGGCTTTGCAGGCCCCAGGTGCCCTGTTAGGGGACGTCGTGTCCCCGCTGACGACCACCCTGTGGTGACACAGGTGCCGGCAGGCTCAAGGGAGGCCGTCTTGGGCAGGGGTGACAAGTTGGGCCCCGGGTCAGTCCAGCAGCCTGTAGAAACCCCGCAGGGTCTGCGTTCTTCCTGTCCTGTGCGGGGTGAGGGATGAGGGCTGGGCGGTGCCTCTCACTACCTCCCCACGCCGTCTCCCCAGGGCTCCTTCAAGGAGCTGCTCTATGTGTTCTGGATGTTGAAGGACGCTGGCCTCGCTCCCGACCTGCAGTCCTACGCGGCCGCCCTGCAGTGCATGGGGCGGCGAGACCAGGACGCTGGTACCATCCGGAGGTAGGAGCGGGGCTGTGGGGGTGCCGAAGTGCCCTGCTGTCGCCCCTCCGGGGGGTGGGCCCGTGCTGTGGTGCGTGCTGAGCAACCCGCCTCGTGCCCGGTTGCAGGTGCTTGCGGCAGCTGCGCCAGGATGGTCTGCAGCTCTCGCAGCTCTTCACGGCCATAACCCTGTCGGAGGAGGAGCGGGCTGCGCTGCTGAAGGCCGTGGTCAAGGTTGAGCCCACCTTCAGCCCACCGCCCCCGCCCCCGCCCCAGCTCAACACCTCGACGCTGCTCCAGGGGGTGTATGCCAAGGTGAGCCAGGCTGCAGGCAACCCTGGCCCTGTGCTGAGCCTGCCATGCCCCTAACTCAGCCTACACTGTGTGTCCGCCCCCTGTGCCCTCCTGGACGCTGTGTATGGCTGTCTTGAGGTCCCAGGTCTGTCCCCCTGTCCTCCTGGGCCCTGCGTGTTGCTGTCTTGGGGTCCCAGGTCTGTCCCCCTGTCCTCCTGGGCCCTGCGTGTTGCTGTCTTGGGGTCCCAGGTCTGTCCCCCTGTCCTCCTGGGCCCTGCGTGTTGCTGTCTTGGGGTCCCAGGTCTGTCCCCCTGTCCTCCTGGGCTCTGCGTGTTGCTGTCTTGGGGTCCCAGGTCTGTCCCCCTGTCCTCCTGGGCCCTGCGTGTTGCTGTCTTGGGGTCCCAGGTCTGTCCCCCTGTCCTCCTGGGCTCTGCGTGTTGCTGTCTTGGGGTCCCAGGTCTGTTCCCCTGTCCTCCTGGGCTCTGCGTGTTGCTGTCTTGGGGTCCCAGGTCTGTCCCCCTGTGCCCTCCTGGGCCCTGCGTGTTGCTGTCTTGGGGTCCCAGGTCTGTCCCCCTGTGCCCTCCTGGGCCCTGCGTGTTGCTGTCTTGAGGTCCCAGGTCTGTCCCCCTGTCCTCCTGGGCCCTGCGTGTTGCTGTCTTGGGGTCCCAGGTCTGTCCCCCTGTCCTCCTGGGCCCTGCGTGTTGCTGTCTTGGGGTCCCAGGTCTGTCCCCCTGTCCTCCTGGGCTCTGCGTGTTGCTGTCTTGGGGTCCCAGGTCTGTCCCCCTGTGCCCTCCTGGGCCCTGCGTGTTGCTGTCTTGGGGTCCCAGGTCTGTCCCCCTGTCCTCCTGGGCCCTGCGTGTTGCTGTCTTGGGGTCCCAGGTCTGTCCCCCTGTCCTCCTGGGCCCTGCGTGGGTGTCTCCCATGCCGAGCCCCTCTGTACTTAGCTCTGCACACCCGACGTGTGGCTTCGCCCCAGTGCTTTACTTGATGTTTAAAGTTCACTATCAGTTAATTAACTCCAGAGAAGCTTCCCGCTGCTGCCTCACTCTTGAGGGGCTGGGCAGGTGGCAGCCTGCGTCCCTCACTGCCCCTGCTGCCCACAGGACAGCCCCGCGTCCTACCCCAAGCTGCCCCTGTCCCTGGAGGCCCTGCAGAGTCTGTTCCAGCAGCAGTTGCGCTTGGAGCTGGGCAGCGTTGTCCACGTCACATCCGTGGAGAAGGCCCCACTGCCCACCCAGGAGACCCTGCACGCGGTAAGACCTCAGCCCCCAGGGCCCTGGGACAGCCCAGGAGGCAGGCGGGGCCAGTGTGGTGCTGACCAGGCCCGTGCCCTGCAGCGTCAGACCTTGAAGACCCTACGTGACCAGTGGGAGGCGGACCTGCACCGGGGCCTGCAGGAAACCAAGGCCAGGCTGGCCCGTGAGGCCCACAAGGGCCACCCTTCACTCTACCCCTACCTGTGCCTGCTCAGTGAGGGCGAGTTGGTACAGCTGCTGATGCAGGTGGGCAGGGGGCTGGGCATGGGCCCGTAGGTGAGTGGGTGGGTGGGCATGGGCCCGTGGGTGGGGGACCCAAGGCCATTCCTTGCTGTGCCCCAGGCTCACCACACCTCTCCCAGACTCTGCAGGCGGTGCCAGCCCAGGGGGAGTCCCTCATCTCCCTGGCTTACAACCTGGGCCTGCGGGTCTTCAACCGGCACGTGGTGCACAGGAAACAGCTGAGCGGCCAGGTGCGGCAGCTCCAACAGCAGTACCTGCAGTACCTGCACCTGCTGGCCTCCGACACCCAGGTGAGCCTCGGCCGGCGGGGTGCCCCTCCCCCTCAGCCCTGCTGCCGTCTCACTGCCCTCCTCGCCTCGCAGGTGGCGCAGCCCTGCCTGCCCCGAGAGTACTGGGAGATGCTGGGTGGCCCTGCGCCGCCGCCTGAGCAGCCCTGGCCGCCTGTGGTGCTACTGCAGCTGGGCAGGCAGCTGGCCGAGGTGCTGGTGCAGGCCGCCCAGATGCCCCGCAGCCTGGCCGTGCCACAGGGCGCCTGTAGACTCGTCCCGGTGCTGTACCACGTGTATTCATTCCGCAGCTTTCGCCAGGTGGGCAGGCGGCGGGGGCGGGGGGGCACCCCAGGCTCAGTGGGCACTGCTGCCTGGCGGCCGGTCCTCACCCACCACCACTACCTGCACCCCAGATCGGCATCCTGAAGCCGCACCCGGCCTTCACGCAGCTGCTGGCGACGGCGGCGGAGCCCACGCTGACCTTCGAGGCTGCCGAGGTGCCCATGCTGTGTCCCCCGCTGCCTTGGACCTCACCGCATGCTGGCGCCTTCCTGCTGACGCCTACCAAGCTGATGCGGGCGGTGGAGGGCACCACGCAACACCAGCGCCTCCTAGAGCGTTGCCCACCCGCCCAGCTGCACGGAGCCCTGGACGCCCTTACCCAGCTGGGCAACTGCGCCTGGCGCGTCAACGGCCGCGTGCTGGACCTGGTGCTGCAGCTCTTCCAGGCCAAGGGCTGCCCCCGCCTGGGCGTGCCCCCGCCGCCCTGCGAGGCTCCCAGGCCCCCCGAAGGCCGTCTGCCCCGTGGTGCCCCACCGGCCCGCAAGGCGGAACTGCGGCGGGAGCTGGCGCGGTGCCTCAAGGCGGCCCGGGAGATGCGCAGCCTGCGCGCCGACGCCCTGTACCGCCTCTCGCTGGCCCAGCACCTGCGGCACCGCGTCTTCTGGCTGCCCCACAACATGGACTTCCGTGGTCGCACCTACCCTTGCCCGCCCCACTTCAACCACCTGGGCAGCGACCTGGCCCGCGCCCTGCTGGAGTTTGCCGATGGCCGCCCGCTCGGCCCCCACGGGCTCGACTGGCTCAAGATCCACCTGGTCAACCTCACGGGACTCAAGAAGCGCGAGTCCCTGCAGGCCCGTCTGGCCTTCGCCAACCAGATCCTGGATGACATCCTGGACTCAGCCGACCAGCCCATGACGGTAGGACTCAGCCCACCCCGCCTGGCCCCCTCAGCTCCGCCCAGTCCGAGTTCACCCAGAGCCACTCCCCGCAGGGCCGCAAGTGGTGGATGGACGCGGATGAGCCATGGCAGACCCTGGCCTGCTGCATGGAGGTGGCGCGCGCGGTGAGGGCCCCGGACCCCGCTACCTACATCTCCCACTTCCCAGTGCACCAGGTGAGCGGACAGGCCCACCTGGGGGGGACCCAGGAGGCTGTGTGCGTCTAGGCCTGGGCCCCTCTTATCCCCAGGAGACCATTCATGGGCCTGGGCCTCTGCCCCTCCTGCCCCCAGGATGGCTCCTGCAATGGCCTGCAACACTATGCCGCATTGGGCCGCGACAGCGTGGGCGCCGCCTCTGTGAACCTGTTGCCCTCCGAGCTGCCGCAGGACGTTTACAGCGGCGTGGCTGCGCAGGTGAGAGAGAGGGCCAACCCTGCATCGCTGCCATGCACCAAGGACGGGGGGCGGGCGGCACCCTCCCCACACACACTGAGCGGTTGCCCGCCCCTGCTGCCAGGTGGAGGTGTTCCGCAGACAGGACGCGGAGCAGGGCGTGCGGGTGGCCCAGGCGTTGGACGGCTTCGTGAGCCGCAAGGTGGTGAAGCAGACCGTGATGACGGTGGTGTACGGCGTCACGCGCTACGGCGGCCGGCTGCAGATCGAGAAGCGGCTCCGGGAGCTGCAGGACTTCCCGCAGGTGCCTGCGCCTTGGGGACCCCACCCCCCGACCCCGGATCCCCCATGCCCGACCTGCGCCCCCCATCCGCACACGGGGACCCCCAACCTCAGCCTGCACCCCCACCCCCCAGGAGCTGGTGTGGGAAGCCTCCCACTATTTGGTACGCCAGGTGTTCCACAGCCTCCAGGAGATGTTCTCGGGGACCCGGGCCATCCAGGTGTGTGTCCCTGTGCGCCCCGACCCCCACTCAACCAGCCACTCCCTTTCCCCACTCCCTGGACCGCCCCCCACCCCAGGGCTAGCCACCCTTCTCCCCCCACAGCACTGGCTCACCGAGAGTGCCCGCCTCATCTCGCACGCTGGCTCAGCTGTGGAGTGGGTCACGCCCCTGGGCATCCCTGTCATCCAGCCCTACCACCGAGACTCCAAACTGCAGGTGTGAGGCCGGGGTGACCCCGCAGGGCTCGGGGCCTGCCCCCCCGACCCGTGGTACTTGGAGTGACACCCCCCCGGGCTCGGGTTGGCCCCCATGGGTGCCTGCCCAGGCTCACTCACCACCACCCGGCCGCCCTTGCAGGTCAGAGGTGGCATCCAGAACTTGACCTGCCACAGCAGCTGGGACAGCAGCCAGTGAGTGGGGACGGGGCTGCCGGGGCGGTGGCCGTGGACCCCGTGGACCGCCCTCCCCGCTCACCGCCGTCCCCCACAGGAAGCCCAACGTGCTGAAGCAGAGAAACGGGTTCCCGCCCAACTTCATCCACTCGCTGGACTCGAGCCACATGATGCTGACCGCCCTGCACTGTTACAGGTGCGTCGCGCCCCCTCCCCTGCTTCCCCGGCTCCCTCCCCCTGCACCCCTACAGCCACCCTCCCCCCCACCCGTCTCAGGAAGGGCCTGACCTTCGTGTCCGTCCACGACTGCTTCTGGACCCACGCGGCCGACGTCCCGGTCATGAACCAGGTATGCCCTCGGCCCGTGCCCACGCGGCGCCAGCAGGCGGGGTCCCCGGGGCCTGCTGCTGACCACCCGCCGCCCCCCAGGTGTGCCGGGAGCAGTTTGTGCAGCTGCATCAGCAGCCCATCCTGCAGGACCTGTCCCGTTTCCTCGTACAGCGCTTCTGCGCCAGCCCGCCAAGGTGAGGCACCCCGGCCCGGCTGTCCGTCTGTCTGGGGAGCACCCCCCCGTGTGTCTTCCCCGTGCCAGCCCCGGGGGTCAGCGCTGCCCGGCCCCACCGTGTCCTCCCTGTCCCGGCACAGGGGACAGAAGCTCTCACAGCACATCCACCACACAAGGTTGCTGGAGACACTGCGGGCTGTACCCGAGACAGGTGAGGAGTGGGTGCTGGGGCCCCAGCCGTGCGCCCCCAGCCCAGCCCAGCCCCAGCCAGGCTCCCCCTGCTGTGCACCCTTGGCCAGATCTCAGCTCAGCTCCTTGCATCCTTGCACCCCTGGCCCCAGTTGGACTTCCCCTCCCCGGGCACCCCCACCTTGGCTCCGGCTCCCCGCATCCTTGCACCCCCGGCCTCAGCCCGGCTCCCTCCGCAGGCGCCTTCGACCTGGAGCAGGTGAAAGAATCCACCTATTTCTTCAGCTGAGCGAGGAATAAAGGGCGGCCGCCCGCGGACACGCAGCCCCGGCGCCAGTGGTGTGGTTTATTGCGCGGAATGGAGGTGTGGGGCGATGGGGCGGGGGGGCTGCTGCTGCGGCCTCGGCCCCTCTGACAGTCAGCCCGCCGCGGGGCCACCCCAGCCCCCCGGGGGAGGAGGCCCCGCGGGTCGCGCCCCACGGGAGCCGGGCGGGTTATTGCGTGAGCGCGCTGCGGGCGGCCCTCCCGGTCCTCCCTGGGGCCCGGCGGCGACAGGGGGTAGGGGGGACACTAGGCACCGAGGTGAAGGGCGACGGGCGCGGGGTTGGGGGGGCGGCCCGGCGCGCCCTTCCGGCTCTCCTCTATGGCTTGGGGGGGCGGCTGGGCGGCTGGGCGGGAGGACGGGCGGCGGGCGCGGATGGCTTTGGTGTGGACGGCGGCGCCCCGACGGCGACGGCGACGGCGACGGCGGCTGGGGAGGGGGGCGTGGGGTCACAAGTTGGACGAGAGGCGCGAGCGCGCGGCGGCGGCGGCGGCGGAGTCCAGGGGTTCGAGGCCGCCCCCGGGCGAGGCCGAGTCCCTGCGCTCCGGGCTGGGCGCGGCGGTGACGGCGCGCGTGGAAGGCGCGGGGCCCAGGCGCGGCGTGGAGCTGCTGGCCGCGCGCGCCGCCTCGGCCACGGGAGGCCCGGGCGCGCCGTGGGGCAGCGAGGGCTGCGAGGCCGAGAGAGGGCGAGAGGCGCGGCTGAGGCGGCGTGCGGGCAGCGCGGGGCCGGCGGCGCGGGGAGCGGCCGGGGAGCTGGTCCGCGGGGCGCCCGGGGGGCTGGCGGCGGGCGGCGGGGGCGCGAGGCGCGGGGAGGCCAGCGCCAAGGGGCCCACGAGCGGCCGCGCCACCTGCGGGCAGAAGCTCATGGCCACGGCCTGCTGCAGCGTGGCGATGGCCGACGTGACCTGCGGCGGCGGCGGCGGCGGGAAGAGGCCGCGCTGGGCCAGCTCGGCGCGCTGCGCCATCTCGCGGTCGTACTTGACGATCTCCTGGATGATGGCGTTCTCCTGGTTGTTGAACACGCCCGAGTGGAGGTCGTGCTGCACCTTGTGCAAGAGCATCGAGTTCTTCTTGCCTAGGGGTGGGGGGACGGCAGCGTGAGCTGAGGGAGGGGCCGGCAGGGACCTGGGGTGCGTGTGTGTGTCAGACGGGGGAGCTGGCAGGGACCTGGGGTGCGTGTGTGTGTGAGAGAGAGGGGAGCTGGCAGGGACCTGGGGTGCATGTGTGTGTGTGTGTGTGAGAGAGAGAGAGAGGGGAGCTGGCAGGGACCTGGGGTGCATGTGTGTGTGTGTGTGAGAGAGAGAGGGGAGCTGGCAGGGACCTGGGGTGCATGTGTGTGTGTGTGTGTGTGAGAGAGATGGGGGAGCTGGCAGGGACCTGGGGTGCGTGTGTGTGTGTGAGAGAGGGGAGCCAGCAGGGACCTGGGGTGCATGTGTGTGTGAGAGAGAGGGGAGCTGGCAGGGACCTGGGGTGCGTGTGTGTGTGAGAGAGACGGGGGAGCTGGCAGGGACCTGGGGTGCATGTGTGTGTGAGACGGGGGAGCCAGCAGGGACCTGGGGTGCAGGTGTGTGTGTAAGAGAGGGGGGGGGAGCTGGCAGGGACCTGGGGTGCATGTGTGTGTGAGATGGGGGAGCTGGCAGGGACCTGGGGTGCATGTGTGTGTGAGATGGGGGAGCCAGCAGGGCCTGGGGTGCATGTGTGTGTGAGACAGGGGAGCTGGCAAGAACCTGGGGTGCATGTGTGTGTGAGAGAGAGGGGAGCCAGGCTGGGGCAGGTGTGGAGGGGAGGGCGGACCTGGGGGTGTGTGTGAGCAGGCCGGCGTGGTGGAGGTGGTGTGGTGTGTGTGTGTGTAGCAGCAGGCCCTGTTCTGTGTGTTGCGGTGCAGGAAACACTAGCCAGCAAGGAGCACCCCAGGGTCTCCAGCCCTGCCCTCTAGCTCCTGGGGTATCGCCAGCCCTGCCTCCACCCTGGTCCTGGTCCCGGTCCAGTCCCGGTCCAGCCCTGCTCCCAGCTCACCGATGCGGTCCAGGCGGTCGATGGCCACGGTCTCGAAGGCCCGCCGCATCATGGGGTACTCCTCCAGCACCTCATTGAAGTGGTCCACGCTGAGCGAGTATAGGCGGCAGTAGGTGTCGGCCCGCACGCTGGCTGTGCGCCGGCCCCGGGTCAGCAGGCAGATCTCTGTGGGCCGGGGGGGTGAGCTGAGCCACCAGAAAACAGCCCCCCAAACCTGAGCATGTCCCTAGGCCCCAGCCCAGTCCTGTACCCCACCACCCCATGGGACCCTGGCCCAGCCCTGCACCCACCACCCCGTGGGACCCTGGCCCAGCCCTGCACCCACCACCCCGTGGGACCCTGGCCCAGCCCTGCACCCCACCACCCCGTGGGACCCTGGCCCAGCCCTGCACCCCACCACCGTATGGGAGTCCAGCCCAGCCCTGCACAGCCCCTGCTCACCCTGCCACCCCACGGGAGGCCAGCACAGCCCCGCGTGGCCCCCCCCCCCGCTCCCTCTGCCAGTCCACGGGAGCCCCCGCTCACCCCCGAAGTAGGAGCCGTCTGATAGCTTCATCTCCTTGTTGCCCTTGGCGAGCACGCTCACGACGCCGTGCTGGATGAAGTACATCTTCTTGCCGATGGTGCCCTCCCGGATGATGTAGTCCCCGGGCTGGAAGACCTCGAACTTGAGCTTGGTCAGCATGGCCGTCACAAAGTTGGGGTCAGCGTTGGCAAACAGTGGCATGGAGGCCACGAGCTTGCGGCAGTTGAAGTTGACAATCTCCTGTGGGCGGGGCAAGGGGTGCAGGTGGGTGCTGACCTGGCAGGGCAAGGGGTGCAGGTGGGTGCTGACCCGGCAGGGCAAGGGGTGCAGGTGGGAGGCCAGCTACAGGGTTCCCAGAAGGACAGGAGGAAATGGTGGACAGCCAGACACAGTCACGCGGGCTGAGCTGTGCCACACACAGGACACGCAGGCTGAGCGTATGCATGGGCGGAGTGCCTGCTGTATATCGCAAACCGGGCTGCGGGTACACACATCACTGCCTGCTGTGTCACAGTGGGTGCTGAGCACCGAGTGTGGCCCACTCATGCAGTGGTGGGGCCTGCTGGCTTGCGTCCACACCCACGTCCACGGGGGGGGGGGAGGCTGGGGTTCCCTGCAGGGAACAGGTGTGGCCGAGGGTCCTGGGCATACCCTGCGAGAGGCCTGACGCCGAGCTGCCGGGGACTTGGGGGCCCGAGCAGCACCAGGGGCCTCACCTCCCGCAGCGGCCCGCTCAGCTCGCCCAGGATGCTGTCCTCGTCAAACATCTTGCCCTGGTAGCGGTGTTCGTAGTAGTCATGGATCCGCTGCCGGAAGTCAGCCGGCAGCTTGTGGAAGGACATGTATTGCTCCACCTGCTTGTACTGTGCGGGCCGGGGGGGAGAGAGGGGCTTGTCAGTGCGGCTCGGGGCCGCCCGCACCCTGGGGTGGGTGCCAGGCCCTGCCGTCCCAGGATGCCCCCGTTTCCGGCCACAGCTGCCCTGAGCTCAGCGGGACACGTGATGGCGGGTGGGTGGCAGCACCAGCTCCTGTTTGGGTGTGAGGCTGGTAGCTTCCGGACACCGGGGTGCCTGGCACGGGGCCCAGCTGACCCGGCTGACCCTGCCAGGCCCAGCTGCGCTGCCAGGGGGAGGGGGAGGGCTTGGCCTCAGGCCAGCGCCAGGCGGCAGGGCAGCCAGAGCAGGGCAGCCGGGGCGGCCTCCAGGGACAGTGAGCCTTGGGCTCAGAGGGGAAAGCAAGGCAGGAACAGACACCACGCTCTCCGTGCCCTCAGGGGGGGTCCCCCACCTTCTCCTGGTACTGGCGCCTCGAGGAGTCCAGGGACTGGATGAGGGCGGTGGCGTGGCCGATGAACATGGCGTAGCAGGTGGCACCCACGATCATACTGAGCATGGTCAACCAGATGTCCGTCATGCTCTCGGGGGCCTGCCGGCCGTAGCCAATGCACAACATGTGACTCATGGCCTTGAATAGTGCGAAGGAGTAGAGCTCGCTCCACGAGTGGTTCTGCAGGGTCAGGGAGGGTGGGTGGTGGGTGCGTGGGCCCCAGGAGCTCCCCCGTCCCTCCTTGGGCGAGCTGCATCCCGGGGTTGGAGCCCTAGCAGAGTGGCTCAGAGGGGAAGGCCTGAGGATGGTGGGGACAGGCCCGCCGGGGCACTGATCTGGACCCCGAGCCAGAAGGCTCAAGTCCCACCCTGGGGTCCTCACTGGCCTCCTGCACTACCCATGCCCCAGCCCCACAGTCCCCACGCTCTGGGTTGAGATAGGCTCCCTGGGGGCCAGCCCCATGCCCGCCAGGTACCGGAAACCCTTGGAACCAAAGGTGAGTCCAGCGGCCGGGCAGTGCCCTCCATCCCTGCAGGGACAGGTAGCTGCCCTGTGTAACTGCGCCCTGCGGGAGGCCCTGACAGAACTCCTGGCCCAGCCGCTTGGGGGTGAACCGGCAAGTGGAAGGGCCTCTGGCTCTGCCTTTCAAGTCAAAAAAACCTTTATTTGCACCAAAATAACTCACCTATCTCCATCCCAAACATCTACAACAGGCAGCCAGGCCAGGCGGGGGCCAGGAGCTCATCCAGGTCACACACGTGGGTGCAGGGCCCCCCCAGGCCTTGGCAGGGAGCTGGGTCAGCAGTGGAACCCTTGGGACCCTGCAGCCATGTGGGAGACCCGAAGCTCCTGGCTCCTGGCTTCGGATCGGTTCAGCTCTGGCCACTCCACCATTTGAGAAGTGAGCCAGCAGATGGAAGATTTCTGTCTCTCCTCTCTGGATAGCTGCCTTTCCAGTAAAAATAAATCTTAAAAAAAAAAAAGAGTGAAGCCACTGGACTCCTTGCCCAGGTGGGATGGTGGCCTGCAGGTGGAGGCTCAAGCTGCCAAGCCCTAGTTTAGCTGTAAATGCTGTTTCCAAGAAACCCCGGAAGTGTCCCTGTGTGTGACAGGAACAGCTGAAGCTGGGCAGGGTGCATGGCCTGGGGACGCCTGGCCGGGGCCGGGGCTCACCACCATCTTGTTGATGGACACCCAGCAGTCGTGCGGGAAGTCCTGCAGCATGGGCACCAGGAACTGCAGGCAGCCGTCCCAGTGGCACAGCAGCAGCATCATGCTGATGAGGTTACAAATGCGCATCACCGCGCTCGCCAGGTCGTAGGTCATGTGGAAGATCTGGGGGGTCAGGAGCCGGTCAGCCAGGGGGGGGGGGACGTCGAGGCCCCCACCCCGGCCCCCGTGTGGCCCCCGGCCCCTATGAGGCCCCCGTGTGGCCCCTGCGAGCCCCCGCCCCTCAGCAGGACCCCTCGGCGTCACCTCACACCTCCCCACACTGTCCACGCTGGCCCTGACCTTCCACCTCACGGGAAACTCCAGATCCCCCCCACAGCTAGAGCCCCTCCCTGGCCACGCCCACCAGCAGTCCCGCCCACTCCGGGCCCGCCTTCACTTGATCCCACCCCCTTCACCACCTCTCACTGACCCAGGCCACGCCCTCTCCTCTCCCTGGCTCCACCCCATCCAGGCCCCGCCCCGCCCTAAACTTTCCCAAGCCCCGCCCCTCCTACCACGGGCCCGCCCCCACCTCCTCCCACTGGTGGATGTAGCGGATGAGCCACTTGGCCCCGCCCACCTCCTCCCACTGGTGGATGCAGCGGATGAGCCTCGGCCCCGCCCTCCCCGGCCCCGCCCACCTCCTCCCACTGGTGGATGTAGCGGATGAGCCGCTCGGCCCCGCCCTCCCCTGGCCCCGCCCACCTCCTCCCACTGGTGGATGCAGCGGATGAGCCGCTCGGCCCCGCCCTCCCCGGCCCCGCCCACCTCCTCCCACTGGTGGATGCAGCGGATGAGCCGCTCGGCCCCGCCCTCCCCTGGCCCCGCCCACCTCCTCCCACTGGTGGATGTAGCGGATGAGCCGCTTGGCCGCGCCCACCTCCTCCCACTGGTGGATGCAGCGGATGAGCCGCTCGGCCCCGCCCTCCCTGGCCCCGCCCCCGGCCCCGCCCACCTCCTCCCACTGGTGGATGTAGCGGATGAGCCGCGACAGGCGCAGCAGGCGCAGCAGGCTGAGGATCTTGGTGAAGCGCACGATGCGCAGCGCGCGCGCCGTCTTGTAGACCTCGGAGTCGATGCCCTTCTCCACGATGAGGAAGATGTAGTCGACGGGGATGGAGGACACGAAGTCCACCACGAACCACGTGCGCAGGTACTTGCGCTTGATCTTCTCCGGGTCCAGGATGATCTCCGTATTGTCCTCCACCACGATGCCCGTGCGGAAGTTGAGCGCCAGGTCCAGCAGGAAGAAGGTGTCCGAGACCACGTTGAACACGATCCAGGGCGCCGTGGTCTCGTCCTTGAAGAAGGTGATGCCCACCGGGATGATGATGAGGTTGCCCACCATGAAGAGCAGCATGGTGAAGTCCCAGTAGAACCTGCGGGGACGGGGTGCCACAGGGGTGGGCACCGAGTGCCTGCCCGGGACCCACCCTCATCACCCCGCGCCTACCCGGGGACAAGGACGGGCACCCACCCACCGCCCTGCGCCCACCTGGGACAAGGACGGGCACCCACCCACCGCCCTGCGCCCACCCGGGGACAAGGACGGCACCCACCCACTGCCCTGCCCACCCACCCACCCACCCACTGCCCTGCGCCCGCCCGGGGACAAGGGCGGGCACCCACCCACCCACCGCCCTGCGCCCACCTGGGACAAGGACGGGCACCCACCCACCGCCCTGCGCCCACCCAGGGACAAGGGCGGCCATCTACCCACCGCCCTGCGCCCACCCGGGGACAAGGACGGCCACCCACCCACTGCCCTGCCCACCCACCCACTGCCCTGCCCACCCAGGAACAAGGGCGGCCACCCACACACCACCCTGTGCCCACCCAGGGACAAGGGCAGCCACCCACCCACTGCTCTAAGCTCGCCCAGGGCCAAGGCCTACCCACCCCATCTAGGCAGCGCTCAGGAAGTGTGGGGGGAGTGGGAGCCAGGCAGAAGGTGCTGGCCCAGGAAGGAGAGTGAGGCCCAGGCAGGCGGAGACCCCAAGCAAGGTCTGGTGTCCACAGCGCCAAGCACAGGGACACACGATGGGACGGGCAGCTTCCACTGCAGGGACGTGGAGGCAGACAAAGCTCCAAGGTCAGCTGCTGGACACCACCTGCCGCCCACTTGGCAGATGGCAGGCTGGGGTCACGTAGCTGACAGCCCCCCCAGGGGGGAACACTTGGGGGCCCAAAAAACTGGACCAGCTGGTCCATCGAAACAGGACACCCGCCCAGGACAGCAGCCCTGTCGACACACTCCTCACCACCCAGCAGCCACCGCGGCAGGCCTGCCACTTCACCACAGGGCATGACAGGCGGAGAAACCAGCCCCCAGCCTGCACGCTACCCCGGAAGGCATCTCCCAAGGTCCCCCAGCCCAGGGGGCAGCCGCAAGGGCACCACTGTAGACCTGGATCCCTGCCAGGCCCATGGGAGCTTCTGGCTCCTTGGGGAGTGAACCAGCAGATCTTAAGAAGTGCAAAGCAGTGGTTGAGGTGTGTAAACCATAGTGAGCCGAATTCCAGGGTTCCAACCCCACGGGGGAGACGGCAAAACTGCCGCCGACAGAGTGAGGCCCAGCGAGACCCACACGACTTGCAGCCCACAGACCCAGCTTGCTCACAGCTGGCCCAGCCCGGCTGCAGGCCGACTGCTTGGCGTTGAGGAGGCCTCCCAGCCTCCACGGCCCTGGCACTCCGCATGCCAGCTGTGGCCACCACTAGCACGAGGCACATCTGGGTCCATGGGAGCCGCTGGTAGCGTGAGCTCCTGGGGCAAGGCAGTGCCTGCACCTCCATCATATGCATACCTTCTTCTTCCTGTCCCAGCCAGGCCACCCGCGCCCCAGATCCCTGAGCGGGCAGGTTGCTACCCCATGGCCTTGGCTGCCCCTCAGCTCCCTGGTAGCCTCAGGATGGGGGCACAGGTCCCCGGCCCGCCAGCACCAGGGGTGTCTTTACACCACCTCTGTCTATGGCCATCCCCTGGGGTCTCCCCGTGTAGTCACAGCAGTGGCCACGTCTCCAGGATGTGGGCAGAGCTGGTCAGTTTCCTGTCATGAATCCACAACCACTGGCCGCCCATGCAACCACTGGGCCACACTAGACTTCCATGGCAGGATGTACCCCCTTCCAGGCCCTGCCCAGGCAGTGATCCCAGGCCTGGGGTGCCCATCCTGAGACCAGGATCGGGGCGCTGGTCCAGGCTCCCACCAGCAGCCTGGGGTCTGTCCTGGGCCTAGTTTCTGCTGCCTGTGGCCAAGGTACATCCTTTAGCCAGGACTGGGCTCTGGCCGAGGCACCGGGTCAGCCGGCAACCTGCACCCTCGGGGAACCCCAGCCAGGCGTTCCACTTCGGGGAACGGATCCCCAGGAAGTCATCCAAAAGGAAGAGAAAAAAAACATTAAAGAGCCATTTACAGCCAGGCAGGCATTCGAGGCCAGCGCCAAAGCTTGGCCGGGACCCAGCCCTGCCGCAGGCGGCAACAACCAGGCGGGGCCGGGGGGAGGGGGGTCAGAGCCCGGACTGAGGCCAGGCTGTGCCCTTGGCCTGCGCAGCCCCCAACCCCAGGAGCTCTCAGGTGCGTGGGCTTCAGGGGCGGTGGGAAAACCAAAGCCCTGTCCCCTGCAGGGAGGTGAACACACCCCAGCGCCTCGGCCCCCGGGGTCAGCTGCTGCAGACAGCCCCCAGCGGACAGGATAAATGACCGGCAGGATTAGAGGTGGTGAGCCTGTGGGATTAGGCTTGAGCAAGCCGGCTCTACAGCAGGTGTCTGGGATTAGGGCACCAAGTCCCCACAGCCCGGTTCTCAGATGCGGACCAGGGTGGGGCTGAGCACAGAGACCCAGGGTCACGGCCACCCCGAGGATGGTGAGCCGTCTGCTCAGGGCAGAGCCTGCCTCAGTGCATCCCAATTGTAAGGCCCCCGTAGCCATGAGGCAGCCCCGGCTTGCCCAGCGCGAGGGGTGGGGTGTGGCCACTGAGGGGCTGCTGGAACCAGTGAAGGCACAGTGACTCCACGAGCTCACGTGACTTGAGGGGACATGGTGGGGGTTGGGCAAGGCCCACGGAGGAGGCAGGACCCACCAGCTGTCGGGGCTCCAGGCTGGAGCTTCCTGGTGCCGCCCCCCAGGCCAAGCTCTGCAAACAGGGGTCCTGCTGGTCCCGGCAGGTGCAGGTCTGCGGGCCTGCAGACGCGGGGCCCATGGCATGGCACAGTGAGGAAGACGTGGCCAGGACCTGGGCAGCACGCACACAGCCAACACAGACACACACACACACAGACACACGGACACATGGACACACACTCAGAGACACACACAGACACATGGACACACACAGACACACCCACACAGCTGACAGATAGAGACATACAGACACGCACAGAAACACACAAATACACACACAGGCACCCGGACACGTGGGAACTTGAAGATGTCTGTAGATAAACAGGACTCATCCTGCGGCTGGAGTGTGAGCCTGCCCTCATGCACACAGCTGCGCACGTGGCTGCCTCGGGTGACCCTGGACGTGGCCAGGGGTGCCCAGAGTGCAGTTCTGCCTCTGTCTTGGACCACACCGGGCTGGGAGAGACCCAGGACGCTTAGTGGAAACCCTGCAGGACGCTATGAGGGGTGGCCCAAAGTGGTCACCTGCCTGGGGAGTCCTCAGGGGCTCCCACAGCAGGTGGAGCCCCACCTTCCTGCCAGCCACAAGCAAAGGTGCCCCCACTTGCCACAAGGAGGGAGCCTTGGGAAGGCACCTGCTAGTGCCCAGCCTCACTGTGTCCCTGACTGTGCCCCTGGGGACCGGAGGAGGCCAGAAGCTCCTGTTCACAACCACGTGTCCTCCGTGGGCCCCTCTGGCCAGCTGGGGTTCAGCAAAGAGCAGGAGGCCCATGCCCACTCAGTGCCCCCATCCAGAAACACCCCAAACTGGGCCAGCAGAGAGCTGCTCCTGGAGAGGCTTCCGCCGAGCCTGACCCGGCCTCGGGTGCCTCTGGGCCTGTCTACCAAGGGACAGGGGTGTCCCCGTGGACCCGCGGCCGCTGCTGACCGAGAGACCCAGGGGAAGAGCGGAACGGGCCGGGCGCTGTCCGCGGTGCTGAAGCCCCGTGCGCCCCGGCGTGCGCTCCGGGCCACGGCACGGCCGGGCGCACGGGAGGCCACGCTCCCCGTCCACACACGCTCGGCCTGCACCGCCGCCCCGCGCGCGTCGGTAGCTCCACGCCCACCTCCGCTTAACCCACTGTCGGCCGGGCTCGCGGCGCGCCCTTCGCGGCCGCCCTTCCCGTCTCCCCCGCGCCCGGGGCAGGGCGGAGCCTCACGCGTCCCTGCGCTCCACCGCCCGAGGTCACCCGCGCGGCCCGCGCGCTCACCTGAAGTCGCTGTACGGGTGAATGATCCAGGCCCCCGCCGACTTGACGCGCTCCTGCTCGCGCTCCACCGCCTTCTGGCTGCCGAACATCCGCAGCGAGAACTTGTTGACGCCCGGCTGCAGGAGCGCGCCGAACTGGCGCTGCATGAAGCTGGCCTGGCTGCCGCGCGGCTCCGCGGTCGGGCCCGCCTCCTCGCTGCCCGTTTCGTCCGCCGGCCCCGACCCCGCCGCGGGCCCCGAGGCCGCCCCGCGGCACGAGAACGACACCTTGGGGCCGCGCGCCGGGCCCTCGGGCCCCGCGGGGCTGCACTGCGGCTCGCCGCGCCCGCACTCGCCGTTCGGGCTGCCCTTGGCCGCGCTGGTGGCTCCGGGGGTGCTCGGCCGACCGCACGAGCTGTCGCGGCTACGGAGCCGGGCGCGCGGCGGGCCGCCCTCGTCCGCCGCCTCGGGGCCCGCGGGCTCGGGCCGGGCGGGTTGCGCTGGGGGCGCGGGGCCCGGGGGCGGCGCGGGCGGCGGCGGCGGCGGCTGCTGCTGCTGGGTGGGCGCGGGCGGCGGTGGCGGCCCCGGCGCGGGGGTCGCGCCCGGGCTGTCCCCGGGCCGCCCGCCGCCCCCGCGCGCGTCCATGGCGAGGCGGCGCCGGGCAGTGCGGAGCGCAGCGGCCGCCGCCGCCGCCGGCCCGAGCCCGAGGGAGGGGCGCGGGGGCGGGGCGCGGCGGGGGGCGGAGCCTCGGGGGCGGGCGCCCCGCCTCTGCTCGCACCCCGCGCCCCCCGTGCGGCGGCGGCGGCGGCGGGGCCGGGAGGGCCCAAGGGCACGCGGCTCCAGGGGCGCGAAGGACGCGTCCAAGGTCACGGAGCTCGGGCGCGCGGCGCGGCGCGGCCCGCACATTTCCCCCTCCCCGAGAGACGCGCGCTTGTCGCGGCCACCAGAGGCCCTGCCTCGCCGCGGGAGCACCCTGGGCGCAAGCCCTTGCAGGCTTGCTGGGGGTGAGGAGGGGCAAGGCGACGTCGGGGTGTCCTTGCCTGGGGTCCCGTGTGCCGCTGTCGCCGCTTGCACGGGGTCTGCAGGTCACAGAGCCGACCGCCCACCCCCCTGCACACTGTGCAACCGGAGTTTAGCAGGAGGAGGTCCGTGCCTGCCTCTGTGCCCCCTGCCTGCCCGTCCCAGTGGGCAGCTCTGGAGCACGCTCCAGCTTCTGCACGGCCTGCTCTCCAGGCGTCTCCTCACCCCAGGGACTGCCTGCGTTTGGCGGGGCCAGGCTATGCCTACCCAGGGCGTATGTGTGTCCCAGCCCGAGGGGGGCGTTTGATGTTTCCCCCGGAGGGGATATGTCGGGCCTAGCAGGCTGTGCCGGAGACCAGGGGTATCTGCCGAGCAAGGAGCAGGTGCACATGGCCACGGGAGGGCCTGCCAGGCCCACAGCAGAGCCACGGAGGCCACCTGGGTCCTGCCTGTCAAGGGCCTTGACCACTAGGTCAGCGACTGACCAGCAGGTGGCCTGGGAAGCCGCCCCCAGGGGAGGGTAGAAGCATCCAGGCCGAGCGGCAGCTAGAAGGGGTGGGGCTGGGCACCAAGTTTTGAGGGGGGAACTGCTGTCCCTGCATGTCCTCACCCTGTCCCGTCCCGAAATTGGCTTTTATTGCCCAGGACAAGACCAGGCCAGAGCAGGCTGGGGCTGGCAGCTCCAAGGCGCATGGGCCTCCCCTCGCTGTGTAACAAGGAGCTGGTGCCCAGCAAGGCTCCACCTCTGGCTGGGTCCACTTGATGCGCCCTACCCACCTGGGGCAGGTACCCAGGCCCCTGGGGGGCCCCCAGGCAGGACCAGAGGCAGCAGAGGGGGCTGGCCAGCCCTGGGAGAAGCGGGCAGCTGGCGTGGGGCATGAATGGGCCTTGTTCGCTGGCCTGGCCCTGATCCTAGCGGGTCAGAGCACTTCCTGGCCGTCCAGTTGGTGGTGGGGCACCCTGCCCTGGGCGCTCACAGCGCCGCCTGGACTGGCCAGCACGGCCATGTGGGAGTGACCAGCCGCGCACTTCCACTGTACTCTGTAACAGGCTTCTAACGGGTTCCATGCGACTGGGAGCTACTCCTAAGATCGGTCACCTTCCTTCTCGTTTTAATACTTGTTCCCGTTTTATTTGAGGCGGATGGAGTGAGCTTCTGTCTGGCTGGTTCACTCCTCCATGGCTGGGATGGTCAGGACTAGGCTGAGCCAGGAGCTGGGCTCCGTCCATCCGGGTTGCCAGGGACGTGAGCCGGTACCACCTGCCGCCAGCAAGCAGGCAGGGGTGGAGGGTTGACCCTAAGACTAGCCCCAGCGTGGGTCCTGAGCACGCTGCCTGCCAGGCCACCCCGCAGTGGCAGCTCCTCGGGCTGCCACCACACAATCAGGGGGGCACTAGGCTTGGCAGTTTCCTGCGAGCCAGCAGGTCCCAGAGTGCCCAGGAGACGGGGCGCCTCTGCTACGCACCTGCCCACGGGAGCCCCGGTGCCATGAGACTGGAGTCTGGGTGGGACAGCAGTGCCCCCTTCAGGGAGGGCATCTGTGTTGCCCCCGAAGGTCACGGCCCGGGGAAGGTCGAGTGTGTCCAGCTGTCACAGGGCAGGCGGGAGTGACCGCGGGCAGGCCCTGTGCACGTGCAGGCAGCGCCCCCTTGTGGCGTCAGAGGGAATAGCAGGGCATCTGGGGCCAGTGTCCTGCTGGGGGATCCCAGGTGTCCAGGTCTACTCCGGCACCCCTTGTGGGTGCAGGGGCCTTGCCACGGGTGGAGAGGAGCAGCAGGAGCCGCACAGGCCACAGCCCTGGCCCGCCAACTTCCTCGGAAACTGGTCCTTGGAAGGCCGAGGTGGTGGCAAGGCCCCATCCCTACCCCTCTGGAGGATGAGGCTCCAGTCCCTGCGCCTGTATTACTGTGCTGCCCTTCTGGCTGAAGCAAGTGCTGGCCAACAGCCCAGCTGCAGCCCTGGGGAGGCCAGCTGGACGCCAGGTTGTAGGTGCAGCCATGTGGGGCTGGCAGAACACCCCCCTGGCGTGGGCAGGACCATAAAGTGTGCAGTCAGCAGCACAGGCTCTGGGGGACAGGCTGGGTGGACACTCCTCCCCCCAGGATCGGGACAACAGCTGGGTGGATGCTCCCCCTGCCCCACCCCACCCCACCCCACCCCCGCCAGCTCTAGGAAACAAGCTCAGTGGACGCTCCCCTCCCCCAGGGTCTGGAGAACAGGCTCTGTGGTCGCTCCCCTCCCCCAGGCTCTGGAGAACAGACCTGGTGAATGAATGCTCCCCTCCCCCAAGCCGACCCAGAGGGACAGCCCTGCCCACCGGAGGGCATACAGAGTTAGCAGACAGGTTTGGGGGTTCAGCCTTTATTGGGTGAGGAGCAAGCCCCCCACTGAGCCGGGGAGAGGCTGGTGGGAGCAGTGGGGGGTCACCCTGAGGGCAGCTGGGGCCACTGCTGCCTGGTACACAGGGAGGTTCGAGCAGGGCCAACAGCACCTGCTCCAGTGGGCACGTCGCCTGTGACCTTCTGGGGGACAGGGTGGCACTGGATGCCTGCAGGGGTCAGCCAGGGCCCAGGGCAAGGAGTGGCACACACGGGGAGGGAGGGGCGGGTGGGAAAGGGGGTGCTGAGGGGCAGGGTGGGGGGGGGTTCTGGGATGTGGCACTGCTGGGAAGGGCGGCAGACTCCAGGCACCTGCAGGGGGAGGTGGCGCTCATACCACAGGCCGTCCCCCATCCTCCCAGCCCGCCCCCCTCCCTCCTGCCCAGCACCCGCCCAGCACCTGCTCAGGAGGCATTCCTCTGACGGACGTTCTTGCCCTTGTCGTTCGCGTGGTGCCCGCTGCTCTTCCTGGACGAGGGAAGAAGCCAGCCTGAGGACATGTGCCCAGGCCAGCCCGACCCCCCCCAGCCCCCAACCCTAAGCAGGACTTACAGTGGAGCGGCACCCGCATCATCATCTGGGTACATGGAAGAGAAAAAGGGGGTGTCAGCGTGACGTGCTGCTTCCTTGTCACGGGACCACAGCACGCAGGCTCAGAGGCTGGGCCCACTCCGGGCTCACTCACCGTCCAGCACCTCGTCAGGCTTCCGCCGCTTCTCATAGATGAAGATGATGGTGACCAGGACCAGCACCTCGGCCACGATGCCCAGGAAGGGCCAGAGGGCGGCCAGGCGGCTGCGCACGCGCAGCGTCACCACCACCTCCTCCGAGCCCTGCTCGCTGGTGCCGTTGCAGGCGTACTGCCCGGGGTCCAGCTCCAGGTCCAGGTCCCTGATCTGCAGCTCCGACTTGGCGTCTGAGTGGCTGATGACGAACTTGCTCTCGGAGCCATTCACGATGACCTGGGCGGGTACGGGTACGGGGCTGAGGGCCACGTCCCCCCCACCCCACGTCCCAGAGCCCACCCCCACCCCCGCCACCTTTCCCCCTACAGTCCTCACCTGGAGCCCAGTGTCGGCCACCTTGTACCAGAGCCAGCTGGTCACGGGTGGGTAGGAGTCGGACTTACACACCAGCGTGACCGTCTCCCCCTCGTTGGCGTGCTCCGACTTCTTCACAGCCTTAATTCTGGGGGGCCCTGGAGGGACACAGGCAGAATGCAGCTTTGCACCCATGGGGAGGCCTGGCCTCCCCCGCCCCTTCCCAAGCCTGCCCAAAGGACTCACCGAACGCGTCCAACTCGGCACTGCCCGTGCCCTCGGGGAGGAAGACACAAGAGTACCGGCCAAACATGTCATCCCCGGATGCCCTGTGGAGGAGCGCGACTGCTGAGGCGCCCCCTTCAGTACCCCAGACCCGGGTGCTCCCACTCGCGCCCCCCTTCAGTACCCCACACCCGGGTGCTCCCACTCGCGCCCTCCCCACGCTCACTGGTTCTCCATCTCCAGGCCGCCCCCCCCCTGCACCTCCCACACTCACTCGTACTGCGTGTGCAGCCCCGACTCCTGGTCCTCGTGGAGAACCTTGTCCCCCCGGAGCCAGCGGTGGCCGGTCACCTGTCCTGCACTGTCACTCAGGGTACAGGACAGCAGCACTTTGGAGTCCGATCTTGTTACTTCCGTGGTCACGGTGCCCTCTGGAAGCCACAGAGAGAGAGAGAGGTCAGCCAGGGTCCTCCGCCACGTGCCCCACCCTGCTGGACGGGCACCTGCCTGGGTGCTGCCCCATGGCCCCCCGAACCAACTGGAACTCTGGTCCAGGAGACATCCCGGCAGGACACCCTGGCCCCTGGCCCCAAGAAGACACCCCCTGCCCAGCCCAGCCCCTCTCCCAGGCTGTAACAACAGCCAGCGAACCTCATGTCCATTAGGCTCTGAGACCAGAAAAACCACTGGGAGCCAAGGCTGACCAGCCCACCTGGAGGCTTCGGACACCCACGAGGCAGCAGACCCCAGCCCACCGACAAGGACGGAGCACAAAGGACGGAGGACACAGGTGAGGGTCGCGGGGCGTGACCAAGGATCCGCCTGCTGGAGGGCGGGCTGAGCCTGCTTCCAGCCCAGCTGTCCCTGTCAGAGCGGGAAGGACCTGGACTGGATGGGGAAAAGGCTGGGTTCTACGGGCAGGAGCCGGTGGCACAGAGGGACGCTGGGGAAAAGAGTGCCAGCCACTCACGTTCCAGGACCACCAGGCTCGCCTGGGCACGGACCCACTTGACCCGGGGCGGCCGCGTGAGGTGGTTGCGGTCGGGGTCGTTGCTGGCCCGGCACTCATAGGTGCCAGCATCCTGGGCGCGGAGCCGAGCGATGGACATGGTGCTGGCCGCACGCTCGCGGTAGGCGGTGTGGATGTGGACACGGTCCTGCCAGGCGCCGTCCCACAGCTGGGAGCTCGTGTCACCGGGACCGTCCCCCTCAAACCACCACTGGATCTCGGGCAGCGGGCTGCCCACAGCCTCGCAGTGCAGCTCCACGCTGCCCCCCACCCGCCCCTCCTGGGACAGCGGGCACCTCACAAAGCCAGCTACAGGGAGAGGCGGGAGAGAGCCTAGTGAGTGGGCAGGACCGCCAGCGAGTGCCCCCTACCCTAGCAGGGACTGACCCCTAGGTGGCCGGGAACCTCTCCTAATTTTTTTTTTCCCCCTAAGGTTTTATTTATTTGAAAGTTAAGAGCTGGTCCGACTGCTGGTTCATCCCCCAGGTGTCTGCCAGGCCAAAGCCAGCAGGCTTCACCTGTTCACACTCTCCAGGGCACAGGGTCCCTAAGATTATGGGACCAGGTGGGCTCTGCTCCCTAAAACACCTTCTGGGGACAGGACTCGGGACCACGGAACAAGGTGCAAGCAGCTTGCACAGGGCCCACACCTGCCTTCCCCAAGGGCACAGCCGGCAGGCCTGGGCAAAGGTAAGGCCGGAAGTGAGCGCAGAGGAGGTCCGGTGGGCCCCTGTGTCATGGCTGTGGCCTCATGTGTGACCAGCACGCCTCAGCGCAGGGCAGGGGGGGGGGGAGCCACGCCATCCGGGCCAGACAGGAGGCATCTGTGAGGTGGACGTGTGGTCTTTGGGGGTCCCTAACATCCAGTGCCTGGAGGAGCAGCGGTTGGGGGGGTCTGACCCTCGGCCGCAGCTCAGCGTGGGCCGTCACCTGCATCTATAAACAGCTGCCTCTTGGCCCGGGTGCCAGCCAAGGCGGGCAGGGGGCCAGCGGGCAGGGACTCGGTAAACAGGCCCTGCCTAGGGCGGGGCCGCCTGGACCGCTCCCTGCCCCAGCCAGCCCAGCCGGCCCTCCTGCAGAGGGGGTCCCCTCTGGGTCCTGACCCCTGACACAGGGAGGGGACGGGCCGAGGCCACCCAGTGTCCCCAGGAGGCAGACCACTGGGGCGGCCCCCGGCCCCGGCCCGGCCTTACAGGGAACAGGAAGTCGGGCAGGTGGTGCGGCCGAGGACGGCCCCGTTACCCGGCGCACGTCGCACCCGCACCCCGGCGCGCAGGGGGGGTGGTCCCCGGGACACCGCATTTGCTCCTGGGGAACCAGGCCTGGACCCCTTCCCGGCGGCCCGGGCGACCTCACGGTGACCTTCGGGGACCAAATCCCCGCAGGAATGCTAATCCCTGGGACAGGCCCGCGGCCGCCATGTCCACCCTGGGGCCTCGGAATCGGCCGCAGCCCGGAGCACGGAAGGCATGGTCCCCGATCCACCCGGGTCACCGTGCACACGAGGCCGCCCCGTGCACCCGAGGCCGCCCCGTCCACCCGAGCCCGGGGCCATCCATGCACCCGAGACGGCCGTGTCCACCCCGGCCCCGGGGCCATCCGTCTACCCCGGCCCCGGGAGGCTCCCGGCCCGGCTCCCACCTGCCGCCGAGGCGCTTTCGACGCGCAGCAGCGCCAGCCCCAGCACCGCGAGCAGCACCGCCGCCATGGCCCGTCCGCGTCCGCCGTCCGCCGCGCCCGCCGCCGCCCGCGGCCCCTATAAGCGCGGCCGGGCGCGCGCACGCTGGGCGGCGTCCAGGGGCTCTCCGCGCACGCGCGCACACGCACGTACGCGGGCGGTGGGCCACGTGACCCGGCCTCGGGGGCGGGGCCGGGAGCTCGGGGGTCCTCGGGGTCCCCGGGTTCGCGGGGCGCCCGCTTTTCTGGGGGGCGCTGGATGTGGCGTGGTCGGGGGCTGCGCCTCCAGCCCTGGGGTGCGGCTGCTGCCCAGGGGCAGGGTGTAGGGGCGCAGGGAGAGCGGAGGGGCTGTGCAGGGAGAGCTGGGGGCGCAGGGAGAGCGGAGGGGCTGTGCAGGGAGAGCTGGGGGCGCAGGGAGAGCGGAGGGGCTGTGCAGGGAGAGCTGGGGAGGCACAGGACCCAGCAGGGTGCAGGGGGAGCTGGGGGGCACAGGACCCAGCAGGGTGCAGGGGGAGCTGGGGCGCAGGGAGAGCTGGGGGCGCAGGGGGAGCTGGTGGTGAAGGGAGAGCTAGGGGCGCAGGGAGAGCTGGGGGGGGCGCAGGGGGAGCTGGGGGTGCAGGGAGAGCTGGGGGGCGCAGGGGGAGCTGGGGGGCACAGGACCCAGCAGGGTGCAGGGGGAGCTGGGGCGCAGGGGGAGCTGGGGGGGGGGGCACAGGACCCAGCAGGGTGCAGGGGGAGCTGGGGGCGCAGGGGGAGCTGGTGGTGAAGGGAGAGCTAGGGGCGCAGGGAGACCTGGGGGTGCAGGGAGAGCTGGGGGGCGCAGGGGGAGCTGGGGGGCACAGGACCCAGCAGGGTGCAGGGGGAGCTGGGGCGCAGGGGGAGCTGGGGGGGCACAGGACCCAGCAGGGTGCAGGGGGAGCTGGGGCGCAGGGGGAGCTGGGGGGGATGGAGGGCCCAGCAGGGTGCAGGGGAGCCGGGGGTACAGGGAGAGCGGGACGCAGGGGAGCTGTGGGGGTGGCGCAGGACCCAGCAGGGCACAGGGGTAGCTGGGGGCGCAGGGCCCAGTGGAACAGCCCTGACCCGGGTCCAGCGGGGCGCAGAGGCCGGCTACGTGCGGGACATGAGGGCTGGAGGCCCGGTGAACAATGGTGGGCTGGCGGAATTCCCGCCCCCTGCTGGTCCCGGACGGCCTGGAAGCCGAGGCCTTTGTTCGCAGCCGCGGGGGGGGGTTTAGTCGGAGACCCAGTTTTTTGGTCGCTCCCTGGAGAGCAAACACAGCCCGGGCCCCCAGTCAGGCGCCGGGGCCTCAGGGTCCCCCGCCAGCCCGGCTGGCTCTGTGCTGGGGGGTCCTGAGGGGTCCTGTGGGGTCTGCCCCGGGTGAGCCAGCCCCAGCATCTGCACCTTGTCCCGGCGCAGCGGAAGCACCAGGGAGAGTCGTCCACTGTGGCCCTGCTGGCCTGTCCCTCTTCTGTCGCTCAGTCCCTGGAGGCCTTTCCCAGAATGCCTGAGAACGTGTGAGTGACAGGTGCCAGAGGCATTGCCGTGGACACTGCCCAGGGAAGGCCCTGGTGACCCTGACTGCTTTCCTGCTTGGAAAGGGGTCCTGGAGGCGGGTGAGCAAGCACGATGTCAGTGTCACCCTCGGAGGTCAGAGACCCCCCCAGGCTAAGAGCCCTGGCTGGCGACAAGCTGGGCCCAGCCTCATCCCAGCCGGGGTGGCTGAGGCTTCAGGAGGACAGCCACAGGGAGCAGAAGCTGGCCTGTACCTCGTCTGCAGCCTAGAAGCTCAGACCGCCCCCCCCCGCACCCCTGAAACACAGGGACTTGGGGGGGCGCGCTGTGGGGATCTGCTGGTTTCTGAGGGGTGGCAACAGAGGTGAGAGGGCAGTGGAAAAACTTGGGAGGTGCCTGCCCCACCCGCTGGGCGAGCCAGCCGCCTTAAGCCCTGGGTGGGGCCCAGATGCCCTGGGCCAGGTCCTGGAGGCTGAGGAGGGAGCCTGGGGCCAGAGATAAGGCTGGCCTGGGCTGGCCTGGCCTGCTGGCTCCTTCTGGCCCCAGGGAGGGGGACATGGTTGAAGTTAACGCTGGTGGGTGAGGGGCAGAGGGCAGGACAGACACAGACCCCCCCCCCCCACAGGTCAGAGGAGGCTCGCCCAAGAGCAGCCTGCGCCTCCCCAGTTGCCAGTTTAGTGCTGTCTCGGGGCACAGCCCAGCTCAAAGTCGGAGGGAGTGGGCAGGAGTGGCTGTGGCCCCATGGCTGCCCGAGGGCACAGTCCCCCGGGTCCCCTCTGAGGCCAGGGCTCTCCTGTGGTCCACCTCCCTCCCAGCCCCACCCTGCCTAACTGGGCTCACTGCTGGTGTGGCCAGGAGGTTCGTGCTGGGCTGTGTGGAAAGTTATTTATTTATCTAAAGGGCAGAACAGAGCCCTTCCATTGCATGGTTCCTTCCACCAACACCCGCAGCAGGCAGCGCAGATCAAACCCCAGCCACTGTCCCGGGGGTGGAGGGGCCCTGCGCACCCACCCCAGCTCTGCCCCCTTCATTGCAGCCCCCTGGGCATTGAGCCAGCAGACACTCCCCTCCCTCCTCTAACTTTGCCTTTAAATCCGTATTTTTTTTTTAAAGACTTATTTATTTTTGTTGGAAAGTCAGATACACAGGAGGAGAGACAGAGAGGAAGATCCTCCACTCACGGATTCACTCCCCAAGTGGCCACAACGGCTGGAGCTGAGCCAATCCAAAGCCAGGAGCCTCTTCTGGAGTTCCCATGCAGGTGCAGCCAGGACTTGAACCGGTGCCCATATGGGATCCTATTGCTGGTGGAGGATTAGCCACTGAAACCATCACATGAGCCCACTAGTAAATCAACCTTTAGGAAAAACAAGTTGTGGGCCTGGCATGGTAGCCTAGTGGTTAAAATTCTCACCTTGCATGCATCAGGATCCCATATGGGCGCCGCTTTGTGTCCCGGCTGCTCCACTTCCCATCCAGCTCCCTGCCTGTGGCCTGGGAAAGCACTCGAGGACGGCCCAAAGCCTTGGGACCCTGCACCCGCGTGGGAGACCCGGAAGAGGGTCCAGGCTTCAGATCAGCTCAGCTCTGGCTATTGCGGCCGCTTGGGGAGTGAGTCAGTGGATGGGAGATCTTTCTGTATCTATGACTTTCCAATCAAAATAAATAAATCTAAAAAAACCAAAACAAAACGCATGTTTGTGGGGGAAAAAAAAAAAAAACAATCTCTGCATTCAAAAAAGAGTTGCAATCTCTTGGCCTTTCCCATAGTCGCATTTTTCTGCTGCTCTGGGACTTAAGAATGGAATTCAATAGGATTATCATTTGGTAATTGCCCTCGTGTAAAGATGTTAGCCAGGGACCTGGAAAGCGAGGCCAGCATGGTTCCCACCCAGAGCCTGCCGCGCCCACTGCAGCGGGAGGGGGAGAAACACGTGAGGTCCCTGAGCTGGGAGCAACAAGGGGCGGCTCTGGGGGGCCCACAAGGGGCGATACTCAGCGATGGAAATCAGGGCAGAGTACGGAACTCCACACGTGTACATGGACATATCTGTGGGCAGGGCACACCAGCACACGGGCACACCCGCACACGGGGACACACCTGTATGCACACACACCTGTATACGGAGATACTTCTGCACACCTATATATGGGGAGACTCCTGCACAGACACACCCGCACATGGGACACACCCGCACACGGGGACACACCCGCACACGGGGACACACATGTACTCTCACGGAATCCCTTAGCCTCATCCCCTGGAGAGCACGACTGTGCAGGGTGTTCTCTGTGTCAACAGCGGCTCCGCTAATGGCAATGCCAACACCTTCCCCCAGCACTCACTGTACCCTTCCAGCCCCCGTGCCCTCGGGCACACAGTGTGTTAGGACTGTGGGCTTTATCAGCCCGGCCCAGGTGTGCTCAGCTCCCTGTCCGTGGTGGGGAGGAGCCGCAGCTAGGATGGCACCGAGGGCTGTTATCGTTACCCACTGCTCCCCGGCTGGACCCAGCCCGGCACAGTCTGCAGCCAGGCTCTCTCAGCTCCCGACGGACCCTGGAGCTGGAAGATGGGTGCCAAGCCATCAACAGGATCCTGCCCCGGCACAGCCTGCACCCAGGAACACCCTCCTCCTCCCTCCTTCTCACCGCAGGGCCCCCCCGCCCCTGCATGTCCCTCCAGGCCACAAACCTGGGCACCCTTCCCTCCCGCTTGTGCTGCCCACCTCCAGCAGTGCCAGGTGCTGGCTTGGAGCCAGTTGGGAATGGCATCTCCCCGGAGAACTACCCTGCTCTGTCTTCCCCAGGCAGGACACAGATGCTGCCCCTGTGGGGTCTACGGTGGCAGGGACCGGGTGCCCACCTGGCCACCCCTCACGGTGTACGCGGGCATGCCCCCCACCCCACCATGCCTCGCTGGGCCTTCTGGATCTGGCGCCTCAGTTCTCTGCCCAGCGGACAGGGCCCCTCCTTGAGACTCACAGGCACCCTAGAAAGCCCCACGGCCCACGGGCAGCCAGCAGGCGGAGCCGCGGGCCCCACCCACAGCAGGCTAGGCTCCAGGGGTGAGACTACCAAGGGCCCACCTGTGTTTTTCCAGCAGCTGGCGGGAACAGCTTTGCTCAGGCTGCAGGAGACCCTGTGGATACCCACAGGGAGCTGCCTCTGGGGATCCCTGGCCATTCGGGCCTCAATGTTGCCCATAGGGAGGAATGGGCATCCCATGGCCTCCTTCTTAGGTTGGGAGCCTGGACCCAAGCCCCCTCAGCCTCAGCGGGGTTCCCTAGGTACTACTGCCCAGGGGCCTCCATCTGCCCTGCCCCACATCTCAGCAGCCTGAGGTGAAGCCGCCACTTGGGAGGCACGGGGATTTTCCGCCCAGCTCCCTGCTCCGGTCCTGGGGTCGGGGAGTAAGGGCTCCAATACAAGGAGACCCAGAAAGTGCCTGTGTTGGCCTGGTCCAGCCCCTGACTGAAGACAGGCTTCCTTGTGGGCTTTGTCTGGCCCTGCAGAGAGAGGCCCCGACTGGAGACACGCTCCTGTGACCTTCGAGCCACAGCAGCTCCCTCCCTTCAGCCACTGGCCATCTGCACCTTGGCGGGGGGGTCCCTGTACCTGCCTGACCAGTGGCCCCCACCTCCTCCCTGGACACTGCCCTGAAGCCCCCTCCTCACTGCCGCCTTGCCCTAGGTGAACACACAGCCTGTGTTAACAGACCTGCCCACAGGGCGATGCCAGAAGTACCAGGCGAGGGGGGACCCCGCACCCCTCCTCCCCTCAAGCCCCCAGGAGGAGGCACAACTTGCCAGAGGGGCTGGTAGGGGGGCACTGTGGACGCATTGCTGTCACTGCCAGCTTTGCTGTTGCCTCAGTTCTGCTGGTAGGTGTCAAGCAGGGCCAGCCATGTCTGCCTCCCAGCCCTGGGCCGGTGCCCCCACCCTGCTGCACCCACAGCCAGTGCCAGCTGGAGACAACAGACCTCCCTAAGCAAGGAAACTGTGATGAGGTCTCTGCTCAGGCCTGCCCTCACCCCTGCTGTTGCTTATCTGAAACGCAAAGTAAAAGATCTGACAGTACCCCCTGGTCCATCCTATCAATCGGGAGCTGGAATCCTAAATTCTACCCAGGAGGTGGTGGTGGTAGTGGGGGGTCTCCAGCACAGGGGCAACCCTGCCACTCCCCAAGTCTGTGGCAGGAGTCCCTGCTGTGATGGCCTCCCATCACAACTCCTTCCCACAACTCCTTCTGGTTAATACATTACAGAAGGCCAACCCCCTAACCCCAAAGCTATCTCCTCAGTTGAATTAACATACAAAGCCGACCCTAGGTAGTGATTGACAGAAGCGCCCAGGTCCTGGCCTTTGTCAACAAGAGTTTTGTCACCTTGGCCTCCTGGGACATCAAAGTCTGTAGGTTCTTAGACAAGCAAGCAAGCATCCTAAAAGCATGCTCTGTCCATCAGTTGTGACATCTGGGCCACCAGCAGGCAGCTGGACTCACTGTGCCCCGATACCACCCCTGGTGTGTCCTCACACAAACGCATCTGACCCCCAGATCACCAAGACGGCCATGTACCATACAAACTAGGGACCCTCCGGCCGGGCAGGACGGAAAGCTGCCCTGGCTGCCCACTCCCCTGCCTGGCCTGTGGCTCACTCCCAGGACAGGCTCTCTCCAGCTTCTCAGAAAGCAGTTTTATTAGATTCAAAACAAACCCAAGCGGAGAGGGGAAGTGGCTGTTGACCACCACGAGGGGCGTGGGAGGTGGCTGCCGACCGCCCCGGCAAGGAGTGCTGTGGACCTGCCCGGCCCACGTGTGCGCTTCCCGCGGCTCCTGCAGCCCGGGTGAGGTGGCTGCTGCCTGGCCCTGGCCCCTGGCCCCCAGTCCCTGCGACTGGAAGGAGCATGGCCATTCTTAGACACAGGGGAGCTTGCAGAAGGAAAACGCAGGACGAAGCCCCCCCAATCCCCCCCGAGAGTGGGACCACATGAGACCTTGCGAGGTAGGCTGTGGCCCGCGGCCCACGCGGCGGCCCAGTGAGGTAAAGCTGTTTATTCCGGTGGGTGGGCGCACGGAGCCGCCTCAGGCCTCCTCGGGGCCCGAGTCCTCCTCCTCGTCCCCAAAGCAGCTGTCGGCCTCCCCCTCCCCCTCGCCGTCCTCGTAGTAGTCATCGTAGAAGAGGTCTGAGCCCTCCTCGGGCACCGGCGCCTTGGTTTTCACACAGTACTCGGCCAGTGTCGTGGGCACCTTGACGCCGTCGCGCTCTGCGTCCACCTTGGTCCCCAGCACCTGCTTCCTAGGGGGACAGGCAGGTGAGGGCACCCCTGAGGTCCTGCAGGCCATCCCTGCTGCCAGGCCCGGCCTGAGCCCTTAGCCAGGATGAGGTACACGGAAAAAGGGTTTTGGGGGGCGGATGGATGGAGCTGACCCTAGCCTCTGGGGCATCTGTGGGTGTTTCTTGGTGGTGTGTGGGGTAGGGCAGCGGCCACCAGAGCAAGGATGGGCTGCCTGGGATCCAGCAGGCAGCACGGCCCCCCACTCGGGAGATGGCAAGCCTGCCGGCGGGGAAGGTGATGGTGTACAGTGATCTAAAGCATCAGCAGTGGTGGATGCACCAGGCCGGGCTCCAGGGGTGTTCTCTGCACCCAGGAGCCCCCCAGCTGTGGGATCGGGTCCCCTGTGTGCTCCAGTGGGGCCTGGCCTACTCCAATTCATTTCCAAGCCTTGGAGCTTAGGCTGGTCGCCGGGCAGCTGGGTAGTGACAGCAAAGGACCCAGGGCAGCTTCCAGAACATGGTGGGGGGCAAGAGTGGCCAGGCGGCTCTGCTGACCACGGGACATCAGTGGGCGGCAGGATGCTGTTTCCCATGAGCCACGTCACATCACCTGAGGCTTGGTCCCGGAAATGGAACAAGAATGACTGACATGCTGAACACAGCGTCCACAGGGCCCAGCACCCAGCACCAAGGCCCCGCCTGGGGCAAGTGGAGGGACCAGGGCACCCCTGCTCCAGCATGACTAACACGGTGGACACTCAGGTGCCCACAACCTCCCTGCCTGTCTGTGGGCACAGGTGCCCACCCACACCGCTATGTAGTATACACACACACATACTATATACACACAGCACACACACCACATAAACATGTGCACACACGCAACCCTACACGGCACACGCACGCACACACACCACCACACGTGGGGCACACGCCATGCCCCGCCTGGCTCTGCAGGTCACAGAGGTTGGGCCCAGCCTCCCGCCTCCTACCGGATGATATCCGTGTATTCCCGGTCCTTCCCTTTGCTCTCTTTCCACTTCCTGTACATCACGGAGGCGTCCACGTTGGCCGGCGAGAAGGTGTTGGGCTCGTTCAGGAGCGAGATCACACTCAGGAGGATGGTCCTGGGGGCAGAGGCGCGTGGTCAGACCCAGGCCTACCAGGGCTAGGGGCCGACGCAGGATGGGGGGTGGGGGTGCGGGGTGTTGTGCCCTGTCCCTCTCCCTGCGTCCCCCCCCACCCCAGGATGGCCAGCAGCCCTCTTACCTGACATTCTGTGTGGGGTTCCACCGCTCCGACGGCAGCTCCCCGCTCTGGGGGTCGTCAACCGGGGGGTGCAGGATGGAGATACACACGTCCCCTGTCTGTGTGAGAAGGGATGGCCAGTGGTCAGCGCTGCCCGCAGGTGGGGCTGGGATGGGCAGTGGTCAGCGCTGCCCACAGGTGGACTGGTGGGTCTCTACACCACAGGGTCTCACCTCATAGATGTTGGGGTGCCACATCTTGGTCAGGAACCGGAAAGCTGGTGGGGAATACGGGTAGTCGAGGGGGAACTTGAGGCGAGCCTGTGGGGACGGGGTCTTGTCTCACACAGGGTACTCCAGCCCAGTAAGAGGGACCAAGGCCAGCAACGCACTGTCCGGCTGATGCAGATCCCTGTGGGCCGGGCAGCATCTGCCCTCCCCAGCTCCCACGATGACCTGTAGCAGGCGATGACCCAGCCCTTCCCCTGGGCACAGCCCCTCTCCTGGGCACCTGGCCTGGCTTCTGGAGTGGACACGGCTGCCTGGCCTGGTCTTGGGGTAGGGGTGCACACGACACGCCTGCCTGGCCTCGGGGTGGACACAGCTCCCCTGCCTGGCCTCGGGGTGGACATGGCCCCCCTGCCTGACCTCAGGGTGGACACGGCCCCCCTGCCTGGCCTCGGGGTGGACACAGCTCCCCTGCCTGACCTCAGGGTGGACACGACACTCCGGCCTGGCCTTGGGGTGGACACGACACTCCGGCCTGGCCTTGGGGTGGACACAGCTCCCCTGCCTGGCCTCGGGGTGGACACGACACTCCAGCCTGGCCTTGGGGAGGACACGGCTCCCAGACTGTGAACCCGCGGGGTGGACACGGATGCCCCCCTGGCCTCGGGGTGGACACGGATGCCCCCCTGGCCTCAGGGTGGACACGGCTCCCCAGCTGTGAACCCTCGGGGTGGACACGGATGCCCCCCTGGCCTCGGGGTGGACACGGCTGCCAGGGGCCGCCGCCCAGGGCCGCGTCGGCCGGAGCGGGGCCCACCTTGAAGTAGCCGCCTTCGTAGTAGGTGTTGGGCGGCCCGAAGATGGCCACCTCCCAGTTGTACAGGTCGCCCTCGTCCACCAGCGTCACGCGGAAGCCCTCGACCGGCTCCTCCTGCAGCCCCTTGAGCTCCAGCAGCAGCGCCTTCTGCGAGCTGGGCACCAGCGGCCGGGCCATGGCGGCGGCGGCGGCAGACGGGCCCGGGGCCGGGGCGAGCTCACGGGACGGGCCGGGCCGCGCGCCGTCGGCGGAGGAGCCGCCGGGACCGGGGCTGGGACCCGGACCGGGGCCGCCGCCGGCCTCCTGCTCTGCGCCGCCGCCGCCGCCGCCGCCCGCGCTCTCCGAGCGCTCCACTCGCCCGCCGCCCGGCGCTGCCTCACCCGGCCCTGCTGCGCCTGCGCGCCCGCCCGCGGGGCACGCCGGGAAGCCGAGTCCGCGCCGCGGGGGCAGGGCGCGCGCAGGCGCAGGGCCGCGCGCAGGCGCAGTGGGCGCGCGCCGCCGCCTGCCGCTTCCGACCTGGGGCCGCCGCCGTGGCCGCCGTGTCCGCCGTGTCCGCCGTGTCCGCGCTCTCGGGCTTCGGGGCGCTGTGCGCGGACGGCGGATGTGGCTCCTCCCGCCCCGCCGCCGTTTTTTTGTGACGTCCCCGCCGGGTGGGGCGGGCGGGGTCCGGCAGGTGCAAAGGGGTCACACCTGGAGGGCGGCCGGAGGGACAGAGCTGCCCTGTCCTCCCGTGGGCACCGGGACCGGGGCTGGTCTGTCCCCCCGTGGGCACCGGGACCGGGGCTGGTCTGTCCCCCCGTGGGCAGCTGGACCGGGGCTGGTCTGTCCTCCCGTGGGCAGCTGGACCGGGGCTGGTCTGTCCCCCCGTGGGCAGCTGGACCGGGGCTGGTCTGTCCCCCCGTGGACAGCTGGACCGGGGCTGGTCTGTCCTCCCGTGGGCACCGGGACTGGGGCTGGTCTGTCCCCCCGTGGGCACCGGGACCGGGGCTGGTCTGTCCCCCCGTGGGCACCGGGACTGGGGCTGGTCTGTCCCCCCGTGGGCAGCTGGACCGGGGCTGGTCTGTCCTCCCGTGGGCAGCTGGACCGGGGCTGGTCTGTCCCCCCGTGGGCAGCTGGACCGGGGCTGGTCTGTCCCCCCGTGGACAGCTGGACCGGGGCTGGTCTGTCCTCCCGTGGGCACCGGGACTGGGGCTGGTCTGTCCCCCCGTGGGCACCGGGACCGGGGCTGGTCTGTCCCCCCGTGGGCACCGGGACTGGGGCTGGTCTGTCCCCCCGTGGGCACCGGGAAGACCTGGACCGGGGCTGGTCTGTCCCCCCGTGGGCACCGGGACCGGGGCTGGTCTGTCCTCCCGTGGGCACCGGGACCGGGGCTGGTCTGTCCCCCCGTGGGCAGCTGGACCGGGGCTGGTCTGTCCCCCCGTGGACAGCTGGACCGGGGCTGGTCTGTCCTCCCGTGGGCACCGGGACCGGGGCTGGTCTGTCCTTCCTCTGGGCACTGGGACCGGGGCTGGTCTGTCCCCCCGTGGGCAGCTGGACCAGGATAGCTGACCCTGCCCTCTCTTGTGAGCAGATAAGTGCCATGTTTCCTGCAGGGGGAAGCTGACCCAGTCAGGCCAGGCTTTAGGGCTTCGAGGTCCCCAGTGTAAGAGATTGGGGTGAACTGCAGCATGTTCCATTCTGCTTGTCTCCAGAGGAGGACTGGGCAAGGCTGGCCATCCTTGTCCGGGGATCAGGGTGTGCTGGGTGCCCAGTCCCAGCGTGAGGAGCGGTCCGCAGGCACCCAAGAGCCAGTGTCCCCCACGGGCCACACCACTCCCCAATACCCGAGGCTAGCAGAGCTCAGCCCGAGTGCCTTGGCCTCCTGGAGGGCACTGGGGACGGGCCCAGGATTCCACCTGCTTCCCGTCGGTCCCGTGGTGCCCTGATGCGCTGCCCGTGGGGGACACCGGACGGGGATCCTGGCTACAGCCTGGCCTGGCATGCGTCCGGGTGGTGGACCAGCAGGTGGAAGATCTGCCTCCCTGCCTTCTCGTGTGAATCACCGGAACACAGCTGAACAAGCAGCAAGACAAGTTGCCGCCCAACTTAGCTAGGAAGTGGGCTCCGCTCACTGGGCCTGGGGCCTGGGGCGCGCTGCCAGCATGGCTGCTGTTTCTCCTTGGGTTGTAAAGTATAGAAGGCGCAGCCCTCCCAACCCTAAGGCTTTCTCCTCTTTCCCTTTGTTTAGCTTGCATATCCTGGCCTTCCTCACCCTGGTTTTTGGGATAAGGAAGTCTGGATATTTGGGCCTGGCTTGGTAGCCTAGTGGCTGAAGTCCTCACCTTGCATGTGCCACCATCCCATATGGGTGCCAGTTCATGTCCCGGCTGCTCCACTTCCCATCCAGCTCCCTGCTTGTGGCCTGGGAAAGCAGTGGAGGACGGCCCAAAGCCTTGAGACCCTGCACCCGCGTGGGGGGGTTGGAAGAGGCTCCAGGCTCCAGGCTCCAGGCTTCGGATAGGCTCAGCTCTGGCTGTTGCAGTCACTTGTGGAGTGAATCAGCAGATGGAAGATCTTCCTCTCTGTATCTATGACTTTCCAATAAAATAAATAAATCTTTTTGAAAAAGAGTCTATGTTCTTAAACAGCGTCATCCTAAAAGCAGGAATGATGGCCGCGGTGTGATTTAATAAAATCATTTTGGGCTCAGTACAGTAGCCTAGCAGCTAAAGTCCTTGCCTTGCACACGCTGGGATCCCATATGGGCACCGGTTCTAATCCCAGCAGCCCCGCTTCCCATCCAGCTCCCTGCTTGTGACCTGGGAAAGCACTCAAGGACGGCCCAAAGCCTTGGGACCCTGCACCCATGTGGGAGACCTGGAGGAAGTTCCTGGCTCCTGGCTCCGGATTGGCGCAGCACAGGCATCGCGGTCATTGGGGAGTGAATCATTGAATGGCAGATCTTCCTCTCTGTCTCTCCTCCTCTCTGTATATCTTAAATCTTAAACAAAAAAAAACCTTCTGAGCAGGGCTTTGGGGTGAAGCCCTGGCAGCCACAGCCCAGCGTGGGCCTTTCTGGGGTGGCCAGGCAGGGGCACACACAGCTCAGCCTCACACCATGTTTTATTACCACGAGGCAGGACCCGCTGGAGCTAGCAAGGTCTGCACTTCCTGGGAGAGTTGGGGTACGGCTCCAGGTCTTGACCTGGGGCAGGGAGGTCCTGTGGAACCCCCCCCACGCAGGGCCGTGGAGTCTCTGAGTGAGGCACGGCGGGGTTCAGCTCACGGGCTTGACCTTGGCAATGAAGAGGGCGGCCGCCTTCTCCAGGAACTCCTCCCGGGTCATCGGGGAGCTGGGCCGCCTCCCTGCGGCAGCCCGGTCCATGGCCAGGGCCAGGCTGTCAGGCCCTAGGCGCGAGCCGGCCTCCAGGTAGTGGGCAGGCGTGGTGGCTCCATCGCCGGTGCCCAGGGCTCCCTCCAGGGTGTCCAGCACCGCCTGGCCCACGCGGCGATCTGCCACGGCCAGGGCTGGGTCCTCCAGCAGGTGGAAGAGGGCGCCGGCCTGCGCCACGAACTCGAGCAGCACAAAGCAGGTGAGCATGCCGGCCCGGAAGACGCCCAGTGGCACGGCCTCATGGTCCCGGCACTGGATCTTGCGCAGCAGCGGAGCCACCACGGCCTCTGGCGCCGCACCGTCCCTGCAGATGCGTCGCAGCAGTTCGCTGTAGGTGCGCCCGTCCAGCCCCGGCCTCTTCCTGCGCCCGCTGGCGCTCAGGCACTCATAGGCCACGTTCACGTTGTTGTTGAAGGCCGTCCTGCGGGCACACAAGCGCTGGACCAGCCGGGCAGGGCCCTGTGCCCGTCAACCCCGTGTGGCCTGTGACTTTTGCTCAGACCTCCCAACCCATTAGTGTCCCAATCCACATCCCCTCTCCCGGCCAGCCTTAAGAAGAGGGCGCTTACCTGTTGGGCACAGAACTCCTGCCCACACATAGCAGGCTCCATGACTGCTCACCCACCAGCAGGGGTCCGGGGCACCCAGCTGGCACAGGCCCTCAGGCCCCCACTGTCCGTCAGGGCCAAGCTAGGGCTGTGAGGGCCTGGGTGGGTGTGAGGGCATGGCAGGGGACCCTGGGGTTGGGGATGGCTGATCCCAGGTGCAGGCCTGAAGCAGGGGGGCTGAGCTTCCCATGGCGGGGTGGTCTACCAGGCAGAGGGGGCTGAGCTTCCAGGGGCAGGGTGGTCTGGCACCTGCCCCTCTGGGAACCCTGTTCCTCACCTGGGGAACCAGACCCCACCCCCTGTGTCTGAGTCCCTTCTGAGGTCAAAACAGACTCCACTGTGCTCAGTGCTCAGTGCTGGGGCTCTGGGCAGGCAGCTGCGTGTGACGTGGTGGGGGCTCAGCAAGACGGGGGCGGGGGGGGTACATTGCTCTAAGCTTCTGGGGCGAGCCTGGTACGGTAGCCTAGAGGCTAAATCCTCGCATTGCATGCCAGGGATCCCATAGGGGCACCAGTTCATGTCCCAGCTGCTCTACTTCCCATCTAGCTCCCTCTTGTGGCCCGGGAAAGCAGTGGAGGACGGCCCAGAGCCTTGGGACCCTGCACCCGCGTGGGAGACCTGGAAGAAGCTCCTGGCTCCTGATCGGCTTCCCATAGACTCGACTCTGGCCATTGCAGCCACTTGGGGAGTGAACCAGCAGATGGAAGATCTCTCTGTTTCTCCTTCTCTCTGTATGTCTGCTTTTCCAATACAAATATAGGGTGTTCTATTTCCTGTCCAGCTCCTGCTCACAGCCTGGGAAAGCAGTGGACGGCCTTGCTGGGCTGCTGCCCCACTGTGGGAGACCCTGCCTTTAGCTGGTCCAGCCCCAGATGACCATCACCTCCCACTCCGTGGCTGTGGCTGCCCACAGAGAGAAGGTTGGTGCAGGTACAGACCTGAGCTGTGTCCCCTTGGGGGGTCCTGACTCGGGGCCCTGCCCCATGATGGCCCCGAGTGACCCAAGGGCCAGCGAATGCCAACATCGAGCTCTCGGCTTCTGCCTGTCACAGGGGCTCCCAGGGAGGGAGGTGCTGCTTAGAGCTCCTCGGAGGCCAAGACGGTGACCCAGAGCTACTGTCCTCAGAAGGCCGAGGACCACCGGGACCACTGGGACCACTGGGACCACTGGGAGGGCCTTGGTCTCTGGTCCCTCCAGTCCTGCATCCCCCCGTGGGCGGGCCCTCAGGTGGGGTCCTGGGACCTGATGTTCCCTTACCCTTCCTCTGTGCATGACTCCCTCGGCGTCCTGTCCCCCTGGCCACTCACTCGGGGAGCACAGGGACCCCGCCTCCTCCCTCGGCGTCCTGCCCTCAGCGCGGGTAAGCCCGCGGACCACAAGCCCCAGCATGCCTCGCGCGGCCGCGCGCCTCCCTCCCCGGAGAGTCCTCCCCGGGAGTCGCGCGGCGCACGCCGGGAGTTGTAGTCGTCCCGCCCGGTCGGCCCCGCCGCCCACCTCTGCGAGTGGTGAGCCAGGCGGAGGTGCCAGAGCGCGCGGCCCAGGCGCTGCTGCTGCAGCAGGAGCTGGCCCGGGGGCTCCCCGGCGCCGCCATCCGCGGGCGAGCGCAGGCCCATGTGCTCGAAATAGTGCGCCAGGAAGGCGATGGGCTCCTCGGGCCGCGCCTCCAGCACCTTCAGCAGCGCCGCGCGCAGCATCTCCGTCACGCCAACCTGCCGTAGAAAGTCCTCCTCGCTCTCGGCAGACGCCGCCGCCCGGGACACCGACGGTCGGCCGCTGTCCATGAAACCGGCCGTCGGTGCCATCGCCGGCCGCCGCTTCTCCACTGCCGCCATAGTCGCTGAGGGCAGCGGGACCGGAAGCGCCGTCATGTGCCACAGGGCGCTGAAGTCCGTAGCGGCCATCTTGGTTGAGGGCAGAAGACTCATCCTTCCCTAGGCTTTGGAGGGGGCGCTCGCTCTTCGCTTCTTTTATGTTCTCCGGTTTTACCAGACTCAAAAATGGCTACCTGGGAAGGCCTTCTTTTCTGGCATGAAACCGGCTCGCTTGCCATCTTGATGAAGGGCGCGTGGTCTCCTAGCAACCTGTGTCCCTGGTCCCCCCTCTCCCCGGAAGCCCCTGGATCCCACATCCCCGACTCCGGGACTCCTAGACCCGCTTCGTGCCCATCTGCGCCCAGTCGCGCCTCCCATTAGGCCTCTTTGAGGGGTTCTCCCTGAGGGGACGCCCTCCTCAGCCTGTCTCTTCCCCATCCCGTGGGTGCTGATGATGCCTTCGGGACCCCTGTGCCCCTGGCGCCCCCAGGCCCCGCCATGGCCCCTCTGCGCACCCCCCAGACCCGCAGCAGACAACAGCAGGAGACCGATGGCCCTTTATTGTCCCCTCAGCACAGGGTTCGGTGGCGGCAGCGTCTCCGCAGGTGGCAGGCGATGGCGGCCAGGAGCAGCAGGCCGAGCACCAGGCCGTTGGTCCACAGGGCCAGGGGCGGCTGCGCGACCCCAGGGCCGGAGGCTGCAGGGTGGGAGAAGGAGTCGGGGTCAGGGTCCCAGGAGTGCGTCCCAAGACCCCTGGACAGGCCCTGGAACTGGACTGTCCGCTCCAGCAGCCCTCACAACCCCTGTCCCCCCTCCCTGGGACTCACAGTCATCCTGTCCAGGGACGTACAGGCGGGCCAGCTGGCCTCCAGGGTCCACTTGGCACTGGAACCAGCCGGCGGGGCGGTCCCTGGTCAGGGGTGCCCTCAGCCAGGCCTGGGAGCCTGCCTCCCTCCGCTCATAGGCTGCCAGGCCCCCTGGAGCCAGGGTCCAGTACACGGTCCAGCCCTGACCGCAGGATGCCTCACACAGCAGTTCTAAGCTGGCCTGCCACTCAGCCTGTGAGGGTGGTGCCTGGCGGATCTTGGGGCGGCAAGTCCCAGAAGAGTGATGCATTGGGGTAGATTTGGGGTTGGGGGGCTCTGGGGAGATAGGGTCAGGGAGTTTTGCAGAGGTGGGATCAAGGGGCTTTGGAGAGGTGGGGTCAGGGGGCTTTGGAGAGGTGGGGTCAAGGGGCCTTGGAGAGGTGGGGTCAGGGGGCTTCGGAGAGGTGGGGTCAGGGGGCTTTGGAGAGGTGGAGTCAGGGGGCTTCGGAGAGGTGGGGTCAGGGGGCTTTGGAGAGGTGGAGTCAGGGGGCTTTGGAGAGGTGGGGTTGGGGGGCTTCAGAGAAGTCTGGTCCGGGGTCTTTGTGGAGGTCAGGTCCTGCAAGACTGGAAACAGAGCGGTCATTTTTTTTCTGCCAGCTGCCCCAGGTCAGCGTCCCCTGCCTCATTTCACCTCATTCGAACTGCAGGCCTCCTAGTTGATCACTTGGCCAGCGGTTGGCACCACAGCAGGGGTGGTGATGGTGACAAGTTGGGTTCTGAGGTTCCAGGCTGTCCCCATTGTGAGCTGCTTCCATATCTCCTCCCTGTCCAGGGCCAGAGCTGCCCACTAGCTCCTGGCCTGGCCTGAGAACCCCAATGGGATGTCTGCACGATGGCCTATGCTGTGGTGAGGGATGTGGCTCAGGGTCTCCCCGTAAGGACCACAGGCCTGACCCTGGCCCACTTTCAGAGGACCCCGACGAAATGTTGACATGGGCCCCGAAAGCTGGCGACACCGCGGGAGGGGATCTGGAAGCCAGGGGTGGGTGCATGGGGCCCTGGTCTGACGGGGCAGAGGGGAGAGCGAGGGAAAAGGGGTGCGGGTGTGCAATGCGGGGGGGTGTGCAAAGGGGTGCGCGTGTGCAATGCGTTTGTGGATGTGCAAAGCAGGTGTGGGTGTGTAAAGGGTGTGGGTGTGCCATGGGGGTGCTGCTGGAGCCCACCAGGCTCAGCCGGGAGGGGTGTGGCCGGTGGGTGGGCAGAAGCTTGACCAGCAGGGTCCAGGCTAAGAGCATGGTTGGCAGAAGAGGCTAAGAGCAGCTTGGCTATGGGGCGGGGTCAGCGGATGGGGCGTGAGCACCCAAGGACTGGGGGGATCGATCGGGAAGTGGCTGTGGGGTGAGGGACCCCCTGAACCCGGGTGAGGAGCCAGGTGATGCGGGGGCGGTGAGGCAGCTGCGGGGTGAGGGACCCGATGATGGGGGCTCAGGTGAGGCTGCAGGATGAGGGACCTGGTGAGCCCAGATCAGGGACCAGGTGATCCCAGGGTGCAAGTGAAGGACCCCGTGTTGTGCATGGCCCCACGCAATGGCCGCAGGCTTACCCGGGATGTCGCGGCTGCGGCTCAGCTCCAGGCCCGGCAGCGTCATGGTGGCCAAGCAGCGCAGGGCGGGCGGGGCAGGGGTCCCGGGCGGGGCAGGGGTCCCCAGCGGGGGCAGCAGCCAGCGCTCGGTCACGTGAAACAGTAGATCCTGCTCGTCCACGTCCCGGTCCAGGACCTCGGCCCCCTCCAGCTCCTGGTCTCCCAGCAGCAGCGAGAAAGACAGCACGTCGGGGCCCGGGTGTGTGATGTTATGGGCCGTGCAGGCCACCTGCCGATCCAGCTCCGGCACGAAGGTTGTGGGGTGGACGGTCAGCTGGTCCGGGAAGGCTGTGGATGGAGCGGGGCGTCTGGGTCAGGCCAGCGCAGGATGGAGGGGGCTGGTGAGGGTTCCCGGGTCGGGCTTGCACAGGAAGAGACCTGTGGCCACTTTATGGACCGCTGAGGGGCCCCCCGGTCAGCTCCCAGGGCGCGCGGTGCACGAGACGGACGCGGTGCACGGGACGGACGCGCTCACCGTACACCAGCAGGGTAACGGTGCGCTGGAATGCCTGGTCCCCGCAGGAGCCCACGCACACGCGCATGCCGGCCGCCGCAGGCGAGGCGTGCTGCACGGTGAGCGTGCTGCTGCCTGCGTGCGACTGCACGGCGCCCAGGCTCGTGTCCAGGCCCCGCCAGTGCACGTCGGCCACCTCTCCGCGCGGGCACTCCAGGCTGCAGGTGAACTGCAAGGACTCGCCCACCGCCAAGGCCACTTCGGGTTCCGGGGGCTCGACCCGCAGCAGCGGCGGCGGCGGCGGCTGGCCAGCGCCGACCCCGAGCATCCGTGCCGGCTGCAGCAACCCCAGCGTGGCCGCCAGCAGGAGCGCGGAGCGCGGCTCCATCGTGTCCTTCACCGGCCGGCGGGCGGGCGGCCTCGGGGCTTAAGTAGAGGCGCCCCGGGTTCCCCGGGGAGTTCCGAGGGGGCTTTCCCCCGGCTGACCCCGCGCCCGGAGGGTGTGGACCAGCGGGGTCCGGCGGACGCGCGGGAAGCTCTGAGGATGCAGGTGGGGACCAGCGCCGCCCCCACGGCCAGCCCGGCCTGCAGGACCCGCGGTGGGAGTGGGCCACTCGGAAAGGGGTCCTCAGGCGCGGGCGCCTTGTGGGAAGAGGCTCTGGGCTGGGGTCCAGGGAGGGTCTATGGGTTCATCAGGCTGGGAGCACCCTGGGCTAGGGGGCACAGGCAGCGGGGGACACAGACGGGGGTGGGGGGGCACAGGCAGGGGGACACATGCTGGGGGGGACACACGATGGGGGAATACAGGCTGGGGGGACACAGGATGAAGAGGAATTGGGGGGATACACGATGGGGGTCACAGGCTGGAGGTATGGAGGTACACAGACTGGGGAGGGCTGGGCGATGGAGTGGCTATGTGGACCCAGGCTCACCCCCTCCCGCCCCTCCTGCCCCTCCATGCGGTGGTGCCGGGAAAGGCCACACAGGAAGGCCGAGTCGCGTGTGCCTCTCAGCCGGAGGTGGAGGCCCCTTCCCAGGAAGCTGGGCCCTTAACCCGGGCTGGGGGCAGCGTCTGGTGAATGGGCCACTTCCCAGCCCCTGACCCAGCTTCCTGCTGCGCCGGAGTAGGCGGGGAAGGGTCAGGGCACCGGGTGGCTGTGCCCTGTGCCTTTTGCAGGGTGTGTCCCCAGCTCTCCTGGGCCACGTGTCCCCAGGCACGTGGCACTGACGAATGGCAATGATGCCCCGGGGTTCAATGGGTGAGGGAGAGGGACGGGGTGGGGGCTTGGGCTCCACGTGGGCTTCCTGCTGTGCTGCCCCCACCCTGGGGCATGGGTCCCCCTTCCTGGCATTGTCCTGCCTTGAGGAGGCTTAAGGGCCTGTCTGGAGACCTCGCATCCTGGCCTGGGGCAGCCATTGGCCACCCGGAGCCAGTGGGAAAGGCCCCAAGGAGAGCCACGTGGGTAGCACGGCAGACCTTCCCACTGCCACCCACCACTCCACTCCTCCTTGGGGGCGGCCGCGCTCCGCGTCTGAGCAAGAGCCTGGAGAGGCGTGGACGGAGGTCAAGGTGGCTGACCGGGTGGTGGGGTGTACACAGCCTGTGCTACGGTGTTCATTCCTCTTCATCCGCCTGAGACCAGCGGGACTGGACCATGGGGTGTGGCAGGGGCCGTTTGTGGGATCCCTACTGGCAAAGCCACTCTGCAAAGCTGGGACAGGGCTGCCTGAGCCGGTCTTCACAGGCGGCGGGAAGGGTTCACTGTCGGGGGTGTCCACTGAGTGTCAGGCCCCCGGGGACCAGCTCCTGGGTGCTGCTGAAAGCGGCCCCTCACCCTGGCCAGGTCATGGGGAAGCGGATACGCATGTTGCTGGTCTTGCCCAGGGTCTCAGGGCTCCCACCAGGTAGATGGGTAGCAATCCCTGAACACAGACCTCCTGGTGCCCACATGGCCATCCTGCAGCTCCGGGTGCTTGTGTCTGTGCCCAGGGAAGGACAGGGCACCAGGAGGGCGAGAGTGGGCACAGCCTCAGCCTCCTGCCCTCCACGAGGCTGCCCCACATGCGTGGCCAGGGGGTCTGCCCGTTCCCCTGGGTTTATCACGTGGTGGGGCTGAGCCCCGAGCCACATGCCCATGCAGCTGTGGCTGCAGTGACCTGAGCTTCTACTTTCCCTCGCAGACTCCTCCAGGTGCCCCCCAATCCTGCAGGGGGCAGTGCTAGGGGGTGGAACATGAGGCATTGCAGCACTCAGAACCCTAACTAGAGGCCAGTCGACAGCTACTGGGGTCAAGCAACATCTGTTTTGAAAACATTAAAACTGGGCCCGGCGCGGTGGCACAGTGGCGCAGTGGTTAAGGTCCTTACCTTGCACGCCCCGGGATCCCATATGGTCACCGGTTCTAATCCTGGCAGCCCCGCTTCCCTTCCAGCTCCCTGCCTGTGGCCTGGGAAAGCAGTCGAGGACGGCAAAGCTTTGGGACCCTGCACCTGTGTGGGAGACCTGGAGGAAGAGACTCCTGGCTTCAGATCGGCATAGCATCGGCCGTTGCACTCACTTGGGGAGTGAATCATCGGATGGAAGATCTTCCTCTCTGTCTCTCCTCTCTGTATATCCGCCTTTCCAATAAAAATAATAAAAATAAATCTTAAAAAAAAAAGAAAACATTAAAACTGATTTTATTTCTGTCACCCACTTCTTCTCTTTTGCCAGATATTGGGGGCACGGGGCTTCAACCTAGCACTAGAGAACTCGCCCAGGTGCCCCAGGGATTGGGCTGGTGATGTGCCCAATACCTCCTGGGCCCTGGGTGTGGACTCGGGGGTCAGCGAGGACCCCAGCAGGCAGTCTGCTCAGCGGGACCCCACAGACTCAGGTTCTGCACCCCGAGCTGGCGGTGCAGGGGGCCGCCGCCTGGCTGGGACATTGGGACCAGGGAGGCCGCTTAGCAAAGTTCCCTGCTGGCCGTGCAGTCCTCTGCCCTTTGCCACAGGACCCAGGACTGGGCCTCATGAGGAGTGGGCTGTGTGCCCGAGGGGACAGCTTTTCGGCCACCAGGGTGTGCCGCTGTCCGCGTCCTTGGCATCTCCTGCGGGTGTCTGCTCCACCATGCTGCAGGAAGCAGGGATCCTGGTCCACGGCGCAGGGTCCCGTTGCCAGCGGGTGAGGGCCTGTCGCCAAAGAGTGGATCCTGTTGTTAAGGAGTGGGGTCCTGTTGCCAGCAAGTGGGGTCCTACACTAGAGAATGGGTCCTGTTGCTAGGGAGTTGTCTTGTTGCTAGGGGATGGTCCTGCCTGGCCTGGGACTAAGGTATTGGGGAAGCAGAGTTCATTTAAGGGTTGGCAGGTATACCTGTTGTCACGCGTCAGCGAGCACGGGGAAGTGGGTCAATGGCTGCACGTGGAGTTTCAGTGCAGGCTGTAAATCATGCACTGTTCTCCCAAACCAGAGGGTCCCAGAGCTCAAGCTGGGCCGACTCCTGCCTGCCCCGAGGAACTCGTGTTCCTGGGATCCCCCCTGGAGCTCTCACGGCCTTGGAATGCAACGTTGTCCCCATGGACCTGCACGATGGGGGCGCAGCCAGCACGGGCAGTTTTGTCCCTGCTGCTCCTTTCCGGGGAGGGGAGGAGGAGCCGGGCGGGTGCCTCGTGTCCAGGGCAGAACAAACTTCCCTTGTTAGGGCTCCGGCCTGAAGCACGTGAATCCGAGTCAGGGGGCGGCTGTTGCACGTCGGGCGGGCGCCGTAGTCCCTAGGGAGGTGGGATGTGGGATGTGCCAGGTCAGGGTTGGGAGAGCAGGGCGCGAGCTGGCACAGGAGGAGGCAGGTGGTGTCAGCTGTCAACATCAGCCTCCGTGGTGCTGCCCCAGCTGTGTGCTTAAGATGGAAAACCACAAGGCACGTGATTAACCCAGGCCCCTGGGAGGCCCTGTCTGGGCCAGGCTGTGGTGTCCACACCATGGGTCCCGGCATGATTGAGCTGGGGTCAGCCATCTCTGCCGCCACTTCCTGACCGGATGTTCCGGTGTCAAGAACATGATGGGCACAGGGTGAGTACAGCTCCATGCGTGTACGTGTGTGTGTGTGTCCATGGACACCTGTTCTATCACACAGCATCCACTTGAGGATGCACCACCCCCATGCCCAGCACCTTGGGTCTTTGTCACGTGAACCCAACTTCACAGGGTGGGGGCCACCCCCTGGGGTTCCTGGAATGCCAGCAGCCCCACTGTGACAGCAGCTGGCAGGGTACCTGACATTGAGCCGTGTCCAGTGCCCCTGGGTGGAAACGCCGGTCTCTCGGTAGCCTCTGGGTGCACCACCAGCCAGTATTGCCACCACGGCTGCTCAGACCAAGCCTCATGAGTCTGAGTCCTTAGCATGGACGCAAGAGGAGTATGGGAAATCTGTTAGCAGACAGAGAAATGGATAGATTTATGTATTTTAAAGTCCATATTCCAGAAAGATCTTCCATTCACTGGTTCACTCCCCAACTGGTCACAGTGGTCAGAATTGGACCAGGACAAAGCCAGGAGCTCCATCTGGCTTGGTCTCCCACATGGGTGTAGGGACCCTGGGACCCTGGGACTTGGACCAGCCTATACTCTTTCCCCAAGGGACATTAGCAGGGAGCTGGGTGGGAAGTGGAGCTGTTGGGACGTGACCTGGTGCTGTATGGAATGTGCCAGTGTCTCAGCAGGTGGCCAACGTCTGCAATTTTTCTGTGCTGAATCTACAGTGTTTGGCATATGGAGGTAAGCGTATGATTAAAGCAGATTTGTCTTCCACTTTCAATGTGAATGGCAGAGACTCCGACTTCAGATGTGGTTCGGGTCCAGGGAAACGCAGAGGGACCAAGAAACCAGGGGCCGCCCCCCCCCACCCCGAGTGGCAGACATGGGATTCGGCTCCCCATGCCACTATCAGTAGTGGCCCCAGGCCTGCACAAGCAGGGGCCCGTGGACAGCTGGCACAGCCTGAGGCTCAGGGTGCGGGGGGACTCTGGTGGCCGGCAGAACTCATGGCCGCACCTTGGTCCTGACCCCAGACACTGAGACACCCCAGATCTTTGTGTGGGGGGGTCCGAAGCCACCAGATGGGTGGGGTTCACACAGAAGAACTACCCCTGACTGGCAGCAACTCCAGGAACATGCAACTGTCTGTGTGGTGTGCGCTTGGCCAAGCTGTGGGCAAGATCAGGACCCAGCAGAGCAGAGCTGGAGCTGGGGAAGCATCTTAGGGCCAACCCCCAGGCCAGCAGGGCAGAGCTGGGGTCCCGTGAGAGCAGCTACTGGGTCCCCGCGTGGAAGCGTCTCCAGTCAGTGGAACCATGAGGCCCTTGACCTCAGACCTGGGTCGGGCCTACCCAGGGACCCCTGCATGCCACTGCTTCCCTCCTGGCTCCTTCGCCTGGGGCAGTTAGGGGGCTTCCAAAAGTGACCCTTGGGCGCAGTGAGGACCCAGATGCTGAATTTCAAACTTTCTGGAAACCCTCAAGTCTGACCCAGACACAGCCTCCTCGGAGGCAGGAGATCCCTGTGGACTCTGGGAGGTGGTGATGGTGGGGATCCTAAGGAAGGACCCATCATTACCACTTTCCATCCCAGGGCCTGATCCCCCACCTCCCGACCTCTGCCAGGGGTGGGTGAGCCACACTCAGCTGGCTCATGACTGTGCAGCCTGCACCGGCTCTGCTGTGCCTTCCGTGCTGTTCTGAGAACTTGTGCTCACATGTTCTGGTCGTGTTCTTGTTTCGCCCCCCCCCACCAGGACACGGCCCTCCCAGAGCCCTGACCCATTGATCCATGACCCCAGAGGTATGACCCGCGGTCCTCAAAAGGTCTGACCCATGACCCCCAAGGCCTGACCCACAGCCCCCCTCCCCAAGGCCTGACCCACCAGCTGTTTGGATTGTACACTTGCTGTATGAATGAGCTACAGCTGAGGCCATGCTAGGCTTTCCATCCCTGCTCCCTGGGCCCGCTCCCCGGGGGACTTGCCTTGTGGACGGACACCAAATCCTTTCCTGGATCCTTTAGGTCACCTGGCCGTCACCTGATCCCAGCCCACTTCCAGGCTCGCCCTGGCTAGGGCCTCGAGACGCTCTGTCCGGGGACAAGGGGCCGTCTGTGTGGGCACGGGAGGTGTGGTGAGGTTGGGTTCTGCCCAACAGATTGGGGCCGAGGACTTGGCAGTCCCTGAGCCTGTGGCCACTAGAGCTAGGGCAGCACTGGGCGCGGGTGCCGGCAGTGCACCGCGCCCTGGCTCAGCATGGGGACCCCCAGTAGTGATCCCGTGCAGCGACCTCACGCGGGACCCCTGTGCCGACGGCTGGCCGAAGGCCTGGTTGCAGACACCGGCCTGAAGACCTCCTGGAGGACAGCCACACCGCAGGATGGTTCGTGTGCTAGATGAGGGGTGGCTGGGAAAAGGACCAGGCTTTGCTTCAGAGCCACCTGGGAGCTTCCTGAGACTCTGGGAGCCCCAAGAGTGGGAGGTGGATCTTCGTTACCCCTGGTCTTTTTGGGGGACCGGGTCAGGGAGAATCTGGTCTGTGGGGTGACAGGCCGGTGCAAGGCCGTGGTCTGTGGGGTGACAGGCCGGTGCGAGGCCGTGGTCTGTGGGGTGACAGGCCGGTGCGAGGCCGTGGTCTGTGGGGTGACAGGCCGGTGCGAGGCCGTGGTCTGTGGGGTGACAGGCCGGTGCGAGGCCGTGGTCTGTGGGGTGACATGTTAGTATGGCATCCTCTGTATAATGTTTTCTGCACTCCCGTTGCTGCCCCAGGCAGGGCCGCCGTGCAGACCTCCTCCGGGTCTCTGCATGCCCCTCACAGGCTGCTCTGTAGCAGTCCCCTTTGTCTCCGTGACTCCCCATGACTCACAATCGGAGTTTCATTTTGGCTGTAAGGGTCTCGTCATAGGCCCCCTGCCCTCTTTGCCTGCTGGTAGTGCTAGGTGGGGCTTGGCAACAGAGGCCAGCCCACCTAGACCGTGACCAGGCCTTGTCTTGCAGACTGGGGGCCCGGTCTGTACACACTGCCATCCACCGTGGGTTATATCAAACACGACTGTACCAGGGTGGCCAGCCCTGCCTACTCGCTAGCCCGGAGGCCCAGTGAAGGTAAGACCGCATGGTGCGAGGGGCTGGAAACCTCCCTGGGCTCCTGTCCCTCCCCTTACCACCCAGGCTAAGGTGGGTGAGACGGGCCTGGGCAGTGCTGGGGCTCTCCAGGGCTGTGACCCTGGCTGTGGCCTGCTCACTGCCTCAGTTCCCCTTCCAGGCCTGCCATAGGTTGGGCAAGTACCATGTGCCACTGGCGCGGTCAGAACCTCCTGGGAATTGGTGCTGAGTGAGCAGGCTGCCTGATCAAACAGGAGTCTGAACTGAGCTGTAGCTGCTCCTGGGTTGTTCTGGGTGTAGAGCTGGGACAGTTTGCTGTGTGGACTGGTTGGGTGGCCAGAGGGCCAGGCTGCGAGTGCAGGCCAGCAGTCCAGCCTAAGCCACTCTGGGTGTCCACGAATTGGTCACCCTGGGCTGTGGGAGGACCGCATGGGTGTGGGCAGGGCCTTGGCAGGAGCGAGAACTCCAGGCCCATGGCCTCAGGAAGTGCTGGCCTTGCCTCTTCTGGTGTATGCGACACTGTGGGCTGTGTCTGTGCTCAGCGGCCCTGTAACTACCGCTTGACCTAGCTGTCCCTACACCCACCAGTGGGGCTCAGGCTGTGTGTATCTTGAGGAGCCCAGCTCCTTGGGGCAGCCGCTCCCTGGCTCCCGAGCCTGCACGTGCAGCCCGGGAAGGGTCTGTACTTGGGGTGCCAGGGGTGTTCTTATACCCTGCCTGTCTTCCCAGTGCCTCCTCAGGTCTCCAGCCCAGGCCCCGTCTACTTTCTGGATCCCAAAATCACGCGCTTTGGCCGTAGCTGCACCCCCGCATACTCCATGCAGGGCCGTGGCAAGGCTCGGGGTGAGTGCTGGCTGCCTTGCCATAGCCCTGCCGCTATGCTCCACACCCACTCAGCGCTCCCCAGTGGGGTGGGGTCAGAGGTGGGACCCCTCAGGGTGAGCTCCCCCATGGGGTTGTGTCTGGGGGGAGCGGAACCTAGGCTCCGCCCTTCCAAAAGGGGCTTCCAATGCTGTACAAATGGGGGTGAGGGCTCAGAGCTCTGGGACTGTGGGGGCTCTTGCATGGCATTGAGAAAGGTGCTGGCTTGCACCTGCTGCATGGTGGGTATGGAAGGGAGGTCACCCGGGCTGCGGGACACTGTGAGCAATTGGAAACCCTAGGGGATCCCTAAGCAGCTGGACTCCAGCCTCTCCCACGCCGCTTGCCCTTCCCCAGCAGGTCTGGAGGTGACACCGGGCCCTGGGGCCTACAGCCCGGAGAAGGTGCCCCCCGTGCGCCAGCGGACACCCCCAGCTTTCACCCTGGGCCCCCGCCTCCACTTCAAGTCCCTGGGTCCATCAGCCCCAGCCCCCAACGCCTACACCATGCCCCCGCTGTGGGGCTCACAGACCCTCACCAAGCCCAGCAGCCCCAGCTACACGGTGGTGGGCCGCACACGCCCGGCACGGCCGCCACAGGATCCTGCTGCCCTCCCAGGCCCCGGCCAGTACGACAGCCCTGACCCCAACACCTACCGCCAGCGCCAACCGGCTTTCACCATGCTGGGACGGCCCCGCAGCCCACGCCCCTTAGAGGAGACACCCGGTCCTGGCACCCACAGTCCCGAGCTGGTAACTGTGAACAGAGCCCGGGCCCCAGCTTACACCATGGGTGTCCGTCACTCACAGCGGGCCACCACCTTGGCAGCGGCAAGCACATCCTGAGGGCCTGGGGGGGGGGGGGGCCACGCACAGGCCTGGGTCCCTGCTCTGTGAGCAGGGTACAGACAGGTCTCCCCTGCATCTGGCTGGGCTGGGGGCTCTGAGAGGCCAGGAGGGTGAGGGGGAGAGGCTGTCCATTTTCCTTGCCCTCCCTCGATCTGCCTGGGTCCTTCTGGGGGGGGGGGGGGGGCAGAGGCTGTGACCCTGTGGCTTGGGCGGGTTATAGGGCCAGTCTCCCTTCCAGTGCCCCATTTTCTTCCCCTGGGTCAGGCCAGGCAGGGAAAGGGGACACCATGGTCAGAATCGAAGGCTTCCTGTGTCCTAGAATTTGGTGACTGGCCCCTTTCCGCCTGGGTCCCCGACCTAGCTGGCATTCCTGCCACCCTGGACGACCGTGTGCCAATAAACACCTCCTTCGCAGCCAGATGGGTCAGCCTCACACTGCTCGCTGCCTGCGTCCTCTCTCACCCCCCTAGGTCCCTGCAGTCTGCCCGTTTCCCTTCCTGCTGCTGCTGACAGGTGCCAGGGTGAGGGTCTCATCTAGGCCCAGACCCCAGAGCCCGGTAGGGGGACACCACCTGGGCCCTGCCCCCACTGCTACATGGTACAGAGTCCAGCGCTCAAGACGTGCTCCAGGGAACAAGAGAGGCAGTACCAGCAGCCTGGTCAGTCCCGCAGGAGCCTGCCCCTCCCACCGGCCCGCTGATCTCATTTCTTCCAGTGGACTTATCCATCAATCGATTTCTCTTCTGTGGCTACTTTCCCGGCCGCAGGCGGCAGCCCCTCCCATTGTTTTCCAGCAAGGGCATTGCCTGGGGCAGGGGGGCAGCACAATCTGGGAGTCCTTGGCAGCACCCAGCACCCAGGGAGGCTGGGGGGGGGGCGGTGCCCAACCGAGGCCTGGGGTCTCCCTCCCTAGGCGCCCCTCCCAACCATCAGAGGAGGAAGGGAGGAAGCCCAAGTCTACCCCCATCCCCTGCTCTGTCTGCCTAGGAACTTGGGTGTGGGACAGCAGGTGCGGCCCTGGGTTCGAAACCGACACGTCCCCTCTTGGACTCCCAATTTCAGGCCGGTGCCTGCAGCCTCAGCGGAGTCCGGTTCCCTCAGTCTCCCAGCCAGGCGCCAGGGCACTGAGGCCGGGGGTCCGAGGGGCGCAGCCCCCCGCGGCTGCGCGCTGGGCCGGGCGGATGACATCACCAGGCAGGGGCGGGGAGGAGCGAGGCGCGGGAGGCGCGGCGGGGCCTCCTAGCCAAGGCGCAACGCCCGGTGGGCTGTGTCGGGCAACCGGGGCCATGACGCAGGGTCCGGGCGGGCGCGCGTCCCCCGCGCCCCCCGAGCCCGAGGCGCCCACCACCTTCTGCGCGCTGCTGCCCCGTATGCCGCAGTGGAAGTTCGCGGCCCCCGCCGGTTTCCTGGGCCGCGGCCCCGCGGCGACGCGTGCCACGGGGGATGCGGGAGCCGCCCACGCCCAGTCGGATCCCGCGGGCCCGGAGGGTGTCCCGGCGTTGGCGGCCGCTGTCCTGGGAGCCTGCGAGCCGCGCTGCGCTGCGCCCTGCCCGTTGCCCGCGTTGAGCCGCTGCCGGGCTGCCGGGGCGCGGGGGCCGCGGGGCGCACGGGGCGCACGGGACGCGGCGGGGCCCACGGACGCCGAGTGGATCCGCAAGGGCAGCTTCATCCACAAGCCGGCGCACGGCTGGCTGCACCCCGACTCCAGGGTGCTGGGGCCCGGCGTCTGCTACGTTGTACGGGTGAGTCGGGGGCGCGCCGGACCCGACCGGCGGGGTTTGCTCGACATCCTTCTCCGGGTCCCCGCCACTAGCACCCCAGCTCGGGGCCCGCGCGCCGCGACCGCCCCACCCGAGGCGCTGGGGTCCCTGTTCCCACGGCATCACGTGGGGAAGGGCGGGCAGAGGACGGCAGGTGGGAGGGGGCACGCATGCGCAAGCTGGGGACCTCGTCCGGTGGTGCCCACGGGGGACCAGAGGGTGCTTGCAAAGGGGCTGCGGGGGCGGCGAGGGCGCCGGGTCCCGAGCGCGTGGAGCTCGCCTTTGTTTACGCCCAGGCGTCTCCGCCCAGCTCGGCTGCCTCTCCGAACCAGGTTGCGCGTGGCCTCTAGGAGGTCGTTTGGGGATGCGCAGCCGTGGGCTCCTCCCATGGCCACCGTGTGGGCCGGGTGGTGCGCCCTGCCGCGCAAAATCCCTGTGATGGGGATTTGTGACGTAACGGAGGCGAGGGGTGGCCAGGCGGGCGGCCGTCCCGGGTCAAAGGGAAGCACGGACACAGTCGTGGGTGGGGGCACAGGGAGGATGGGAGGAGCTTCCTCTGGTTGGGGATTCAAGGACCAGGATGCTAGGAGACATCCCCACCCAAAACTAGGTCGCTGTCATTTCCATCCCTGACGTTCCAGAAGCTTATGGGACCCCTCCCCCTGCAGAGCCTGGGGTCAGCTGCACCTGCATACTTACATGTGCCTGGGCTGTGGTCCATGTGGACAACCCAGCCTTGTGTGAGCGCCCCGGCCCTGTGTGGGCACTCCTGCCCTGCGTTAGCACCTGCCCCTTGTGGATGCCCTGGCCCATGTGTGCACCCCAGTCCATGCGCATTCCCTGGCCCCATGTGGACACCTCAGTCACCTTGTTCCTAGTTTGCAGAGGAATATGGGCTGGGGGTGCTGTACCCCACACACGAGGACCTGCCACTCCGCATAGGTAGGACCTTGAAGCTCGAGGCAGTGCCGTGGCCAGGGTTGCCCACTCCCACTCAGGGGGGAACCTGAGTGAGCCACCGGCCAGCCATCCGCTCCCCGCTCATGGAGTGAGCCGCATCTGTCCGCTCCCCCCACGAAGTGAGCTGCAGCTGTCCACTTCCCCCGCAGAATGAGCCGCATCTGTCCACCCCCTCATAGAGTGAGCCGTGTCTGTCCACTTTACCACGGATGAGCTGTTCTATCTACGTACACACACGTGCCCTGCGTCACCTGCTCCACCCGCTCCACCCACAGACGTGCAGGGGAGCTCCCTGCCGCAGACCCTGGGTGTGGGGGACACACTGGAACCAGTCCAGCTGTGACACTGCCCAAGGGAGCGTGACTTGGGCACTCTTTGCCCCAGCAGGAAGAGCAGCTCCTCCTTGCCAACCGTTGTGGAGCTGGGCAAGGGGAGCCTGGACGGGCCACTTAGACCGGCACTCCTAGGAGTCTGGCTGGGCACCGGGGTCACCTGTGGCCGTCTTCAAGAGCTGAGTTAGACGAGGGATGAGATTAACCCTGGATCCTGCCAGGCAGTCAGCTACAGTAGCCTACTGCACCCCCTCCGAAAGTTCCAGAACATTCTCATCACCCCCAAGAGGAGCCCAGCCCCACCCTTCCCCGCCCCTACTCTGCCCCTGTGCACAACCCTGTCTCTCCCTGACCCCTGCTCTGCCTCTACCCTGCCCCAGCCCTGACCAGCCTACCCCTGTCCTGGCCCTGTCACTTTCCTGGATGGTGTGTGTGCTGTCCTTGCCCTGCCCAGGGGCTCTGCTCTGCCCAAGGATCTTTGCAAGGGCTCAGCAGACAGAATGGGGTCGGGGTGGAAGTCTCAGAGCTGAGCCTCAAGGTGGACAGGCTGTGCAGGGTGGAGAAGAGGGCTCTGCTGCCTGGCGTGGCCTCCGGGTGGCACCCTGGGCCCTGCCTGTTGATCCAGCTCTCTCCCTGCAGTACATGGGCTGCATTCAAGTCCTCCGCTCCATGCGCTCATTGGATTTTCACACCCGCACCCAGGTCACCAGGTGAGCCGCGCCCTGCACCGCCCTGCCCTGGCTGCAGCCCTGCCCTGGCTGCTGGGGCATCTCATGCCAGGGGTCCCTCCCAGGTGCAGCACTGTGCTGGCTACTGGAGCGTCTCGTGCCAGGGTTTGCCCCCTGAACCCCTGCAGTCCAGTGCAGCGATGGTGTCCTGTGGGTGGGCTGACCGCCACCTTTCCACCTGCCCACCCCAGGTCCGGCGTCACACGCTGTACCCTCCTGCCGCTCACAGAGTGGTATGGGCGTTGCATGCGGTGAGGCCATGCTGGCAGGTGGTGGCCTAGGAGGGGCCGGGCTGGCAAGGCAGTCAGTGCCTGTGTATGCCCACGTGGTTCTGTGTAGGGTGAGGTGTGGGCAGGCAACACCTTCTCCAGGACTGACTTGAACTGAGCTGGGAGGCACTTCCACACTCACTTCTGGAACTTTTGCAGTGAAAAAAGGATTCCCAGTACACTTAGCCCCCCCCAACCCCAGCGGCCACGATCTGTTTCCCGTCCACTCCCCTGCTCTGGGTGGCCACTGCAGACTGCACACTGCAGGCCTTCGCACACGTGTCTTGAGGTGACCCATGTTGAAAGGGACTCCCTCGGGCACACAGCAGAGTGGGGGTGATCCCTGCCCCCTCACGTTCCCACAGGACAGTCCTGGCTTTGGGACGCCGCAGACCTTGTCCCCCGCGGCCAGTGCCACTTGTGGGGTCAGTTCCCACAGATGAGCTGCATGGGGCAGTACGTGCCCAGCCTGCTCCGGTCGGACGCAGGAAGAAGCCAAGGCCAGGCAGCCTGGACTGGAGCCTGTACCCCATGGGGATGCTTGTGTCAGGTGGCAACTGGGCCTGCAACACCGCAGCACAGTTCAGCTCTCTGCTCAGCCCTGCCCACCCCCAAGACTCCCTGCCCCACCAGCCCCCTTCTCTCTGAGCTGCCTCCTTTCCTCCGACAATGCAGGGAAGCCATCAACCGCCTGCACGAGGCTGTGCCTGGTGTCCGAGGCTCCTGGAAGAAGAAGGTGGGTGCTGGGCTAAAACCTCCCCCCAATGAGCGCATGAGGCCCAGGGTGTTGAAGCTGTAGCCAGCCCCCAGGCCAAACCTACAGACAGCCCCCCTTCAGGCCACACCTATAGGTAGCTCCTCCTTTCCCCCCAGGCCCCCAACAAGGCGCTGGCATCCATCTTGGGCACGAGCAACCTGCGCTTTGCCGGCATGACCATCTCGGTGCACATCTCCGTCGAGGGCCTCAGCCTCTCGGTGCCCGCCACGCGTCAGGTGGGTACCACGCTCCGGCCTGGCTGCCCTGGCTCTGCCGCCCTGCCTGGAGGCCCTGGGCAAATGTTGGGATACACAGAGATGCAGAGGAGAGGATGGGGGTGTGGGGATCCCCAGAGGGTCCTGGAGCCGTACACAGCTTCTGGGAGCAGAGTGCCCTGGTTGGTCGGTTCCATGGTTGTCATGGTGATCAAGGATGCCCTGGCACAGTTGCATGAGATGTGCACTTCCAGCGAAGGTCTGTATGGACGAGAGGGGTCTAGGGTGTCAAGGGGGACATTGATCCAGGAGTGTGTGAGGGCGCGCTGACCCAGGGGTGTCTGTGTATGAGTGTGTGTAGGTGTGAGTGTTTTGGGGATGCTAACCCCAGGATATGTGTGTGTGTGTGTGTGTTATGTGTGTGTGTGCTGGGGACACTAACCCTCGGATGAGTGTGTGAGTGTGTGTGTGTGTCCTGGGGATGCTTAGCCCTGGTGAGGACCAGGCTGCCAAAGGACCAAATGCCTCCTGCAGGAGGCCACTCTGCATCTGGATCCTTGGCCTCCCTCTTGTCCCTCGGCCCACTGGGTGTCGTGGCTGCCAGGGCCAGGCTACAGTGGAGCCCAGCACATGGGGCATCTGTTCCCTTCTCCCTGCCCACCTCCTGTGGCTCTGGGAGAGGTAGTGACAGCCTGCCTGTCTGTGTCTCTTGGCCACAGACCATCGCCAGCCACCACATGCAGTCCATCTCTTTTGCCTCGGGTGGCGACACGGTGAGTGGGCACGGTGAGGGGTGGCCTGGTGTGCTTGCCCTTCCAGCCTGCAGGCCCCGGGACCCTCTATCCACACCCTTCGGCCCACCCTGGGGTGGCCTGATGAGTGTGCCCTCTGAATCCTCCCAGGACATGACAGATTATGTGGCTTATGTGGCCAAGGACCCCATCAATCAGCGAGGTGAGGCCGCGGAGGGCGGGGGGTGTGGGGGGCTGCAGCTACCGTGTCCTGACGGGCACCCCCCTCCCAGCCTGCCACATCCTTGAATGCTGTGAGGGCCTTGCCCAGCGCGTGATCAGCACCGTGGGCCAAGCCTTTGAGCTGCGCTTCAAACAGTACCTCCACAGCCCCCCGCAGGTGGGCGCGCCCCCCGAAAGGTAACCATATCTCACCACCCGTGGAGACTGGGGGAACAGTCACCCAGAGCATGTTCCTGCGGGCTCTGACCCACACAGTCCCTGTTTAAGGGTACAGCCACGCAGGCCATCATGTTCCTGGGGGTGGGGGGGCCTGTTCCCAGAAGCCCATCCCTTGCCCCGTGTCCCCAGGCTGACGGGGTTGGATGAGTCGGCCTGGGGGGATGAGGAGGAGACCCCGGAACACAACTACTACAACAGCATCCCGGGCAAGGAGCCGCCCCTGGGTGGGCTACTGGACTCCAGGCTGGCCCTCACCCAGCCCTGCGCCCTCGGAGCCCTCGGGAACCTTGGCCAGGTCAGACTGTGGTCCCCTGCTGGCCCCCAGTATCAGCCAGAAACTTCTTCCAGGTCTCCCACGCGGGTGCAGGGTCCCAAGGCTTTGGGCTGTCCTTGAGTGCTTTCCCAGGCCACAAGCAGGGAGCTGGATGGGAAGTGGAGTGCATTCAAGGCGAGGACTTTAGCTGCTAGGCCATGCCGCTGAGCCAGAGATGGTAGTTCTGACACCTATACCCAGGGCCCATCTCACCATGGCCTGCGGTGGGCCGGGCAGGGGAGACAGTGACCTGGTCATGCTGCCGAGGAGATGGGTGCCAGGCGCTGCCAAGGGGCTCCTGTGCTTCTCTCCCTCAGGGAGGGTCCCCTGCTCGGAGGGAGACCCACGGCCTGCCCTGGGACCTGGAGGCCTGTGGAGCAGGTAGGCCTGGCCCATGCTCAGCACTAGCCCGCACCCTGCTTGGGCACCCTAGACAGTACCCTGCTGGCCTGCATCCTGCTCGGGCAGTCCAGGCACATGGTTCTGGGGTGGGGGGGCTGCACACAGCCCTATGGGGGCTGCACATGGCTTTGGGGGTGCTGCACATGGCCCCTGGGGGCACATGGTGCACTCCGGGTCACCTGGCGAGTATGGCCATCGTGGCTGCCATGGTAGGGCCCTTGGGTCCTGCTGGATCTCTGCAGAGCAAGGCGGCCTCCTTGGGGCCTGCGTCCAGTATCCTATGCTCCCTCCTGCAGCCCCTCCAGGGGACGGCTATGTGCAGGCAGATGCCCAGGGCCCACGGGACTATGAGGAGCACCTATACGTCAACACACAGGGCCTGGATGCTGCGGATGCTGGGCCCGAGCAGCTGGAGGACAGCCCCAAGAAGGACTTGTTCGACATGCGTGTGTACCTGGCTGGCCTGGTGATGGGCGGGCAGGGGGCCGGGTGGCCTGGTGGTGGGCCCAGTGCGTGGCAGAGGACCCAGCTCCTCTCCCTGCACTCCAGGGGAGCCCAGTGGTCATCTCGGGTGGGCCTGGGGTGCAGTGCACTGCTGTGTGGGCAGGGCAGGGTCTCCTGTGGCCCCACCTGGGGGTGCTGCACCTCATGTGTCAGGAGGGCTGCCTCCTGCTCGCTGGTGTCCCCCCACTGAGGAGAACTTCTAGATTCCCTCCTATTGCAAGGCATGATTGCGGGGGGGGGGGCGAGTTTGCTGCCCGAAGGACTAGGTACAGAGAGGGAGGTTGAATGCACCCCTGGGGAGGGACGGCCGGTGGCCAGGGCTGGCCTCGCTGCATCACTGTGACCCAGGCCACTGCCAGCAGCCTGCCCTCCTTGCTGGACAGGACTCAGGACTGTCCCCTGCCCCCGTGTGAGATGGGGGGCTGCTTCCCTCAGGACTGTCCCCCACATCACCCCTGGCTGCTGAGCACTCGCAGCCGAGCATATGACTTCTCACTGTAGCCTGATGTGGGCCATGTCTCCTGGTTCCACCCTCACATGTGGCACATAGCAGTGGGTGATCTCCCTGAATGATGTGTTGTCCCCTCAGCCTCAGAAGCATCATGGTGGTCTCCTGTCAGCTCACTGGAGGCCCAGGGGTCCTAGCTGGGAGAGTTGGAGAGTTGGAGAGTAAGGGCCAGGCCTGGGGGCCTCTGCAGCCGGTAGAGGCATGGCAGGGCGCTGAGGTCCTGGAGTCCGTGGATCCCTCTCTGGTCAGCTGGGGATCCCATGCCCAGTCTCTCTCACACTCCCATCCTGCTGTCCTGCAGGACCCTTTGAGGAGGCCCTCAAGACGCACCCATGCGCACTGGCTGACCGATGGCCCAGCCCCCCAACTCGGCGGGCACCGGTGGCCCCCACGGAAGAGCAGCTGCGGCAGGAGCCCTGGTACCACGGCCGCATGACCCGGCGTGCGGCAGAGAGGCTGCTGCGGGCCGACGGCGACTTCCTCGTCCGCGACAGTGCCACCAACCCCGGGCAGTACGTCCTCACGGGCATGCAGGCTGGGCAGCCCAAGCACCTACTGCTGGTGGACCCCGAGGGTGTGGTAAGAGGACTCATGGGGGGGGAGTGGGTTCCCAAGGCCACATCAGACACCAGGCGTGTCTGCTCAGTATGAGTCCCCGGGTGTCCACGGCTGTGGTGGAGGGCGCGTCCTGCAAGAAGACACCTCCAGACAGGGGTGTCCACGTGGGGTATGGCATCGTAGCCCCAAGGAACTGCAAGTCACGGAGCAGGATTGGTATAGACAGCTGTGTAGAGTGAGGGTTACTACAGGGGGAGACGGGGCGGTGTGGGTACAGGCAGGGCCAGCTGTCAGTCTCAGGTTTTGAAGGCGGGACCAGGTGTCAGTAAGTCTGTCTCAACCACCCTGGCATCGAGAACCTTTTCTGGCCCAAGTCCTGCTCCTTGCTTCGTGGGCGCTGGGTTTCCTGTCACCTGCCTCACATAGGGGTGTCTGGTTCCCTGCCAGGATGAGCTAATGTTCAGTGGTCCGAATCCCCCTGGGTTGTTCCATGGCTCTGGGCGCCAGGGGTTATGGGATGGTCCTGGACTGACTGATGCTGGGTCTGCTCCTCTAGGTGCGGACGAAGGATGTGCTATTTGATAGTATCAGCCACCTCATCGACTACCACCTGCAGAACGGGCAGCCCATTGTGGCTGCGGAGAGCGAGCTGCACCTACGTGGCGTGGTCACTAGGGAGCCCTGAGCCAGGTGTGTGCATGAGCCAGGTGTGTGTGTATGTGTGTGTGGGAGCCAGGTGTGTGTGTAAGCCAGGTGTGTGTGTGTGTGTGTGTGTGTGTGTAAGGCAGGCCTGCTGGGGAAGAGGGAGGGGATTGGACAGACCTCAATGGGCATTTTTACCCTGCCGCAGAGAAAGGTCTGCCCTGATCTGAGTCTCAGAAGCAACGTGGGGGACCAAATGTGGGCACCTGCTGCCCCCTTCCTCAGCCTGAGCTCTGGGGCAGGAGGCAAGGACCCTGACCCGGTCTGGCATTGCTGGCTTAGTGACCGTCCCCTCCTCACCTTCTGCCAGCAGGTGTCAGCGCTTGGCTCCCAGCTCCCGCCCTGAGACTCACCCCATCCTGGCCTACGGGGGCTGCCGGCCACCTGCTGTCCCTCCTTCCTCTGCACCCGCGTCTGAAATCTTCCCTCCACCAGCCGGCCTTGGCCAGACCCAGCATCCCTGCTCGTGTCAGAGCCTTCCAGCCGGCCAGCCTTACCCAGCGTGAGGGCACACACACACCAAAGACACCTCTCCTTGGGAGAGGATGCGTCTCAGGGCGGCAGCTTGGCTTGGGTGGGTGGGGGGCCTGGGCAGGGAGGAGCTGAGGTGCTTGGGGTTCTCAGGAAGGGGGGCACAGTGCAGGACGATGAGGACCATGCAGGCTCATCTTTGTCCTGAGAGGCTCTGCGCGCCCTGGGGACGGGAGGTCACGTCCTGGCTGCCTTGCCTGCCCTGCTAGCTGCCGACCTGGACTAGACGTTTCTGTTTATAATTAAACCTGAGTTGCCCCAGGAGCATTGTCCCTGCGCGTCGAGAGTGGGGGCTGGGAGATGGCTCCCCCGACGGAGGGGGAGAGCTAGCCGTGCCCTTCCACCTCCTGCAGATACGAGCCCTCTCTCTCTGTCCTCCCAGGGCAGGGTCCTCGGCAGCCCCTGAAGGACACCTGGGGTCTGACTCTCTGACGGGAGGGCCCAGCCCTGCCCCCGGGGAGGGTCGCTTTCCAGTAGTAGGTGTGTGGGCAGCATGCGCCTTCCTTCCTTCCTCCTAAAAGATTTAGTTCTTTTGCTTGAAAATGCAGAGTGATAAGATGAGAGCTCTTCCATCCACAGATTCACTGTCCAACAAACAAATGGGGCCTCAGTGGCCACGGCTCCTCCAGGTTGCAGTCAGGAGCCCAGAGCACTTTCACTGTCTGTCCACGTGGGTGTAAGAGGACGCAACTCCTGGTCCATCCTCTGCTGGCCTGGCCTCTCCCTACCCCCGCCCGCCCCCGGTGCATCCCGGATGGGAGGAAACAGCCGGGACTCAAAGCACTGGCAGTATGGCGCTGGGATGGCAGGTGGCAGCCTGCCTGCTGTGCTGTGTCCCCACCCGAGACCTTCTGGAGGATGAAGACCTAGTGATTCACCCACGCCTTCCCATTCAGTGGTCCACCCACTGTCCATCATCCCCACTACCCATCCTCCTTCTGCCCAACACTTCTGATGGGCAGTGGGGTCAGCAATAACTGGGACCCACAGACTGTTCTAGGGACCAATGGCAGAGCTGACCCATGTGCCCCCCACCGAGGGACTCCCGGGGTGACGCAGGGCAGGGGCTGGACAATGAGGGGGGCAGTGGGCCCCTGGGGGCAGACAGGGTGGCCTTAGGGTGCAGGACATGGACGATGATGGCCGAGGTAGGCTTGGTGCCACTGACAGCTGCCACCATCCCACACAGGGTAAGGGGCAGGAAATGTTCTTGGTGGGGCCTGCTAGAGAAGGGGGGACTGTCAAGGCCCTGGAGCCCCCTTGTGTGTCTACAGCTCCAGGTCCTGCTGCGCCCAGACTCCCCACCCCCTCCAAGTCCTTCCTGTCCTGGTGCCCACTGTCCCCATTGGAGGCTTGGCGCCTGAGTGAGTCCTGAGTAACAGCTGCTGGAAAGGGCAGAGCCAGGGCCACTCCTGGGTTCCCCTGACTGTGATGGGAGCTGCGGGCTGGGATGTCAGATGCCTCTTGCCTGCAGGTCAACAAATGTTCCCTGCCTACACATCCCAGGAGAGTCCTGGGTCCAAGCTTGGCTGCAGGGCGGGTGGTCCTCCTGTGAGGGATGGGAGCAGGGGCGGGTAGGGCAGGGGACAGGGGCAGGGCCAAGGAGTCAGGAGCAGGAGGGACAGGACCTGGGTGGGGTGGGGCCAGAACTGCTGAGTCCTACCCCAGGGGGGGCACACTCTCCTGGGCTAAAGCCTGGCTTCTGAGTGGGTCATGCTGCTGTTAGGGGTGGGGCCAGGGACAGGTGCAGGGCCAGGGGGGGTCAGGGCCTGGGTGGAGCGGGGACCAGGTCTCTGAGTCCTTCCCCAGGGTGGATACTCTCCTGCCTTTTAGAGGTGCTGCAGGCCAGGTGTGCACAGGTTCACACGTGATCTGCCCAGACCCAGGGCTGTCTGAACCCTCTGTCCTAAGCCATCTGCCTACTCTGGGCCAGGGGCAGCACCTGCTGAGGTGGGAGGTGGGGTTAGGGAGGACAGAAGCCACCCGGCCTGCAGCCATCTGTATGCCAGTGGCCACTGTCCAGCTTGAGCCTCCCAGGCCTTCCCTGAAGGCTGTGGTTGGGACAACCCTGGCCCCCAGAGTCGGCCACACCCTGGCCCTGAGGCTGCTGCAGGAGGCAAGAAGGCTTTGCTGTCCAGAGAGGATCCTGTTCCTCCAGGAAGGAGCAGAGCTGACTGGCTAGGAGGCTTGGGCCTTGTCACCACCCTGGGGTGCAGCCACATCTGCCCACAGGGCCTCTTGGAGCAGGGGTTGAGCCCCTCCCAGAGACCCCTCCCCTCCACACACCCCTCTTTCCCAGCAGTACAGCGATGGTGGTGTTGAGACTGAACTGGGTGGGTGGGTAGGGGGTGGGCCGGCTACAGGCGCTGCTCATGGACCAAGAAGACAGAGGCACAAGAGGGGTGCACAGCAGTGAGTGTGGGTGCCTGAGGGTCCTGGCCCCTTTGCTGCGCCCCTTTGCTGGTCCCTGCCCACACCAGGCCAGCGGTCAGGGGCGGTCGGCGGCTGCGCTCAGGACGCGCAGCTGTGTCCTCGCTCCGCCCCGCGCAGAGCTGCCCACTGCCTGCAGGGCCACCGCCCGATCACCTGCGCGCAGGGGCGCACGGGGGGACGCCTGGCACCCCGGCTCCCCTGCGGACCTGCGGAGCGGACCTGAGGTGGCCGGGGCCGTCCGCCCCTCTCCTCTCCTCCGGGTCTTGAGGCTCCGCCCTGCGACCCCCCGGGGGCCGCGAGCGGCGGGCGCGGCGGCCGTACTAGGAGGAATACGGCGCGCGCGGCGGCGGCGCTGGCGCTTCGCGCTGAGCCGGGAGCCCGACTGCGCCTGCAAACCCGACCTGGCTAGAAGCCCCTGCGTGACCACCCGGAGTCCCCATCCCGGGCCGACGCCCGGGCAGGTGAGCCCCGGAACCTCGCCGCGATCCGGAAGGGCCGTGAGCGCCTGAGCCCTGCGGGACCCCGAGCAGCCACAGGTGGGGAGAGCTGCTGGAGGCGCCGAGACGCAGGCAGCCGCCCCGTGCTGCGTGCACGCTGGGACTGGCCTTTCGGGGTGATGGCGCGCGACCCCTGGGAGCCCATCTCCCGCAGCCCCTGGCTGGGCGGGAAGTTGAGTGCTAATCCTGGGTGTGGTGGGGATGGGGCTGGGGATGGGGTGGGGTAGAGGGAGTGCCACTCCGGCCCGGCCCCTCAACCTGCGCCTTGACACCCCACACCCCCATTCTCTCTCTCTCTCTCTCCCTTCCCAGACGCTGCCCCTATGAGAAGAACGAACATGTGGTTCTTGGAGCGACTGCGGGGCTCTGGGGAGAACGGGGAGGCCTCAGACAAGGCCTCCAAGGGGCCCCTGTACAGCAACGTGCTGACCCCCGACAAGATCCCCGACTTCTTCATCCCCCCCAAGCTGCCCTCGGGGCCTGCGGAGGCCGAGGGCCAGGCAGAGCTGGGCCCTGCAGCGGAGCAGACCCCTGCGGCGGCGGCGACCGCTGCGCCCCGCCGCGCCCCCCGCAGCCCCCGGCTGCCCGCCAAGCTGGCGGCCGAGAGCAAGAGCCTGCTCAAGGCGGCCACCCGGCACGTCATCCAGATCGAGAGCGCGGAGGACTGGCCGGCCGAGGAGGAGGAGGCAGCGGCGGCGGGCGCCTCCGGCTCGCTGCCCGCGGTGCCCAAGGCCCAGACGTCCTACGGCGTGGCCACGCTGGCCGAGAGCCCGCACACGCGGCGCCGGGAGTCGCTGTTCCATAGCGAGCACGGGGCCCTGGCGCAGGTGGGTTCCCCGGGCGCCGGGCGCCGCCGGGCCGACGGAACCCTCATGAGCCCCGGTCGTTATTTCAGCGGCGGAGAGAGCGACACCGGCTCCTCGGCCGAGTCGTCCCCGTTCGGGTCCCCTCTGCTATCACGCTCCGTGTCGCTGCTGAAGGGCTTTGCGCAAGACGGCCAGGCCAAGGTCAGCCAGCTGCGGCACTCTGTCGGTGGGCGTCACGGTTCCCTGTCTGCCGACGACAGCACGCCCGACACCAGCCCCGGCGTGCGTCGGCGCCTGCACCGCCGGGCAGCAACCCCCGATCCGGGCTCCGAGGCCGGTCCCGTGCCACCGCCGCCTCCGGCCCCGCGCGGGGAGCACACGGTGCGGCTGGGTCTGCGGGGCAGCGTGCGCCTGCTGGCCGAGTACGAGGCTGCCCAGGCTCGCCTGCGTGTGCGCCTGCTGGCCGCCGAGGGCCTCTACGACAGCGCGCTGGACGCGCGCAGCATCAACTGCTGCGTGGGGCTGTGCCTGGTGCCCGGGAAGCTGCAAAAACAGCGCAGCACGGTCATGAAGAACAGCCGCCACCCTGTCTTCAACGAGGACTTCTTCTTTGATGGCCTGGGGCCGGCCAGCGTGCGCAAGCTGGCCCTCAGGGTCAAGGTGGTGAACAAGGGGGGCAGCCTCAAGCGGGACACGCTGCTGGGGGAGGAGGAACTGCCCCTGACCGCGCTGCTGCCCTGGCTGTAGGGCCTGGGCCAGGCCGCGGTGTTGCTGGATTGCTCCTTCCCATCTCCCTCCCCAGGAGGTCCTCAGGGGCTGGGGGGCCAGGCTGTCTCCCTTTCACTGCCCAGCATGGCCCTGCTACGGGCTGTTCCTGCGGGAGATGCCAACCCCAGATCCTGCCCACGAGGTGGCCTCCCGCCGGAGGTCAGCTGGGGAGGTCTGCTGGACAACTGCCCAGGCCTGGACCTCTGCCCACTGGCTCAGCTGCATCATGTAAATAGGTCTTGGTGACCTGGGAGGTGGGGTTCAGCAGGGGCCTGCAGGGGCCCGAGGTGGCTGCTGCTGTGGGGCCCTGGGTGTTTGGCGACGGAGCAGGCTGGCCGCCAGCTGTGGATGGCCAGGGGTTCAACCCTGTCTTGTTGCCCAGGTGTCTCTACTGGCTCCTCCAACCCCTGGTCTCCTACAGGGCTGGGAGAGGCAGCTGCATGCCGTCGGGGATGGGATTCCTCTGTTTTATATCCTGTTGGTATCTTTGTGCTTGGAGTGGGCCTCCCAGCCCCGTGTGTCTACAAATGCTGTTTTAGTGCAGTAAAGGTATTTCCAGAAGGCACGGCTGGTACTGCTTATCTGCTGGTTGTTGACTGGGACTCTACTGTCTGTCTGGGATGCAGAGAGCACGGAGACCCCCGAGGCCCCAGTTGGATCAACCGCTGTGTAGCCTAGGGTGGCCAGGACCTGCCCCCTGCCTGTGTCCCCCAAGAAGGCCTCCATACCCAACTCCTCACTCCAGCCCTTTCGGGAAGTCTCTTGGGCATGCTGCTGGCCAAGGCTTCTCTCCTGGTGTCCCACCTGTAGGCGCCCTGGGTACAGGCATGCCTGCTACGCCAGGGTTCCCCCACATGAGCCCACCCCATCCTCTGCCTTACAGTTGGTGGCAGTCCTGGGTGGGCCTAACCTGAGCCGGCCTGTATCCCTACAGCCAGCCTCCCCTCTACTAGAACCTGCAGGAAAAAAAAAATGGTGGTCTTCTCTCATCTCCTCCCGCCCATGTGGGCTGGAGTGTGCCGTGTTGGGGTCTGGCATGGCCCCCACCTCCTCTGCCTGCCGTCAGCCACCAGATGAGCTGTGCTAATGAGGCCTGCTTGGCTGGGAGGTGTTGCCAGGGCAACCAGGCGCCTTCTCGACTCTTCCCTGCCAGCGGCTGGTCCCTGGGCTGCCCGTGCGTGTGCACGTGTGAGCGTGTTGCACATGGCAGCCGTGTAACAGCATGTGGGTAGGTACACGTCAGTGGGTATATTTGTGCACCCGTGGCTGAGTACTAATTGCCAAGTGTCTGAGTGTGTGTGTGCTCCTGTGCTCTGTGTGTGTGTGTGCTCCTGTGCTGTATGTGTGCGTGTTGTATGCTCCTATTTGCCCCTGCCCATGCCAGCCCCTCTGGCCTCCACACCTGGGGTCCTAGGGTCTCAGACTCCTTCACTGTCTTCCTCCCTCCTGACTGTGGCTCACTTTGTCCCCAGCTGCCCCTGGGGATCCCTCCACAGGAAGACAGCTGCTGCCGATGCCCCCACGGCCAGGCTGCCGCCCTGACCGTTCTGACGGCCATGCTCATCAGAATCACCTGCTTGGCGTGGACCACAGAGTGGTACACCTTCCTCAGAGAAGATTCTGCCCTGCCTGGGGCCCATGGCCACACACGGCCAGCAAGGCCCTTTCCTGCTGTCAGCCTAGACCTGGATTGTCCAGTGAGATGGGGCACTTGTGGTCCACCTGGCAGGTGGAGGCGAGGCAGTGCCAGGAGCCTGGCCTGTGCAGGCTGCCAGCTGGGGATGCTTTGAGATTGGGGACCCTGGTGGAGGAAGGAGCCGGGGGGGGGGGTTCAGGATGGGCTCCCTGCCAGCCCTGCCGGTGGCCATCCTGTCCACATTGTCCTGCCTTAACCTGTTCACCCAGGACCCCACTCCGAGGAGGCGCACGGGAGGGGCTGTGGGGGCAGCCTAGCTCATCACAGTGAGGGGATGAGGGAGCAGGTCCCTGCCTGCTCTGAGTCACGGCCCCTACCCCAGCTAGGAGCTGTCCTCAGACCTGCCTGTCTCCTCCCCACCCCTGTTCCTCTAGGCTCCGTCCAGGCCTACCTCTGCCACCTGCTCAGGCCCACTCCAGGAGCGACGACCAGGCCCTCTGCTGGGTTCTGAGAAGCCCTGGGGAAGGCCACGTGCACACAGCCATCCTAGCCACTGTCGCTGGAAGGCGCTGCTTTTTATCTCAGCTACATTATCTGCGGTGGCCAGGGCGTGCTGGGTAGATGGGGAAGCCCGGTGGTCTAGGTCCTTCATGCCCCCCCCCAACCCATCCCCCAGGCAGAGCAGCAGAGACGGCAGGGACCCTGTCTGAGCACCTGTGTGTTCCTGCCCACTGCAGCCTCTGTCGGCCCATCACATTGTGTGGCCCACGTCCCTGGCACCCGCCTGCTTTTCTAGGCCTGCTTGGGGCTGTTGGGCTATTCTCCTTTCTCTTTTCTTCAAGATTGACTTTTCATTGGAAGGTAGATTCACAAAGAGCAGATACAAAGATCTTCTGTCTGCTGGTTCACATCCAAGTGGCTGCAATGGCCGGAGCTGAGCTGATCCGAAGCCAGGAGCCAAGAGTCTCAGTTGGGGTAGATGGGCAGAGTATATTGACTCGCCCCAGAACCCAGTCTTGGGTGGGAGTGGCACGCTTCTGCTCTCGAGCGAGTTCCACGCAGGAGGCCTGGGACGCGATCCTCTATCCACCCCCTTGGTTGTGGGAGCCCCAGCCCTCTCCCGTGCCCCGGAGGGGCCATCTTTACTCTGTGCACCTGCTCTGCTGACTGGAGAGGACCAAGAAGTGGACTCAGTGGGCAGGTCCAGCTGTAGCCACAGCCCTCAATGGGTGGTGCCCGCTGTGGCCACACCCATTGGTGGGTGGTTCCAGTTGAGGCCACACTCTCAGTGGGTGGCTCCCACCGTGGCCACACCCCTCGGCGGGTAGATCCAGCCCGTGCTGTTAGATCTGCTGACCCACGGCAAAGAAAATATCAGCCAAGTACAAACAGGCCTTTGTTAGGCAAAGAAAAGTCTGTTCCTGGGCCTTTCCCGCGCGGTGGAGCAATGAACAGGAGAGGAGAGGCTCACAAATGGGAAAGACAAGCTGGGTAGCAGGGACAAAGGTTTTACACCCCCTCTGACGTGGGTGCTGGCATCAGCCCTGCTTGGGTCCTGATAGGACGAGGAATGTTGGCCTTTGTCCATCATCGGCCCGTATGTGGCCTTGGCTGCCTTTGGGGCGTGCCAGATCTCTGGCTGAGGTCACTGCGGTGTCCACCCACTTCCTGCAAGCGCGGTAACCATCAGATGCCACATCCATCAGTGGGTGATTCCTGCTGTGGCCACACCCTCCGTGGCACTCCTGGTACGGAGCAGCGGCGTGCACCTCCCACCCACGGATCTGGTCACATCTGGACATTGCAGCATTGAGTTTTGCATGCCTGCCCGAACAGGCCTTCTCTTGCTGTTTAGCCAGCAGCGAGAGCAACCATGAGGCCACTGGGCGTGCCTGACAGATCCATGACTGTTGGCCAGCATGACAGCAAGCTGCCCTGTCATCTGGCCAGGAGACACGTGGGCCTGGGACCTGGACGTGAACCCAAGGAAGGGAGAAGATGACCCTCACATAGCCTCTGTCTTCCCATGTCCCGTGGACTCCTCCCAGGGAAGCTGTGTCCAGGGGAGCCCACGGGAGGACTTGCGGGAGACCATGGTGTGGAAAAGGACCGGCGTGGTGGTTCAGGTCGGCCCTGTTTCCTGATTGACACGTGGAAGGACAGACGGACTGGTATGTGCCAGGCCAACCCGGCGGCTCCACTGCTGTTTCTGTCCACCCAACATGGAAGATTCCTTCCTGTGATCTGATGGATTGTAGAAGGTGCTTGGGCCTTCCTGAGCCCTAATTCGCAGGGCGGTCAGACCAGACTAGGCAGGGTTAATGCCAGTCATGGTGGGGGCCGCTTGGGGTCTTCCCTTTTCGCTGTTTGGCCCATTCTCTCACAACACCAGCAGGGAAAGCCTGGGCCTGCACCTGTACCCTCCTGAGGCCAGAAGCACCCTCCCGAGTCATCCTCTCTCCTCTCTCCCCCCCTTTCTTTTAAGATTTATTTTTATTTGAAAGTGAGATTTACAGAGAGAAGGCGACAGAGAGAAAGATCTTTCATCTGCTGGTTCACTCCCCAAGTGGCCACATGACCAGAGCTGAGCCAATCTGAAGCCAGGAGCCAAGAGCATCTTCCGGCTCTCCCACACAGATACAGGGTTCCCAAGGCTTTGGGCTGTCCTCCACTGTTTTCCCAGGCCACAAGCAGGGAGCTGGGTGGGAAGTGGAGCTGCTTAGAAACGTTGCCTAAATAAGGGAAATCCAAATTAAGACATCGATGAGGTACCACCTAACACCAGTAAGATTGGCCCACATAAACAAGAACACCAACGACACTTGCTGGCGAGGATGCTGGGAAAGGAGAACCCTACTTCACGCAGTGGAGCTGCAAGTTGGTACAGCCTTTATGGAAATCAGTCTGGAGAACACTCAAACAACTCAAAATCTGCATACCATATGACCCAGCAATAGCACTCCTAGGAATATATCCAAAACACCTGTTTCACAACAAACCAACATGCACCCCTATGTTCATAGCAGCACAATCAGTAATTGCAAAAACATGGAAGCAACCAAAATGCCCATCAGCAGAAGATTGGATAAGAAAGCTTTGGTTCATCTACTCCATGGAATACTACTCAGCTATTAAAAAAACAAAATGCAGTTCTTTGTGGCTAAATGGGCCCAACTGGAAACTATAATGCTAAGGGAAATGAGCGAATCCCAAAAGGTTAGATACCACATGTTTGCCTTGATTTAACCTGTAATTTTTGTTTGGTTGTTTGTTATTTTTTGAACCTGTCATTGATACTGTCTCAACCCAGATGTTTTGAAGAATTGAACTTGCATTATTTTTAACATATTGTTTACCCAATACTATGTCAATTAATTCCATAACATTGTATATTGATGCTGATGTTTTGTTGGGGCTTTTAACTGGCCGGAACTTTACTCTGTTAGCTCTACCTTCAGACCAGAGAAGGTCTCCCCAAGAGGCCACTGAACTTATCTGGACAATAAGATGCTGGACTTTATGCTAGGTATATGCTTGCAATGAAGGAATCTCAACTGAACTTGAACTGTGGTTATGCAGCAAGGTGGAGGAATCCACTATGGGGGGAGGGGTGTGGGAGGGGTGGGGGGAATCCCCAGTGCCTATAAAACTGTATCACATAATACAATGTTAATAACAATAAAAAAATAATAATTAAAAAAAAAAAGAAACATTGCCTATATGGAATATGACATTGCACAAGTTAGGTTAACCCACTGGTGCCTGACTGAGGTGATGAGGAAGCTGAATAAAGCCAAGTAAGGATATAGGATGAGCATTGCAAAGGGGATTGTGTTATTAATTACATGCATGGGGCATGTGGCCCTGGGGAAGATGCACTCCAGTGCACGGTGTGTGCTAAGGCCAAGGGAGACAGCATTCTGGCTGGGAGCGGCTCAGCATGGGCACAGGATGTGCCAGCCCTGGGTGGTCACAAGCACTGGATGTACTGGGATTGGGGACCCTGTGTGGATGAGGGAGGGGCCCTATGCGGGTGAAGGGTCCTGTGTGGGTGGGGGCTCCATGTGGCTGGGGGCCTTGTGTGAGTGGGCCCCTGTGTGAGTAGGGTTTTGGCTACACGCAGCAGAGGACCCAGACAAAGCACTGGCTGGTCGGCTGCTGCACTGAGCTCCAGCCAGGGGCAGGGTTGCTAACCCAGAGTCTCCCCGGTGCCAGCCAAGGCCTGGCCTTCAGATTGTCTGCCCTCAGGCCAGCCGCTCATGGGCACAAGACAGCTGCCTGAGCTCCGGACTTTACCCCAGAGGGAAGAGCTGGGTTGGAATGTGGATGACAGAGGCAGGATGGGGCATTGTCCTGTCGCCCCGGTGACCGCAGATCCATTTGGGTGCGGAGGGAGCAAGGACACAGGGTGTGGGGTGGTGGTCGTTGGCCCATGGGGGACCGCAACTTCTCCGAGGCTAGGCGTGCCTCGGGAGGCGGTCAGGATGAGGAGGTCTTGGGCCTGCAGACCCCTGTTTACAACAACCTGCGCTTTAGGGACTCGGCTGAGGGGGAGCTAGGGCACGAGGACCCCGAGGCAGAGGTGCCACCTGAGGAAGAGGCTGCCGAGGTCCAGGACGAGGCCTCCGAGGTCCAGGACGAGGTCCCCTCGGAGTCAGAGCATGCTCTGGAGAGAGACGCAGGGGACATTCCGGAAATGAGGTGGCCGGCATGGGTAGCCCCCGGCATGTGCTGGGGAGAGGAGGGACCCAGAGGGGGCCGGCAGTCCAGGTGGCACAGTCTGCGCTTGGAGACACCACCATTGCTCAGAAAGCCACATTCCCACTTCCAGGAGCCCAGGGGCCAGGGCCGTGGCAGGAGAGGGGCCAAGAAGTGGGCACCTGCTGGGGCCTAGAGGTGTTTTTGGGAGGGTATGGTGCCACAGAGAGCTTGGTGAGCTTTTCCTTGGCCGTTTCACTCAATAAATGGCTGCAGCAGCCAGGGTCTGGCCAGGAGCCAGGAGCTCCTCCTGGGTCCCCCCACTGCAGGTACATGCCCGTTACCTCTCCCTCCCTCTCCCAGTGTGAGGAGCAGGACCCCAAGCATCAGGGTGCCCTTCTAGTAGGCAGTGGGCAAGGGTGGCAGGCCTTCCCTGCAGCCCAGAGGGTGGGGGTGGCACTGCCTGCCCCAACACCCATTCTCCCAAAGCCGGCTGTCCATCACCCAGCGCTTCCCCCGCTCGTCTGTGGCACGGGGCAGGCGGCGCCGCTGCAGGCTCCTGGAGCTGGCAGAACCCAAGACAAACTGGCAAGTGCTGAAGGACAGGTGAGAGCCAGCCGAGCAGGGATGGGCCGCCGGCTTCCTTCCCGGTCTCCTGGTGCCGCTGCTGGGCAGTGAGCAAGGAGGACAGGTGGAGGGGGAGCCTGCGGCAGGGCCTGGTGGGACCGGGAGGAGCCGGAGAAGTCGTGAACCACTCGGGGGAACCAGCTCGAAGGGCAGTGGGGCTCGGACCTGTCTCGCCGCAGGAAGGGAGGCCGGTGTAGGGGCTATGCCTGGATCTCCCCATGCAAGCTGAACTTGCACTTCTGTCTCTACTGGTGAGTCTGTTGCCTTCCCACTCTGACTGCATGGGAGCAATGCGCGAGGCCAGGCCCTCCCCAGCAATTCCCCCTTCTCTACAGGTTTCCAGACAGAGGGGATCACACCATACACAAATATGAACCCTAACATCCAACTAAATCTCTAACCTCTGACCCCCATCCTAACTACATTTCTGAGTTTTCATGCTCCTCTTCGGGGCTTGAGATGCAATACAGACCCTAAAACTGCCACCCTAAACCTAACCCCGCCATTCTAACCCTACCATAACCCTAACCCTAAACTTAAATCAGTCACCTTAACCCCAACCCTAACCCTAACCTGTCATCTTAAGTCCTAACCTAGGGCTTTCGAAATGACCCTAACCCCTGAGCCCTCACTCGCGCTATAATTCTAAATGCCTAACACCCAACCCTATCCCTAATCTTGAACCCTCTCCTCCCCCTATATGTCTCACTTTGCCAACGTGCTCCTGCGTCCGCTGCTTGCCCTGGATTGCTGTCCTCCCTGGGAGTGGGGCAGTGGGGCAGTGGGGCAGTGAGGCAGTGGGGCAGTGGGCAGGGGGCCAGGCCCCTCCCTCATGCCGTTGCACTGTTGTAGGCCTTCCGTGTACTGGACCGAGCGCTTTCTTCAGGATACAACCCTCAGCATCACGGTGCCTGGTAAGAGGGGCCCCACTGTCCAGGCCTGGAGGGGGCCTCTACTCCGTACCCTGGCCCTACCTGCTGCACTCGCCACTGGCCTCCTGGGACTGGCGGGGCATAGGAGGGCATGCCAGCCTCCTCCTTAAAGGGAACCCCTCTAACCCAGAGCCAGAACTTCCTTGGCTCTGTGCCTTGGAGCCCCTTGCCTCGCCCAGTCTTCTAGAACTCTCCCCCCAGCCTCTGTCCCCTGAAGGTCCACAGGGGGGACCCAGAAGGAGGTTATGACTGGTCAGGGGACAGTGGCCTCTTGGGTCCTGCCCAGCTATGTCCACCCTGCATGTACAACGGGGCTTCTGGCCAGGGCTGCAGGGTATTGCATGCCAGCCAGCAGTGGCTTCACAGGCAGGAACTGAGGGGAGTGTCCAGGCCACACAGCCCTGCCTGGCTTTCCCCCACGTGCCCTGTCCCTCAGAGGTGTCTCCTCGAGTGGAAGAACTGGCCCGTCCCAAGAGGTTCTATTTGGAATACTACAACAACAACAGGTGGGAGCTTCTTTCCCCCCCCTCCCGCCAGCCCCCAGACCCCAGGGCTGAGCTGGACGGACCCCCAACCCCTCCCTACACACCACAGGGCTGAGCACATGTGCTCCCCCTTATCCTGGTCACCTACGCTGTCTGTGTCTTCAGGACCACTCCCGTCTGGCCAATTCCTCGCTCCACTTTGGAATGCCAAGCATCTAGGCGCCTGAAGGAGCTGGCCATTCCCAAGATGCGTAATAACATCTGGAGCATCAACATGTCCGAGGTAGGCGCTGGTTCAGGTTCTTTGCTTTCCTAGGCAGTGGGCAGGAGCTTCAGGGCACACCCGCCGGCCACAAGGGATGCACCCCACTGCAGCGACTCCTGATTTCAGGGTCTCCCCACCCCCACGGGGGGTTCCCATCCCTAGGTGTCCCAGGTGTCCCGCGCAGCACAGATGGCCATTCCCAGTTCACGGATCCTGCGGCTGGCCAAGCCCAGGGCCCCGGCCGTCCTGCTCACGGAGTGGGATCCCATGCCGAAACCCAAGCCGCGGGTGTCAGACTACGGCCGCCTCCTCAGCCTGGCCAGTAAGTGGTCCCTGCTATTCTTGCCCCGCTGCACATGGAGACGAGGGGCAGAGTCCCATCCACTGCACCTGCCATCTCTGTCATTCCCCTGGGCTGCCCCAGCGCCTGGAATGAACCCATCTGTGCCCTGAACCCCGTGGGAAACAGCCCCCCCACACTGGGTGCAGTGGGGTGATGGAGCAGCTGAGGGGGTCACAGGTACATATCTCTGGGGATGGATGCCATGGGGATACCGGTTATGGGGACTCTATAAAACCCAGAAACACGTGAGGAGAAAGAGAAGAAAAACCTTGGAAACCTGCACATGCATGCCTGCATGGGCACAGACAGCGACACCCAGTGGGCTCTGCACACACACCTGTGGGCTCAGCGACACCCAGCGGGCTCTGCACACACACCTGTGGGCTCAGCGACACCCAGCGGGCTCTGGACACACACCTGTGAGCTCAGCGACACCCACCACGCTCTGCACACACACCTGTGGGCTCAGCGACACCCAGCGGGCTCTGCACACACACCTGTGGGCTCAGCGACACCCACCACGCTCTGCACACACACCTGTGGGCTCAGCGACACCCACCACGCTCTGCCCCAAATGCACGTGTGGAAATACATACAGCAGCTCTGCATGTGCCATGGATGTGTGAGCCAGGTCACTCCTGTGCCCACCCTGTTCTTGCCCCCTTCCCCAGTCTCCTCCCAGCCTCTCCCCCGCTCTCCCCCAGAAGCATGGATCTCCCCCATCCCTCTCTCCTGTAATACCCCCATCTCCCACTCGGCAGCAGGAACATTCCTCTGGATTCCGCGCCCCCTCCTCTCTCCTGGTTGACCGTCCCTCCCCTGCTCATGATCCTGTCGGGCTAGCACCTCCCAGTCCCCCAGGGCACCCAGAGATGAGCGGGTGACAGGGCCTCTGTACAATCAGTTGCATGCAGCATCCAGGGGGTCAGAGACTCGGCAGGTTCTTTGCCATTTCCTGCTCCCCGCATTTGGCTGGCTGATTTGGGTCACCCCTTTGCCGGACACATTGGAAATGATCCCCCACTTCCGTCTTGCTTTGTCCTGGACGGGGTTTCTGCTTATGTGTTCACCAAACGACCTGTCCCCCAGTGTCCGTACACCCTTGAGACCGCTGCACGTGTGTGTGCCCAGCTCCTGTGTCATCGTGCGTACGGTGCCTGCCTTGCTCTGTCCTGCACTGGAGGTTCAGCTCCACCGTGACTATTGCTAATTCTGGGGGCTCTGTTCGGCAGGCGGGAAGGGTCCTGCAGACACTCTCAAGAGTGCTGTGAGACCTTTACATGGTCATTCTAGAACATTCCCATCACTCCAAAGAGTGCAGGCACCCTGGGCTCCGAGTGCCCATCCTGTCTTATGGAGTCCCTGCTCTGGCTATTTCCTGTCTGTGTGACCTCGTGTGGCTGTGTCCCCATGTGTGTGGTGTCCTAGACCCCCCATGGCACATGTGTGTGTCTGAGTCCATGTGTGTCCCCCTCCGCTGATGGACAAAGAAGGTACAGCCCCGGCGCCACCCCTCTCTCCTGCCCTTGCAGTGCCCAAGGTCCAGTCGGACAAGTGTGTGCCAGACCGGGACCCTCGCTGGGAGGTGCTGGACATCACCAAGCGGGCAGTGGCCAGCCCCAGGGTCATCGCTCTGGCCCAGCCCCGAGTGCGCAGATGCCTGAATGAAGGCTACGATCCCTACCGCATCTCCCCAGCCTCGCTGGTGGCTCAGGCATCCCCCCGCCTCCAAGAGCTGGCCACCCCTAAAACCATCGCCAAGAAAGTGTGACCGCCGGCCGACCTCCCACGGCCCCGTGCCCAGTAAACGCCCAGACGCACCCTCACCCGTGTTTGTTATTGCTCAAGCTGCCGGCAGGAGCAGGGACGAGGGGCCCCTGCACGTGCTGACACAATAACATTTATTTTTGCATCCAACCTGCCGCTTGTACAGGCCTCTTGCTTCCTGCCCACATCCGACCATCAGCTCTGCTCCTTGCTGGCGGCTTGGACCCACATGGCATGCTTGCCCACCTCCCACTTGGAATAATGGCTACAACAGCAACAACTTAACACCTCCCCTCCGACGCACAGCGGGGGTCAGCACAGCACCCCAGGGACCCAGCTGTGTCACTCCCACCTACCAGAAGTGGAGGCCAAGGACTGCTTGGGATGGGGAGAGGAATGGTCTCTGATAGAGTCCCCTGGTAGTTCTGTTAGAGAAGTAGAGAGAGAGAGAGGGAGGGAGACAGAGCGGATGAGGTTGAGAGGAACTGGGGTGGAGGGTGTCGGAGGGAAGGAGAAATAAAGAGAGAGAGAGAGAGAGGAAGGAAGAGGAAGAGAGGGAAGGGGTGGGAGAGAAGAAGAAAGAGGTGGAGGGGGGAGACAAAAAGATCTTCCTCTGTTGGTTGACTGCCCAGAGAGCCGCCCAGATAGAAGCGCAACAACTTACCCAAACCCAGGAGCCACCGTGCCGGTGCAGGGTCCAAAGGCCTTGGGCCAGCCTTCGCTGCTGGAAGCTGGGTGGGATGTGGAGCAGCTGGGATTCCAGCACTGCAGGGGACGGTCAGGAAAGCACTGACTCAGGAATGGACTGGGGAACATGGATCAGGGTGGACCGGGCGTCCTGTGTTCCCTGCGGAGTGGACTGGGGGGGGACCGGGTGCCCTGTGTTCCCTGCGGAGTGGACTGGGGGGGACCGGGTGCCCTGTGCTTTCAAAGAGGAGCAGCTCGGGGTACAGGGCATCCTGTGTTCCCATGCAGGGATGGACTTGGGTGACTGGGTGTCCTGTGTTTCCACACAGCACAGGGGTGGACTGGGGGACGGGGCGCCCTGCGTTCCCACTCGGGGTGGACTGAGGGACGGGGCGCCCTGCGTTCCCACTCGGGGTGGACTGGGGGGACGGGGTGTCCTGCGTTCCCACTCGGGGTGGACTGAGGGACGGGGCGTCTTGCATCCCCACAGACAGGGGTGGACTGGGGGGACGGGGCGTCCTGCATCCCCACAGACAGGGGTGGACTGGGGGGACGGGGCGTCCTGCATCCCCACAGACGGGGTGGACTGAGGGACGGGGCGTCCTGCATCCCCACAGACGGGGTGGACTGAGGGACGGGGCGCCCTGCGTTCCCACTCGGGGTGGACTGGGGGGACGGGGTGTCCTGCGTTCCCACTCGGGGTGGACTGAGGGACGGGGCGTCCTGCATCCCCACAGACAGGGGTGGACTGAGGGACGGGGCGTCCTGCATCCCCACAGACGGGGTGGACTGAGGGACGGGGCGTCCTGCGTTCCCACTCGGGGTGGACTGGGGGGACGGGGAGGACCGACCGGAACCCCGCGTTCTCACACAGCCGGAACCCCGCGTTCCCGGGCCTGCTGGTCCCTCGGGACCCGGAGCTGTCCGGCGCCGGGACCCGCCCCCCGCGGAAGCCCGCTGCGGCCCAGCCGGTCCCGCCTCCCGCTCCCTGCGCCCGGCCCGCCTGGGTCCCGCCTCCCCGGCACCGCAGCCAATGAGCACGCGGCGTCGCATCCGGGGATCCCGGCGCGGCTGCCGCCTCCCGCGCGCGCACGGCCATGGCGGAGGTGAGTGAGCGGGCCGGGGGAGGTAGCCCCCCACCCCGCGCGCCCGCGTCCTCGCTGCGCCGGGGCTGGCTTCGGCGGAGCCCTGGGGGCGGACAGTCCTGCCCCGGAGCTCCGAGGGCGCGCCTGGGGCGCCTCATCCACGCGGGGCCCAAGGGGCGCGGGGCTCGGTCGGCGGCCGCCCCCGGCCCCCTCCCCCCGGTGCCACATCGCCGGCTGCAGTGCGCAGGCGCGCTGGGAGGGGGGTGCCGAGAGGGCGGGGCGCTGGGGGTGCTCGGGGTTGGGGTGCTGGGGGCTCGGGGCTGGGGTGATCGGGGCTGGGGTGCTCGGGCTGGGGTGATCGGGGCTGGGGTGCTCGGGGCTCGGGGCTGGAGTGATCGGGGCTGGGGTGATCGGGCTGGATCGGGACTCAGGGCTGGGGGCGCTCGGGGCTGGGGGTGTGCGGGGCTCAGGGCTGGGGGTGCTCGGGGCTGGGGGTGCTCTGTGCTCGGGGCTTAGGGCTGGGGGTGCCCGGGGCTGGAGGCGCTCGGGGCTGGGAGTCTGCAGGTGCGCGGGGCTGGGGATTCTGCAGGTGTTCGGGGCTGGAGGTGCACGGGGTGGGGTGCTCGGGACTCAGGGCTGGAGGTGCTCGGGGCTCGGGGGCAGGTAGGGCGGGGGGCGGCACTCAGGGCTTGGGCTGCTGGCACGCGGGGCTCTGGATGGTTCTCTGCCAAGTTTGTGAGCATCGGGCCCTCCGGAGAGCCCTCGGGCTGGTGGGATCTGACAGGTCCAGGCTCGGAAGTTATTGAGACAAACTTGGCAGCTGCATGCCTTCAACCAAGGGCCTTGGTGGTTTTGGCGTGGCTGAGGGGCGGCGCCCTGGGGCAGCAGGGGCCAGGCCAGCCTGTGCACTGGTCACTCTGAGCCCCATGCAGGGCCTGGCCCACCTTACCACCCACTTCCTGCCTGTGCCAGGGGCAGAGCTTTCAGTGCTGGGGGGCGGGGGAAACCAAGGCTGTGTGGGCACAGATGTGTCATCTGGTCCTGTCCCCAAGTGCTGGCAACAGCTGTGCTGCCTGTCACCCCTAACTGGCAGTTGAGGGGTTTTCTGCGGAGCCAGCCACCCCCCTCCCCCAGCTATCCCTAGAGGCCACAGGTGGGCAGCTGCTGTGGGTGCTGAGCTGCCCGGAGCCCCAGTCCCTTCTGAAGTGGCCGGTTGGCTATGGTCATTCTGGGATCTTGGCACAGGGTCTGCCCTGGCAGCTGAATGTCGCTGCTGGTGCACGCTCTGTCTCTGCCCTTCCTCACCAGACAGGATGCTCCTTACCTCACATCACAGGATGGGGTGCCCCCTCATGTCCCCATGTCACAGGATGGGGTACCCCCATCCCACAGTTGGGGCAAACCCTGGGACAGCCACTGCTGGCTCTGCCTGCTGTTGGGGGGCCAGTGGAGCCCTGACCTGCTGCTGTGGGCATTCGAGGGGTGACCAGCAGATCCCTGGCTCTCTCTCTCTCGGACATGATCAAAACAGAAGGGCAGGAGACATGAGGACGGCGGCTTTCCCACCAGCGTGGAGCCGTGCCTGCTAGCCAGCCCTTGCCAGGGCAGTGGGCGCTCTGGGTTGGCTGCTGGAGAGCCACGCTGTGCCCTTTCCTGCACGTTCTCACCTGGCAGTTTGCACGTGTCCCTTGGGTCCTCCTGGACTGGCAGTGCCATGCGGACGGCACTGAAGAGACTGGCTCCCTCCCCTGGGCTGTAGGAAGTGGTCAGAGAGGAGCGAGATGGTGGGCAGCCCCGGAGGCCCGGGGGGGGGGGTGCTGTAGATGGCATTTCAGCACGGTTGGCAATAGATCTGTGGGGAGCAGTTCCCCAGGATGCGAGAGTTGTCACTGTCACCTCTGGTGGCTAGAATGTGGTTCCTCCCTGCCCACTGCTGAAAATCGGGGCCCTTGGTGGTGGTCATTGCTGGTGTGGACAGGGCTGGGATGGTGTGTGCACAGTTCCGGTCCACGGTATGAGGGGTCGGGACATGTGGGGGTGGCCTCGGGTGCCCATGACCACGGTGTGAGGGGTCGGGACATGTGAGGGTAGCCGTGGGTGCCCATGACCACGGTGTGAGGGGTCGGGACATGCGGGGGTGGCCGTGGGTGCCCATGACCATGGTGTGAGGGGTCGGGACATGCGGGGGTGGCCTCGGGTGCCCATGACCACGGTGTGAGGGGTCGGGACATGCGGGGGTGGCCGTGGGTGCCCGTGACTGTCCACTGTCCCGGTTCTTATAGAGACACTCACAGACAAGCCACACGTTGTACAATACATACATTTTGATGGTGCAACCAATGATTTTTGGTGTTTTTGCCGTCACGCAATTGTCCCCCCCGATTCTGGAACATTCTGTCATTTCAGAAATAATCCTCGTCCCCTGAGCAGTCACCTCTGTCCTCGTCCCGTACCCATCCCGTGGGTTCAGCTGTTCTGGGTTCAGCTGTTCCTGCCGCAGGAGCTGTGTGCTCTGCGTGACCCCTCATGGCCTCTCTCAGAGTGTAGGGTCCCCAGGGTCCCTCATGCCGTATCGAGTGTCAGGACCACTGGATTGCTCATTGGCAGCTTTTCAGGAAGGTTCTCCTGAGGTGTGAGCTGCAGTGGTATGTGCCTGCCCCATCCGGGCATCTTCGCCCGCAGACCTCGGGGTGCAAGGTGTCCGAGGGAGCTGGGCTGCCTGAGCTCTGGGCTGATTGTGCTAACCTGTCCCTCTTCCTCCACAGGCCTCCTCGCTGCGGAGGCTGAGCCCTGGCGTGGCCTCTCGCCTCTCCCCCGGCCTGTGCCCCAAGGAGCCTGCCTCGCAGGCAGCAGCAGGTACCTTCCGGCCCACTCTCCCTCCAGCTCCGTCTGCTGAAAGCCTCTGGGCCTGGTCGAGCTGTGGGCAGGGCCTGGTTCCCGATGGGGGTGTGTGGTTCAGTGGGCACGTTCTGCGAGCCCGGCAGAGGGCCAGAGTTGCTCTCTGGGCAGGTGCTGCCAGCGCTGTGGGGCGTGCCTGTCCTGAGACAGGTTCCAGTGTTGGTGCCGGGTGGGGGCCAGCTTGCCGGGGAGAAGCTGTTGCGTGGCCTGGCAGGGAGCACGCCTGGGTATTCTCTGAGCTGGCAGCTCGGCACTCAGTGGTGTCCAGCCCCCGACTTTGGACTGTCTCCTCACCCCCAGAGAAGGCAGTGTCATCTCTGTCCCCGTGGGGTGACTTCCCCCGTGTAGGCTCCTCTGCCTGCTCTTCCCCAGACCCTGCCCAGGGCCCCAGCCTCACACTTTTCAGATCTGTTTTACTTTTGTGCGAAGGGCACACTTGACAGAGAGAACTTCCATCTGCTGGCTTAGTCCCCAGATGGCTGCAACGGCTGGAGCTGAGCCGGTCAGAAACCAGTTCCATCTGGGTCTCCCCCGTGGTCGTGGGGGCTCAGTGCTTTGGGCCAACCTCCACTGCTTTCCCAGGCCACAAGCAGGGAGCTGGAAGAGAAGTGGAGCTACTGGGACATGAATTGATGCCCGTATGGGATGCTGGTGCCATGGGCTGAGGATTTAGCCTACCATGCAGTGGTGCCGGCCCCAGCCTCACCCTTATAAGGCCTGCAAGTTGGTGTTTAACACTTGACATGAGGACACTTAGGGACTGACAGTCAGCCCAGTTGTTTCTTGGGGAAGATTTTAGGTCTGGGGACAGTCACTGACCAGGGGCCCAAGTGGCATGGCCTCAGAGCAGCAGTGCTGGGGTGTGCAGAGAGCCAGGCATGGTGTAACTTAACCACGTGGCATGATGTGTTGTCTGAAGCCCCTTGTACAACTCTGTCTCCACGAGTTCTCTTGCCCTCTGCCCCTTCTAGTCCACCTGCTTCTCCTCAACCCTTGAAGCTTTCTGTGTATTCAAGCCTGGCCCTCAGGCTGCAGCTCCGTGACTCTGGTGTGGCGTGTGGCATGGCAGCCGCGCTCCTGGGCCGGTGGTGGTGTGTGTTCAGGCACTGCCTGCCCGCTGACTCCAGCTGGGTGGCGGCGGACTCAGGGGGTTGGATGTCCTTCACAGTGCTGTCCGTGGGCTCTGCCGACCCCCAGTTCAACCTCACGGAGATCTTGTCACAGAACTACAGCGTCCGCCAGGGCTGTGCCGAGGCCTCCCACTGCGTGGACGAGCCCGCAGAGGAAGTGGACAAGGACGCGGTATCCCAGGTAGTGTGTGCTGGGCCCTGGGGGAGGCAGAGGCGGGGCTGCTGTCCCAGGACTCAGATCCCCTGCACAGCAGGGCAGTGCCTGGGTCACAGGGCAGTGCCAGGGTCACAGGGCAATAGGGCAGTGCCGGGTCACAGGGCAGTGCCAGGGTCAAAGGGCAATAGGGCAGTGCCAGGGTCACAGGGCAGTGTTCGCTTGGGGCTGAGCTTTATCCTGTCTGCTGGGGATGCTGGTGAGTTCCCTCTCACAGCTTCTCTGATGGTTTTCAAAAGTACTGGGAATGAAACAATAATAATAATAATAATTACAGACTTGTCATCCACCTTCAAGTGGCAGCATCCCACATGGGTGCCTGCTCGTGTCCTGGTTGCTCCACTTCCCATCCGGTTCTCTGCTTACGGCCTGGGAAAGCAGTAGGTGGTGACCCAAGGCCTTGGGACCCTGCACATGTGTGGGAGACCCGGAGGCAGCTCCTGGCTCCTGGCTTCAGACTGGCAGCTGTTGGGGCCATTTGGGGAAGTTAGCCAGCGAATGCAAGCTCTTTTTTGTCTCTCTAAATCTGCCTTTGCAATCAAAAGAAATAAATGTATGTATCTAAAAGACAGAGTTCGAGATCTTTGACCCACTCTTTCATCTTTAGGCCCGTGGCTGGGCCGGGTCAGAGCAAGAGTAAGATGCTCGGTGTAGGCGCCTCCTGTGGGTGCAGGGGCCCGAGGACTCAGGCCATGGTTCGCTGCTGCTGCAGGTGTTAGCAGGGAGCTGGATGGGAGGTGTTAGCAGGGAACAGGGCTAGGGGTACCGGCTGCCCAGGACCCTGGTTAGAAGGAAGGGGACCCCCTCCCCAGAGCAGCCCCTCCTAACGGAGCCTTCCCTGTCCCCCATTCAGGGCAGTGACATGCCGCTGGATGAGCTGCTCGCCCTCTATGGCTATGAGGCCTCCGACCCCGTGTCAGAGCAGGAGAGCGAGGGCGCTGACGCGGCCCCCCACCTCCTGGACATGACCCTGGACAAGGTGAGCGCAGGGTGGGGGCACTTGGGGTTAGCGTGGCTCCTCGTGGGGGTCTGGAGCACGAGGTGGGGAATGTGGGAGTGCGGGGCGGAGCCGTGGGCATGCACGCGTCCGTCCTCAGCCCCGTGTGCATTTCCCCGCGTGTGCCTGGGCTGGGGGAGCCTTCCCCCCTCCACCCCCCCCGCACCCCAGTCTTGGTCTGTACCGTGGCCTAAGGCTGCCGCTGCACCGTTTTTGTGGTGCTGTCCTGAAGGCCGTCCTAACAAACTGCAAACTGTTCTTTGCTTTCTCGTCCAAAGGAGCAAATAGCGAAGGATTTGCTTTCAGGGGAAGAAGAGGAGGAGACGCACTCCTCCGCCGACGACCTCACCCCGTCTGTGACCTCGCACGCGGCCTCCGGGCTTTTCCCTCACCAGGGTGCGTGTAGGTGCCCCCCACCCCGCTCCCTGGCTCGGCCCTGGGCCGTGCTTCTGGGGAGCTGCACTGGAATGGGTATCGTGTTCCCACTGTGGATGGGGGGGGGCACCCCGGGCCGTAACTCCAAGTGGCTGCACCGGGAGGGGTGTGTTGGGTTCCTGCTGCCACCCTCACCCTGGCCATGGCCCCTGCGGACAGAGGCCACTGCTGGGCCCTGTGCCCGTCCATGCTCCGTTGCCTGTCTGGTATTGGGGGGGGGCGTTTACGGTGTGGGGGGACAGTAGCTGAAGGACAGAAAGTGCAGGCTGCAGGCAGTGGATGCCAGGAGCCGCTGCCCAGTGCCACCCATGGGCCTCACGCACTCTCTTCCCAAAGCCCGTTTCCTGGCCAATGCTGACGACAGAGAGCCTGCCTCCTCTGCCTCTTCAGACTCCGATGATGCCCTCCCTGCCAACAAGTGTAAGAAGGTGCGTGGCCGTGCTCACCTGCTTGGTTTTGGACCCTCTGAGTGGGCTGAGCTGTGTGGCTCCTGCCAGGCCCAGCTCTTCCTGCTCAGCCAGAGCACGCATGGTCTGACCTGCCCAACGCTCCGTCTCCCTCAGCCCTGGGCTGGGCTGCCTGTCTGTGGGGTTTGAGGACCCGGCTTTGCGTCTGGCTGGTCGCGCTCTTGGTACCCTAACCAGGCCGTCCGCTCTGCAGGAGATCATGGTGGGACCACAGTTCCAGGCCGACCTCAGCAGCCTGCACTTGACCCGGCACAGTGACAAGAGTACGTGGGGAGCCTGTGTGTGGCTACGTGGGCCAGGCTGCTGGGCCTTTGTCCCTCAGGAGAGTCCCAGGCGCCTCAGCCAGGCTGGGGCCTGCCAAGGTGCCAGGAGGGAGGAGACGGCCACTCTGCTGTCTGGGGGGCGATGGGTGCCCGTTCCTGCTCTGTCCCTCGGCCCCCAGCACCAGGTGCAGTCCGGGTGTGGGTTGTCCCCTGGAAGGGCGTCCCATCTCTTCGCCAGCTTCCTCCCCGTTTGTTGTCCCCCGACCGTGAGCCTGAACCGACCTGGGGCAGCTCGGGAGCAGGAAGCTGCCCAGCTGAGAAGGGCAGGCCAACTGGCGGTTGGAGGCAGTGCCCGCCCTCACCCTGGCCTCCCGCTGTGCACAGTCTACGAGAATGAGGACCAACTGCTCTGGGACCCTGGAGTCCTGCCGGAGACAGAGGTGGAGGAGTTCCTGTACCGGGCGGTGAAGAGGAGGTGGCAGGAGGTGGCCGGGCCTCAGCTCCCTGCCGGGGAGCCAGTGAGGGATAGCGAGCAGGTAGGAGTGACGGCGGTGTGGGTGTTCCTGACAGCCCTCCCTGAGACCCTGTAGACGCCCCCCCTGTTGGCCCCTTGGGTCAGCAGGTCCAGAGTGTGTCCCCCCACCCCCTGTACCTCCCCAGGCGCTGTACGAGCTGGTGAAATGCAGCTTCAACGTGGAGGAGGCTCTGCGGAGGTTGCGCTTCAACGTGAAGGTGATCCGAGGTGAGCTGTCCCAGCCTCCCCTTGCCTCCCCCAGCTCTGCCCTGGGCCTCCCCCTGCCCAGCTGACCGCGTCCTGGCCCCCTGCCCGCAGAGGGCCTGTGTGCCTGGAGCGAGGAGGAGTGCAGAAACTTCGAGCATGGCTTCCGTGTCCACGGGAAGAACTTCCACCTGATCCAGGCCAACAAGGTGAGGATGTCCCACCCTGGCCCTGGGGACCCTGTGCCGCCCACTCCCTGGGGACCCCGTGCCGGCCACTCCCTGGGGGCCCAGGGCCGGCCACTCCCTGGGGACCCCGTGCCGGCCACTCCCTGGGGGCCCAGGGCCTCCTGGCCACTGCCTGGTGGCCTTCTCGCCACCAGGTTGCTGCAGCTCCCACAAGGACAAAGCTGTGTTTGGGGGTGAACTCTGCTGTTGCTGCCCCTGTCCTGAATGGTCCCAGGTCATCTACTCTGGCCGTGTCTGCAGTGACCCCGCCAGAGTCGTGGCCCTCGGCCAGCCACCGTGCACTGGGCCCAGCGCTCACAGGGCTGCCCCCGTGCTCCGTGGCCCATGCTCTCACCTGAGGAAGGTGGGAGTGCCAGGTGGGCTCGGTCCCTGTGCCCACGGAGCCCTACGCTCCACGGCGCGTGCCACCGCCACACAGCAGCTCCAGGGTCCCAAGGCATGTGTGCCTTTGTGTCTAGAAGAGATGACGGTTCCTGCCAGGACCATCCTGGGACGAGTGGAGACTGAGCTGGCACAGCCATGCCCTGGGCCACGTGCCATGTGCTCCTGTGTGCCCAGGTCCATGTCAGGGTCCCACGGCCACCTGTGTGTGTCTCTGAGTGCTGTGTGTGGTTTAGCGTCTCTGTGCTAATTTGAGGTTTCCTCCAGTAGCGGCTTCCTGGCCTGGCCTGGGAGGAGGTGGGGCTGTCTGGGGTCTGGTGGTCGGGGACCCTCCTCCGCCAGCTCGCTGAGCAGTGGGTGTCGTGACCCCAGGTGCGCACCCGGTCGGTGGGGGAGTGTGTGGAATATTACTACCTGTGGAAGAAGTCGGAACGGTACGACTACTTTACCCAGCAGACACGCCTGGGCCGGAGGAAGTACGTCCCGTCTGGAACCACGTGCGTGCAGCGCAGCCGGGGCCGCCCCAGGGCCGGGCGGGTGTGTGGGCAGTGCGGGCATCCCTCCCAGCCGGGCAGCCACTGCCTGTTGCCCCTGCTGTTCATGCTGCCTGCTTCCTGTAGGGACCCAGACCAAGACTTGGATGGCAGTGACCCCGAGGGCCCTGGGCGTCCCCGCCCTGAGCAGGACCCGCTTGGCAGTGCCAATGTGCACACAGGTAAGGTCTGTGCCACCCTTGGCAGGGTCACAACCTGGGTGCCCACCCTCCCAGGTGCCCTGCTGGGACATTGGTCACCACCAGCGGGAGCGGGCACTTCTTGAGGAGTGTCTTCCAGCCACAGGACCTGGGGCACCGGGTGCTGTGCTGAGAGCAGCAGGGCCACATGCCCTCCGCCTGGGGCTGCTTCATTCTGTCTTAGCTTCAGGGGTATTGGGAAGGGGCCCGCTGGGTTAGGGCACGCTGGGCAGCCTGGGTGTTGTGTTTTTATGGAATGGGTGGGAATAGGAAGGGAGGGGTGTGCACCCTGAGCCAGGGCTGCTGGGGTCTCGGGTCCTCGGGGTTGCTGTTCATCTCTGGTCTCCCCTGCAGAGCTGGTGAGCGGGGACAGCAGCACGGCCACTGGCCTCCCGTCCCCGGAGCCAGGGCCCTGCTCATTGCCTCAACTGGAGGAACCCCCAGCTGTGCCCCTGCCCCGGAGGCCTCCAGCCCTGGGCGACACAACTTCGTACCCTGGAGCCGCAGCTGCCCCAGAGCCAGGTGCCAGCCCAAGACTGGCCGTGGACTTCACCCTGCCAGAGGAACTGCCCCTCCGGGCCAGTCACGTCAGCCTGAACGGAGGCCCCGAAGAGGCTGTGGCCCCTGCACAGGTAGCCTTGTCAGTCACCGATTTTGGACTCCTCGGCATTGGGGACGTCAACCCCTTCCTGGCTGGCCACCCAGCGTGCCCAGCCCCTGGGCTGCACTCAGAGGCCCTGTCACAGTGAGTACCCCCCCCCCCGGGCCCTGTACCCCAGCTGACACACCCCACAGTGAGACCCCCTCCAACCTGGGCCCCCAGACCCCAGCTGACACACCCCACAGTGAGACCCCCTCCAACCTGGGCCCCCAGACCCCAGCTGACACACACCACAGTGAAACCCCCTCCAACCTGGGTCCCCATACCCCAGCTGCACCCCACAATGAGAACCCCCCCCCATCTGGGCCCTGTTCCCCAGCTGACACACCCCCCAGTGAGGACCCACCCCGCCGAAGGAGGCTGTGGCCCTGCCCCCAGGCACCCCTGCTTTAGTTTGTTCTGCTCTGACTTTCGCCGGTTTCCTATGGGGCTCCACCAGGCTGCCAGAGTCCCAGGGCGTGCTGCCTGGGGACCCACTGAGGCAGAAACAGAGTTTGTCCTGGGGGATGAGGAGGGGACCTTCAGCCACGTGGGTGGGCTGACCCCGTCTCCTTGCTCTTTGCAGCTGTAATGTGATGACATGTTGATGGCTGGCTGCAGGCGGGAGCAGGGCCACGTGGACTCTTGTCAGTCTTGCCATTGCCATCTTGGGCTGCGGGCACCGCCTTTTCGGGGGTGAGGTGGTCGAGCAGCAGGCCCTCACCGCCCCCCACCCCCCCAGACTGGACCAGGGTCACATGGAGCCGGCAGTGCCCACCCGCCATGGGATCCAGTGTGAGGCTGGGTGTGTGGCCTGTCCCCTGGGACACGGGCGGAGCCCCCACTGCCCTCTCCAGCCAGCAGAAGATGGCATCGGCCCGCACCAGCAGCCCGTGCCCGGCGCATCTCCCCACCCCAGCCCAGGGCCTGGTGGGCAGCTGCTACTCAGTGCCAAATGCTGCGGGCACGGAGCCATATACCTCGCTGCCCGCCTGCCGCCGTCTCCACTTCAGGAAAAGCTGCACTTTACGCCCCCCTCTGCCTCCCCTCCTCCTCCCAGTTGTGAGGGGTCGGGGTCAGGGTCTGAGGATGCGGATGACCCTGCCCGTGCCCTGGCACCGAGGCAGGGAGCTTCGGCAGGTGCACCACCGAGGGCCCAACCAGCCCGCTCTGCCGACCTCATAGGTCTTCCTTGTGTCGGAAGCTTCCAGCCTCTGTCGTTCTGTTGATGTTTCTGTTTCTGTTGGAGTGGGGTCCTCTGGGGCAGGCAGCCCTCCGACCCATGTCACCAGGAATGGGGTTGTGCTGGACTTCCTGCACCCCCATCCCACCAAGGACTGCACTGTGAAGTGAGAACTGCCTTGACCCCCCCCCCCCGTTGCTGTTTTATTATTTATTAAAGTTGATTTGATGCCCAGGGCTGCCTGTGGTGGACTCGGTGTCTCTGGGGGCCCCTGCCCTGGTGAGCCCAGCACAGTTCCCGCAGGAGGTGACCACAGCAGGCCAGGGGAGGCAGCTGCGGGACAGAGAGAGGCACGGTCCAGCAGAAGCTTGCTGCATCCAAGGCCAACGGGAGAGGCTAGGCCCCTGTTGGGCCTGCAGAGTGGGCACCGTGGCGTGGGGACATGGAGGGCCTAAGCCTGTGCTGTGGCTGCAGCAGTGGGCACCGTGGGGTGGGGACGTGGAGGGGCTAGGCCTGTGCTGTGGCTGCAGTGGGCACCATAGGGTGGGGACGTGGAGGGGCTAGGCCCGTGCTGGGCCCGCAGAGTGGGCACCGTGGGGTGGGGACGTGGAGGTCAGGGGGCTGGGAGTGAGGGTCCCCGGGGTCAGGGCACCGCTGCTGGCAGGAGGCTGTGGGGTAAGCCATCAGCCACCCTGTGCTGGGTGTCTGCATCCAGAGCTTCCCTCCGAGCAGGTCAGCGCCGTGCAGGAGGTGCCATTCCGCCTGCCTAAGGGGCGTCAGACCCCCCCGCTTGTCATGGTCCCCTGTCGACTGGATGTCACTGCTGTCGTTTGATGAACAAGGAGCCTCTGAGCTGGCCTCTGTGCCCAGGGGCTGCCGGCTGACCGCGGTGGCTGCGCTGACAAGGGGATCTGCAGCTCAAGTAACTGCAATTTTGCCCTGGAGTTCTGTCCTTCCTTGCTGGCTTCCCTGCCCACACTGCCAAGGACAAGTGGCTCCTGCGTGTGCCCTCAAGGCAGCACAGCTGCTGAGCGCCTTGGGGCTTTGTCACCACAGTTTACAAAGCTGATCCCCATACCAGGCCTAGTCCCCGCCCAGCCCTGCTCCCTGTGGGCCTCCCGGAGAGGCCCAGAGGTCCAGAGGTGGCTTCCACTAGGGTCAGACTCCAGACGGCGGGCCATGACCCTAGGTTGGCCCTAATCCTGTCTGCTGCACAGGTTGGATTTTAATCCTGACCCCAATCCTGACCTGAGGGAGCCCCGGCAGCTCTGAATCCCATCAGGAAGGTCTCCCATATGGCAGGCAGTCTGAGGGGGGCACCATATGCAGTCAGGGGGCGCTTGGCGCGCGTGTGCACCTGTGGATGAGTGGACATGCCGGCCACTCGCCCTTTGAGGCAAGGGGCCAAGGCTGCGGGGGCCGCCACGCCCCACGCAGACGTCTCCTCCCGGAAAACGGGTCCTGGGGCTCCGAACTCCAGCCTGGGCTGGCTTCTCCCTGTTTTTGGGTGTCTGTCAGTCAGCTCCGGGGTCCGCAGCTCCATCCGTCGTCCGTCCGTCCGTCCCCTCATCTCAGGGGTCCGTAGCTCTGCCCGTCCGTCCGTCCCCTCAGCTCCAGGGTCCGCTGTTCTGCCCCGTGGTGACCTGGCCCTTTCTGCGAGCCCCTCTACAGCCCCAAGACGTCCTCTCACACCTACCCCGTGTGCAGGGGGGTGCTGCGGGGCACCCCAAGACTCCCAGGGCGCACGCACGCACCGCCCCTCGGCGTCCCGCCCTCCCCGCCGCGCCGCGCCCCTGTCCCGCCCTCGTCGTCCATGTGACCCGCGGCCGAGCCGCGACGGGACGCGCTGGGACCGGCGTCCTGCTCGCGGGGCGTCTGGCCGGGGCGGAATGGAGCGGAGGTGGGTCTTCGTGGTGCTGGACGTGCTGTGCTTGCTGGTCGGTAAGAGCCTCGGGCCGCGCGCCGGGCAGTGGGGCGAGGAGGGCGGGCGCAGGCGGCGGGATCCCGGGGCCGCCGCCCTCGGGCGCACAACCGTGCGCTCCCCGCCTTGTTTCCTGTGCGCACTGGGCCGCGGACCCCGGGGAGCGCACGGCGGAGTCTCCGAGTCCGGGCCCAGGGCGAGCCTGGCTCTCCCGGTCGCCGCAGCAGGAAGTAGCCTGACTTCTGGCGCTCCACCCGGCCGGGCGGTGATTCACGCGGGCGGCGGCCGGGTGCGCCCGGAGCCCCGGGGGGTGGCGTTCCCGGGACGCTCGCACCAGGTGCCCCCGGCCGCCGCCGACTCGGGTCGGTGGTTGCAGGTGGTTCCTGCGCAGCTCCGGCCGGTCCTGCAGCGCTTTCCCCGCGGGCTGGTGTGAATAGCCTGGGCACCCTCCCGGGACATGGCAACCAACCTGTCCGAACCTGTCGGGCCGGTTTGCCGGCGGAGGGGAGGGGACCTCGGAGGCCCCCTGCCCGGCCCTCGCTGGGGTCCCTGAACAAAAAGCCCAGTGTTGGCCGCTTCCCTTCAGCCACCCTCCGTCCGTCCGGGGCTCCGAAGGTGAACCTCTCTTGTAGCTGTGGAGAGGCCCCCGAGGGGTGGTCGAGGGGGACCCGAGGGTAATCCCGGGGTACCACTTCCCTGCTTGTACAGACCGAGGCAGGGTGAGGCGCGGCCCTGTCAATGATTAAATCTCTCCAGGGGGTGAGGCCCAGGATAGCTGACCTGTGGGATGATGCAGGGCTCCGGAAGATGGGGCACTGGCTTGTGGATGTGGTGGGGAGGGGCCAGGTTGGGGGCGCATCTGGCATTTCCAGTGTGTGCCCCTGGAGCTCCTCCCACCTGTGCTGTGCTGGGGATGGGGTACCAGCCAGAGGGCCCTGTGACAGGTGCACCCTGCCTGCCCCCCGGCCGCCTCTTTGACCACAGGCCTGCTTTTCTGCTCTCCCACCCCCCACGATCTGTCAGCCTCGTGGCCCCCTGGGTTCCACAGGGGTTCCCCATGTGAGCCCTCAACTCTGGCTGCTTATCGGGGAGTTTTAGGACCTCCGTGTTCCAGGAAAGCCACACACCCTTTTGCTGGTTATCATCTGCCTCGCCCCAGGGATCAAAGGGCAACTGGTTGACCTGACCCATGGCCCTTGGAACCACCCTTCACCCAGCTCCTCTGCAGCTGGTGCAGTGTCACAGCCATCCCAGTGCAGGCACGACCCCTCTTGCACTGGATGGGAGTGAGCAGGGTGGGTGGTGACCATCTGAAGGTGATTAGGGGAACGGTGCCCCAGCTGTGGGTGAGCCCCAGCTGTGGGTGAGCCCTGAGTCCCATGGTGGTTCCCTTCCTTCATAGATGATCACGAAGCACCTGCCCCAGCCAGCCTGGAGCTGGTCCCGGGGTTCTGTCCTGCCTGGTTCCCGTGGTAGGTCACGGGCAAGTCTCTCAGTGCCACACGGGAGATGAATGAGCGTGTCTGGAACAGAGCTGGGCAGTGGCGCTCCCTCTGGGGCTGGGCAAGATGGGGCCCCCGGAGGCCATGGCTGGAGTCTGCTGGGGCCGGGGCAGCTTGGGGTGGCCCACAGCCTCCCTGGTTCTCTCCCCGCCCCAGCCGCGCTGCCCTTCGGCATCCTGACGCTGGTGAACACCCCGTACAAGCGCGGCTTTTACTGCGGAGATGAATCCATCCGGTACCCGTACCGTCCAGACACCATCACCCATGGGCTCATGGCCGGGGTCATCATCACGGCCACCGTTATACTAGTAAGCAGAGCTTGCTGAGTGAGGGGTGGCATGGCCTGCAGAGTCCACAGGGAGAGGCCTGGGTGTCCGTGAGGCCCTGGGTGTCCACAGGGAGAGGCCCTGGGTGTCCACAGGGAGAGGCCCTGGGTGTCCACAGGGAGAAGCTTGGGTGTCCACACGGGGAGGCCCGAGTGTCCACTGCGGGGCCCAGGTGTCCTGTGTAGGGGGGACTGCCTACACAGTGGTCCCCGCCATTGTCCGCGGTGCCTTCCCTGCAGGTCTCGGCCGGGGAGGCCTACCTGGTGTACACGGAACGCCTGTACTCCCGATCCGACTTCAACAACTACGTGGCCGCCCTCTATAAGGTTGTGGGCACCTTCCTGTTTGGTGCCGCGGTGAGCCAGTCCCTGACAGACCTGGCCAAGTACATGATCGGCCGCCTGCGGCCCAACTTCCTGGCCGTCTGTGACCCCGACTGGAGCCGGGTCAACTGCTCCACCTATGTGCAGCTGGATGGGGTGTGCAGGGGGAGCCCAGCCAATGTCACCGAGGCCAGGTGGGTGCTGTGTGCGGCAAGACGGGCACGGAGGGGCAGCGGGTGCCAGGCTGGGGCCTGCTCACCTGGGGAGGCCAGTGCAGGATGGCCCTCTGCCTGCCTGCAGACACCCCCCCGCCCTTTCCCGCAGATACGGGGTCCTTCCTGTCAAGTTGGAATAGACCACCCACAACATAAAACTCAGTGTGTCCTTGGGCCATCGGTGTACAGCGGGTTTCAGCTGCCCGCTTTCCCCAATCCTGGTGCCTGCTGACTTCCCTGGGTGGGTCTGCCCACCGGATGTCCTGAGAAGGGGCTGTGACTGGGCCTGGCGTGATGGCTCTGCGGCTAAATCCTCACCTTGCAGTGCCTGCATCCCCTAGGGGCGCCAGTTCGAGTCCCAGGTGCTCCACTTCCCATCTGGCTCCCTGCCAGTGGTCTGGGGAAGCAGTGGAGGACGGCCCAAAGCCTTGGGACCCTGCACCTGCGCAGGAGACCCGGAAGAGGCTCCTGGCTCCTGGCTTCAGATCATCTTGACTCTGGTTGTTGGACCCCAGTTGAGGACTACCAGTGGATGGAAGATCTTTCTGTCTGTCCTTCTCTCTGTAAATCTGACCCTTCCAGTAAATAAATAAAGCTGTGTACATGTCTATATGTATTTTTGTTTGAAATGACTGCCCATGGGTCTCCCACCCTGACGTATCCCGAGAGGAGGCTTGTCCCACGATGGTTCTGGCACGCAGAGTCGGGCCTGGCAGTTCACAGGTGTCTTGGAACTGTCCATTTCTATTGCCTGTACCTTGGGGCTTTCTGTGGGATGCATACATTTTGTAATTGCTTTTGTATCTTTTTCTTTAAGATTCTTTAAAAAAAAAAAAAAAACTCATTTGAGAAGGCAGTGTGAAAAAAAGAGAGAGAATCCATTGGAGCTCAACCTGTTCGAAGCAAGGAGCCAGAAGCTTCCTTTGGGTCACCCATGTGGGTGCAGGGGCCAAGGCCTTGAGCTGGCCCTGCTGCCTCCCTGGACAGATGTGAGGGTGGCTCTGCTCCCATTCGCACCCCCCACCCCATGCAGTGTGGCGCATCCTGCGTGCACTTGCCCCTGGGGTGTTCCCATCTGGTTATTGGAGCTGTGAGGCAGACACGCTGGTCCCGCTGTTGCACGTTATCTGTGGGGGGGGGGGGGCCTGGGGTGCCACAGTGGGAATCCGAGCAGCTGCTCCCATGGGAATGGGGGCACTTCTGTGTGTGGTCCTCCCTGACCTGGCTCCCAGGCCTTCGGGAGCTGGTCAGAGGGACCCGGGGCATAGTGGTGCAGCTGCTGGATGCTCGGCCAGGGCAGGTCCTGAGTGCTTCCCAGGCTGTTGCACTCACATCCCATTTGCCCCAGGCAGCATCCCGTCCCCCCAGGCTGTTGCACCCAGCACCCAGTCCCACGCAGGCAGCACCCCGTCCCCCCCAGGCTATTGCACCCAGCATCCTGTCCCCCCCAGGCTGTTGCACCCAGCACCCAGTCCCACGCAGGCAGCACCCCGTCCCCCCAGGCTGTTGCACCCAGCACTTCATTCCCCCCCAGCTGTTGCACTCAGCACCCTGTCCCCCCAGGCAGCACTCTGTACCCTCCCAGGCTGTTGCACTCACATCCCGCCCCCCCAGGCTATTGCGCTCAGCTCCCTGTCCCCCCAGGCAGCACCCCATACCCCCCAGGCTATTGCGCTCAGCTCCCTGTCCCCCCAGGCAGCACCCCATACCCCCCAGGCTATTGCGCTCAGCTCCCTGTCCCCCCAGGCAGCACCCCGTACCCCCCAGGCTATTGCGCTCAGCTCCCTGTCCCCCCAGGCAGCACCCCGTACCCCCCAGGCTATTACGCTCAGCTCCCTGTCCCCCCAAGCTGTTGCACCCAGTACCATGTCCCCCCAGGCTGTTGCACCCAGTACCATGTCCCCCCAGGCTGTTGCACCCAGCACCCTGTCCCCCCAGGCAGCACCCCGTACCCCCCAGGCTATTACGCTCAGCTCCCTGTCCCCCCCCAGTGCCCCTCGAGTCCCCCCCCCCAGTCTGTTGCAGTCTAGGCTGTCCCACTCAGCCCCTGTCTCTCCCTGCCCTCCCCCCCCAGGTTGTCCTTCTATTCTGGCCACTCCTCCTTCGGCATGTACTGCATGGCTTTCCTGGCGGTGAGTCTTGGTGACTTGTTTGGGGGGGGGGCTGTGGCTGTCCCCTCCTCCCTTGCCTGTTCCCCCACTTGTCGGAATGGGTGAGGGGAGGGGCTGCGCTGTGGTGGAGGATGGGGCTGGTGGGGGTTCTCCCTCTGCCCCATCATGGGGACCCCACCACCCCGTGACCTCCGCCCTCCCGCCCTCCCGCCCCACCCCAGTTGTACGTCCAGGCGCGGCTCTGCTGGAAGTGGGCGCGGCTGCTCCGGCCCACGGTACAATTCTTCCTGGTGGCCTTTGCCCTGTACGTGGGCTACACGCGCGTGTCCGACCATAAGCACCATTGGAGTGACGTCCTTGTGGGCCTCTTGCAGGGGGCGCTGGTGGCTGGCTTCACTGTGAGCTCTGTACCCCGTCCCCGGGACCCCGGGAGTCCTGCCAGCCCTGCCCACTACCCCTCCCTCCCACAAAGACCCCCTCCCCCAGCAGTGCCACTGTCCTGTCTTCTCCCAGGTCCGTTACATCTCAGACCTCTTCAAACCCCGGCCGCCGCGGCCCTGCCCGGAAGGAGAGGAGCTGGAGCGGAAGCCTAGCCTGTCGTTGACCTTGAACCTTGGCGAGGCTGTTGACCGGAACCACTATGCATATGCTGGCTCTTCTCCCTGAGCCCCGGGTGAGGCCCACTCGAACCCAGGCCCGCCTGTGCTGGCCGCCCTCACCCTGACTCTGCCTGGGAGAGGCCACCTGGCAGCCGGTCCTGCACGGTCCCCGAGGTCCTGGTGGGGCGAGGAGGGCGAGGCCCGCATTGCAGCTGCGGCTTGTGTAAGCTGAGGTGTACGTTTGGACTTGCAGTCAAACAGGGCGTCTGTTTGCCCTGGGGTGAGCACTGTGCCCAGCTCCTGGGGCGCGGGGCGGGCAGTGCCCCACCTCTCCCACCCTTCCTTTTTGGCACACGACAGTGGCAGGGTGGTTCTCTGCTGAGCCGGGCTGGGGGACGGTCCTGGTTGCTGAGCCTCTCCCCCAGCAATGAGGTCTCTGCCACTGGCCCCTGCCAAAACCTGCCAGGGTCCCCCCCCCCCCCCCCCCCGGGAAGGCGCTGTGAGCCCAGGCAGCTTCCCTGAAGGTGGAAGCTCCTGCCCTGCATCCGCCTCCTCGCCCCCAGTCCCGCAGACCCCTCCGTTCCTCTTGGCCCCTCCATCTCTCCAGACCCCCCCCCAACCTTTCAATGATACTCCTGACCCTATGGCACTGTCGAGAGTCATTTTTGGCCTGTCCACTTCCTGTGCTGCTGCTGCGTGTCCCGGATGGCCCCATGGCTGCACCCTTTGGTCCTCTGCTGCCTGACTTGGGGACCTGGCTTCCGACAGTGACGGCCGAGGGCCGCGACAGAACTTTCTGGCCTCGCATGGATGGACGGCAGTAAACGGACATTTCACCAGACAGTTTCCTGTGGTTCATCTGGTTGTGTCAACGCCTGGAGCCTGTCTCACCCCAAGCCTTGCAGGCATCAGATCCTACCCTGGCGGGTTAGTTACGTCACATTTGGGGACCCGGGTGTGTCCTGGTGTCTTCCCCTCTGGAGGCCATACTAGCTTTCCCATGATGCTGCGGTCGGCATCGGGAAGGGCCTGGCCCTGTAGGGTGCTGCCTACGCATCTCAGGGTGCTGGTTCAGTCCCTGTGGAAACAGCTCTGGGCTTGGGGAGCCAGAGGGTGCCGTGCTGGGGTGGCCCCCTGGGAGTCCTGCGTGGAGGGGCTGGAGAGAGGGGAGGGGTGCGGGAGCAGTGAAGGGAAGGGGCCACCCCGAGAGGCTACCAGGGCCGAGAAGACGGGAATCTAATTTAGAAACAACGTTGTTTTAATTTTTCAAATAGAGTTCCTTGTTCATTTATTTAGAAGACAGATTAACAAGGAGGGAAAAAAAAATGCTCTTGGTTTTCCTTTACAAACGGTGGTGCCAGCAGGGGCTGGGCCAGGGGCCGCATGCTGGTGGCTATGTGTGGGTGCAAGGGCCCCCGAGCACGGGGTTGCCCTCTGCCGTGCTGGCCATTTCCACCCGGAAGAGGACGTCAGATTCAGGGCAGAGGTGAAATTGACCATGCCACTGCCCGGAACTTGTTGCCATCTCGTGTATGTGTGTGTGTGGGGGGGTGCTTTTGCTATGTGGATCACGTGACAACGGGACAGGGCTATGAGTCTCCCAAAGAGGGGACACCCAGGCTCACCGCCCCTAGGGGGACACCCATGCTCACAGCCCTAGGGGGGGACAGCCATGCTCCTCTGGGGGGGACACCCACTCACAGCCCCGCTAAGGGGGCACGCCCGTGCTCATGGCGCTGCTGAGCGTGTGTGAGGGGCTTCGACTGGGTAGTAGGCACTTAGGGCATTTTGGGTCCCCAAATCATTTTCTTCTCAAAGATAAAATGGTATTTTCCGGGTCCGGTGGTGTGGCCTAGGGGCTAAAGTCTTCGCCTTGCACGTGTCCGGGATCCCATATGGGCGCCGGTTCTAATCCCGGCGGCTCCGCTTCCCATCCGGCCTCAAGCCTTGGGATCCTGCACCCGTGTGGGAGACCTGAAGGAGGTTCCTGGCTCCTGGCTCCGGATCGGCACAGCACCGGCCGTTGCGCTCACTTGAATCATCGGACGGAAGATCTTCCTCTCTGTAGATCTGACTTGGTAATAAAAAAATAAATAAATAATAAAGTCCTTAAAAAATATGGTATTTTCCCCACCACGGCTTCGATTCTTCCAAGAGACAAAGATGTATTAACATAGCAAGAACACGCTTTCCCAAGAGACAAGGGCAGTTTCCCCACCTGAACCAGCCCGATTCTGTTTCTGGCCATCGCCGAGGGGCAGGGCCTCACAATGGTCTCTCTCTAGCCAGGTCCCATGGACGCCAGGAATTTTCTTCTTTGTCTGGAGAAACCCCTTTGAGGGAAAGTTTTAAAGGATCCCAACACCCCCTTATGCACGGGTCCTTTCTGTCTCAAAGCGCCCCCTTCCCGTCACTAGGACGGGAGCCGTCTCCTCTCAGCGTTTCTAATAAAGTTTGTTTTAAAATGAAACTGTGTCCGCATGAAAAATCCTTATTTCCTGCGAGACGAGAATTGAGGTTGCTGCCGTATTCGGCGGCGGGGGGGCGGGGAGGGGGTCAAAAACCTGTAATCACAGTTTCTATGACAGCGTAAAAATTCAAACTGGCGTCAGTGTTGTTAGGAATTTCAGGGTGAGGAGAGAAGCAAGTATCAGGGCCACACACGCGGGACCAGAATATTAGAGACAGCTGTCGTTTAAGACGTGTTGCACCTCCCATCCAGCTCCCTGCCTGTGGCCTGGGAAAGCAGTGGAGGACGGCCCAGAGCCTTGGGACCCTGCAGCTGCGTGTGAGAGACCCGGAGGAGGAGGAGGAGGCTCCTGGCTCCTGGCTTCGGATCAGCTCAGCTCCGGCCGATGCGCTCACCTGGAGAGTGAATCATTGGACGGAAGATCTTCCTCTCTGTCTCCCCTCCTCTCTGTAGATCTGACTTTGTAATCAAAATAAATACATCTTCAAAACAAGCAAACAGAAAAAAAAAAAAAAACTCAAAAAACCCCAAACTGGCATCTGTAAACCAGGCCTGCTCGTTTGCTTGGTCAGCGCCTGTTGCCAAGCAGGGTTTTTCTCTGAGGCGGGGAAAGCGCTTGCCAGTTTTATGGCTTAACACGATTCATGGTGTGATTGTCCTAATGGTTCTAGCTGCTTTCCTTGCAGTTGGCTGGTCTTGTCCTCAGCCGTAAGGCTTCCCCCCGACCCCCGACACAGCCCAGGCACACGTTAGCAGGGACCTGGATCACCAAGCAGCACTTCTGAGTGTGGGATGCCAGTGTTGCCGACAGCAGCTCCACCTGCTGTGCCCCTGGTGACGCATTCTAGACCCAAGCAGTCTGTAAAGCAAACCGCCAGCTTCTAGAAGCTCCAGCCAGTGGGCATTGTACCCGGCGTCGCCTCCCTACGCTCACGTGCCCAGCACGCCCCTCGGTGGGCTGGGGAGGAGCAGCCAGGATCCTGTGGCCCAGCTCCTCCCTTATCGCTCCTAAGAGGCATTTGTTTTGTTAAAGATTTATATATTTTTATTACAAAGTCAGATCTACAGAGAGGAGGAGAGACAGAGAGGAAGATCTTCCATCCGATGATTCACTCCCCAAGTGAGCACAATGGCCGGTGCTGCGCCGATCCGGAGCCAGGAGCCAGGAACCTCCTCCAGGTCTCCCATGTGGGTGCAGGGTCCCAAAGCCTTGGGCCGTCCTCCACTGCTTTCCCAGGCCACAGGCAGGGAGCTGGGTGGGAAGCGGGGCTGCCGGGATTAGAACTGGTGCCCATATGGGATCCCGGCATATGCAAGGCGAAGACTTTAACTGCTAGGGTACCGTGCCTGGCTCACAAGCCCACTTCTTTGCTTCTTCTTTCCCTCACTCGTGCCCCCTGTTGCATCGCCCTGTGCCACCCTGATGCTGCCTGGGCCCCGAGGAACCCCGTCTGATGGAACCAGGCCGGACACCCGTGGGCTCCTGTGCCACCTGTGCCAGTGAGGCGGTGTGAGCTGACAACAGGAAGGGCCCATTCAGGTTTCCCAGGGCAGGAGCAAGGAGGCTTTATCCGGGCTGGAAAGTTTGTAGGCCTTCCTTCTGGGAAAGTTTTCCATGTTCAATAAGCGTTGAGAGGTTCCAGGAATGGCAATAGATGTTCAGAGGTCAGAGGTCAGCTAAGTCACCACGGACAATGCACGGATTTTGTATTCAGTCGTTGGCCCTTCAATATCAACAGGGTCAGACTTCCCCATCAGGAAAGGATCCAGCACCTGCCGTTGTTACAAGGCTGCTCGAGTTGGACCCTTCTGAGTCAGACTCACAGGCCAAGTGTCAGACTTGAGGACAAGTGTCCCGGCAGCCGAGTTTGTCTGCGGCCAGTCAGCTGTCGCTGCCGGCTCTGGGGCAGGAATTCCTGCTTCTTGCCAACACTAGATTGATGCTCTAGGAAGCAGGAAGGGTCGGGGGCCCCCAGGCTCAGCCCCGATCACCGGCACTTGGATGTTTGAAGAGTCTTTTTGTCACACACCGAATGTGGGACTGTCGGCCCACGAACCCTTCTCATTTCTGCAACCCGAGGCAGCTCTCGCCAGGTAGGTCACGTCCATGGTCGATGCTTGCCGGGGGTGCTGTCCTCCGAGAGGCAAAGCTTAGGGGTGCCGTGGTGAAGCCACGCCTCCTTCACCTCCAGGAGGTTTTTCTTTTTTTTTTTCAGTTTGATTCTATTTCCGTTAAGTTGATGAAATCCACACGTGTGTAAGTGCCTGCCCCGGGATGCGGGAGCTTTGGGCATCCCGAGGAGGAAGTGGTTAGCTTCCCTCGTGGCCAGTCTGTGGGAATTGTCAGGTACCGTCCGTGGGAGTGCCCAGGGGACAGCTGTTGTGCCAGCCGAGGGTTGGGCTGTGTTGGCCCGTGCGGGGCAAAGGGGGAATCCCTAGGGAAGTGGTACCGGCTTCCTGCCCACCGCGTGCCGTTCTAGTGGGGTCTGGCGGCATGCCACCTGCAACTCTCACGGTGGTGCAGGCTCCAGGTTTAACGTCTTGCTTTTAATTTGCTGCCGAAAAGCCCCGCACTTCTTTCCAAAACAGCCCTGTGGAACCGAAACGGACACACATGGAGTTAGACCAATTCTCCGCCAAAGAGTTAGACCGCCAGCCTCCGTCCCGGGGTCCTCCAGGTGTTGGGGATCAAGTCTTCTGTGCTTCTCACACATTGTGAATGTGGGTCTGTTTGTCAGGTGAAGATGCTATTTCTTTTTTCTATTGTTTTTTAAAAGAGTTCATTGTTACCGGAGTCCGGCTCCAGCTGAGTTCAGAACTTGCAAAGGGTGAGTGGAGTAGAAATTAAACAGACCACTGCGATTTCAGGATCATAACGGGCCACGCAAGAAAGCTGTCTGCTTTATTTACACAGAGACCCCCACAAGCCCTGGCACAGACCTTTTGGCGTCATGGTCAAGTGTGTGTATTCAAGAATACTTCTGCCGTTTGTTTCATCAATAGAAGTTCCTGCTACAATTCTTATTCTACAGCTCCATCTTGTAT